GCCCTTGTGGCAGGCTTTTTATGTGGGATCATTTGTGCAGGTCACAAAAGCAGACTTGCCCTTAATTGGGTTAAGTGCTTTGGTGCTTTGTGACAGAGTGCTCACAATCTTCATTTCACAATGTTCCAGAACATTATCAGTATGTGGCTCTTTGCCCATACTGCACATCATGAAATCTATGTAGTATGAGGTCAGTTCGGACTAGTCATGTCATACACATCAGCACAGAGTCTGCCAGCCTCCCTCTCAGAGTCTTCACCTCTGCCAAGGAGGTTCTGCATGTCAGTAGACCTTCTTGGGAAGTCCAATCATATTGTAGATTATCAGAGCTTATGGAAAATTTACTAGTTGACATAGCAGATAGAATACATACATAGCCAATGGAGTGACAATGCAAGCGGGCACAGAATGCGAAGATGCAGAGCGCATCCAAGCACGCGCTTCAGACGCGTCGCAACGCGTCTGAGGCAAAATTGTGCCTTGTTTGTATTTGCACGTGAGATCGGAGTTCAATTTTCGCCGACCCCCCCGACAAGGACCCCCAATAGAAAAGCAGACGTCAGACAAGGATATCCCGCGGAGGTTTGAAGGAATTGTCTCGTCTGCCCACGGGAGACTAGACGCACGCCCATTTCATCTCGCGTTGAGATGAATGGCTGCGCCAGACTCTAATCGCTATCTCCGAGCTTCTTCCCGACCGCCATGTCGCAGCGTGCCAGCACGAAGAGCACGGTGATCGACCAGGTCGTGTCGAAGACATTGTCCGTGGTGATCGTGCTCGGTCTCTCGCTCGTGGTCTTCGCCTACCGACGATCTCTGACACCCCTCTACGGCGCCGTACCAACTGATCATCATTTCAACAAGGTCGTATGGGGTGCTTGCATTGTTGGTAGCTTTGCGCCACGTGTCTCGATCTCGCCAGCTATTTTGGCGGCTGGACTCTTGCTATGTCTAATGCCAAACAGTGCATACTGGATGGCTGTGTATACGGGAAGAATGGGCAATGTCATTTGGGGACCTGTCGTGACACATTTGACTGTAATCACTCCTGTGATTGCTCTCGGTGTAGCTGTGGTGAAAGCTCTTCAGGTGAGTCCCTCGATAGTGCCGCGTTATCATAGTGAATATAGTAGGCATTTGTGTTCGACTGCATCGGTCTTTCTATTCAACGGAGTCTCCCCATGGAAGTTTGTGAATATGAAATGTATGGCGAAGTCGCTGACGCAGCGGATAGCATGACCCCAATCAAGAACAAGCCGCGCCTCAGCAAATGATCACACTCCCCATCGCACAAACGACTATCATGACTTTGCAAGAGTTATGGGCTGTTACTCCATGTATCAAGGACCTAGCGGAGGACCAAATTGTTGAGCCATTCATGTTTCATTACATGAATATCTAATAACACCGCGTAGATGCTACAAGCGGGAACGCTTGCTCTCGTGACATGGGCCGTCTCTCCTCTGCTTGCATCGTCCCCGCCTCCATCTCCTGCTCCTGATGTGCCGTCGACGGTCTCAACCGAGCCTGTCGGCGACATCTCTGTCAGGGCCACGAAGTCTCCTTCAACTCCCACGAAGGGAAGGGCACAGCGTAGGCGCAAGCCGTCAACGTCCAAGGTGGCCACGGTTCTGCCGGCAACTGCAGCCGTACCGGCAGCATCCACGCCTCCCTCTCTACCACCGCCAAAGAAAATTACTGGCTTGAACCTTGCCCGGCTCCTTCTCCTTCCTATTTTGCCGTTCCTCACGTCTACCGTCCTCCAATCTCCCGTCCTTTCGAAGCCGCTATTGCAGCCGTACATACACCCTACGTACCCCTTGCGTATTCTCTCTTCTGTCCGTTCTTCGTTCTCCGGCGTTGTTGTCGTTGGCGAGGCGCTTCCTCCAACCGAGAATCAGCCGATCGCCGGTGATCTGCATTCGCTGAGATACCTTCGGGCCGGACACTCGCTTCTAGGAGGAAGATGGATTGGTGAGCTAGCGACAATGGGCGTGCGTGGCGAGGAAGATTTGGCTTTGGACCAAAACGGGGAACCATTGGGCGAATCCATCTACGCCGCCTTCGTGTTGCAAGAAGCCGCGAGGCTCGTAGAGAAGCCGGATGGGCGAGATCCGCAGAATGCATTGGTGATGTGCGCTCAACATATTCCAGCTGCGTGTTTCGTTCCTGAAAGATCCTCACAGTGGCTTGGGTGCAGGCATATCTGCGTCCGCGTTCATGAAGCACAATGTATCAACTACGATCATCGAGATTGATCGGGCGGTATATGATGCAGCACGACATTTCTTTGCACTTCCAAAACCTGACCGCCTGGTCATCAAGGATGCTGCGACGTGGATAAGGCAACAGACGGGGGAGCTGAATGACACTAGGGAGGCGGGTGGTGTCGAGCATGGCGAGAAGGAACAGTACGACATCGTCGTGCACGACGTATTCTCGGGTGGATCTCTGCCGTCACATCTCTTCACGATGGAGTTTTGGAACAGCACCAAAGCGATTTTGAAGGCCGATGGCGTTCTCGCCGTGGTAAGCAGTATCTTGCAGTTGAAACTCTCATGACCGACTGATTCAATCGATAACTAGAACCTGGCGGGGCCCTTGAACTCGGACTCATCCCGCGCTATCATTCTGACTATTGAGTCTATGTTTGGACAATGTCGTGCGTTTTGCGACGAGCTAGACCCAGCAGAACAAGCGCGAAATGAATACCATAATTGGGTGAGACTTGTTCCTGCCGCATTCCTCATGCGATCATATTGATATCTTCACATCCCAGGTTGTCTTCTGTTCCACGTCTTCGCAGCCGCCTACGTTCCGTGCTGCCCGGGAATCCGACTACCTCGGTTCTTTACAACGCGCCAGCATCCTCTCCACTTTGTCGCGGCGTGAGGCTGACCTTACCTTCTTGAGGGAAGGGCTGAGCGAAGAGCAGAAGGAGAGGTATCTTCTGACGAACATGAGGAATCCGTTGGAGAAATGGCAGGAGAAGGAAGCACTGAATCACTGGAAGATTATGAGACAAGTGTTGCCGGACGTGATTTGGGAAACGTATTGAAGATTGGATATAACATGACATTGTATCACGCGAGGGTCGTTCGAAGCTGTGCTGTACTGAGATGCAAATCTTCCGCTGTGCTCTTAGCATGGCAGGATTATATACAGATACTGCAGACGTAAAGGCAGCTGCCGACCGGCCGGGTTTGAAGAGCCATTGGAGCCGTGGCCTCCTCTACGTGCTTGCGCGTGAAACATTCTAATCGGTGAGACGCGACTGTGACGCCCTCGACGCGTCGGTCACAACGGACGCGATCACGTGCTTGGGCGCGCGTCACATGGGATAGAACGGTGGCGGGCGCTTGTAAGCAGGAGCCGAGTACTGCACAGCTGACACCCCGTCTGTCTTGTTGCTCTTCCATTGCTATCCGTGTGGCCTCCATCTCTCGGCTGCTTACAGGAACCTCTTTCTGTCTCTCTCGACAGCCTCCTCGTGCTGTTTTTTGCGCTCTCGTGGTCTTTTCCCTTTACGATTGAATTTCTCATCTCGTTATCAATCCACCATCCACAGCATGTCGACACAGCCCAGACGGTCTGCACGCGCCGCTTCCGCGAAGCCCGCCGAGAACCCTGTTCCTAGGATAGTTGCCAAGGCCACGGCGAAGCCTGCGGCCAAACCAGTAGCAAAGGCCGCCGCAAAACCCGCCACGAAGCCCGCCGCGAAGGTCACGAAGGCCACGAAGAAGGAGGCCGAGAAACCTGCCCAGAAAACGTCTACCGCCCGCTCCCGTCCTGCGAAGCGACCTGCATCGCCCGAGCACGAAACACAGCCTGCCGCCAAACGTTCGAGGGCAGCGCCCAAGGTCATCGAGAATGGTGTCATCGCGGAGAAGCCCAAGCCCGCACCCCGTGCGAAGTCCAGGAGGGGTTCCGCCACCCCGGGCCCCAGGATACCTCACAGGCAGTTGAGGCCGTACTTTAATCCTCTGCCTACCCCGCCAGAGCATCTGCGCCCTGCGCCCCAGATGTTTGCCTGGGGCGCTGGCAACTTTGGCCAGTTTGGGATGGGCCCAGACCTCTTGGACGAGTTTGACAAACCCAGGAAGAATGCGTGGATCGAGGAGAAGATCCGAGAAGGATTGTTTGGCGGCCCTGAGGCGGGCCTCGAGGCGGTTGCTGCGGGTGGCCTACACTCGTTGTTCATCGATGAGAAGGGAACAGTGGGTGACATCTCGAAATTCTGCTGTTACACATGACTGATTCGGCGCTAGGTATGGTCTTGCGGTGTTAACGACGATGCTGCGCTTGGACGCATAACTGCGAACGTCCCGAATCCTGAGAAGGAGGGCGAGATCCTCGACGTGGATCAGCTCAGTGCTGTCCCGCATCCTCTTCAGAGCCTCGTAGACGAGAAGTTCCGTGCTGTTCGCATAGTTGCAGGTGATACCATCTCAGCAGCTATCAGCACGCAGGGAGATCTGCGCGTTTGGGGTTCCTTCCGGGTAAGTTCGTATCTATTCGCTGATGGACAGCTTTGATGACGCGTCTCTTCAGGCTGTTGAGGGTGCTCTCGGCTTCTCCAGCGGCAGCCGCTATCAGTGGTTGCCAGCGTCGATTCTGGAGCTGAAGTCCAAGCCCGGCGACGTGGAGAAGTTCACAGCAGTCGCTGCAGGCAACAATCACCTGATCGTTCTGACTACCCACGGTAATGTCTATACGTGGGGTGCCGGCGAGCAAGGCCAGCTCGGACGAAAGGTCATGGAACGTCATAAAATTCACGGCACGGTGCCCGAGAAGGTTGTCCTCGGCTTGCGCTCTCACAAGGCCGTCGTTGTTGGCGCTGGCAACTACAACTCATTCGCCGTCGACGAGCGCGGAGTGGTTTGGGGGTGGGGTCTGAACAGCATGGGTCAGACGGGAACGGGCTTCACGGATGCCGACGCCGACACGCAGGTTCAGACGCCGAAAAAGGTGATCGGGCTGAGCAAAGAGGAGCTCGGCGGCGAAGAGCACGTCGTGCAGATTGCGGGCGGGGAGCACCACACGCTGTTTCTCACGTCCGCCGGGAAGGTCTACGCCTGCGGGCGGTCCGAGGGCGGCCAGCTTGGGCTCGCAGAGAACGATGCGGCGTTCAAAGACCGCAAGTCCCCGGACATGCTCACGGTGCCCTCGCTGGTGACGTTCCCGGATGTGGATGACCCCATCGCGCATATCGCTGCGGGCATCCATAACAACGTCGCGGTGACGAAGGGAGGTGCGCTCTATGCGTGGGGCAATGGCCCGCAGGGAGAGCTGGGTGTGGGCGAGGAGACGGAGGCGCGCACGCCGACGGTGGTTGTGCGGAAGGAGGGCGGGTCTTGGACGGCCCTTGAGGCGTCTTGCGGCGGGCAGCATACTCTTGCGTTGCTCCGCAAGAAGGCGTGAACGCTTCGCGGCTCATATGTTGGTGCTGCTTGTTCGTAACAAATTTATTTCCTGACGTATATCTTATACAGCTCAGACTATTGTCATCGTTTCCTCTTGTTCCCCTTCCGTTGCCTGCTCATAGACTGTAGGAATACAGACAAGTACGGCTCATGTAGATATTAATGCGTGGTGGAAACGATGTGCATGAACGAGGTTATGGCGACGCTTTTGCTCTTCGAACAATTCCAAGCGCTGCGCTACAATTTCTGTTGGTGCGGGACCGTAGATGATACGGGCGATACATTCAAAAATGACCTACATATATATAGAGCGAGGTACATCGCATTACTCGTATATAGATCTGGCAAGAGTATGTCTACCCTCTCCCTTGCGGTCCTTCCGCCAGCCACCGCCGCCGCTTAAACGTACGTCATCGACAGGCGGCCCACAATGTAGTCCTCCGTCGTCACAGGCGCGTACTTGGTATGCGCGCCGGTGCAGGTCGGGAGACACTCTATGCGCGCGCCCTGGTTCGGGTTGGAGAAGAACGCGATGGACTGGCGCCCGGGTGTGATGCTCTCGGTCGCGCTGATCGCCTTGGCGGGAGGCGCGACGACGCGGTGGAGGGTCGAGCGCAGGACGTCGTTCGACCAGCGCGCGAGGAGGTCGCCGGCGTTGATGACGATGGTGCCCGGCTGAAGGGAGGGGGAGTGAATTAGCAGATGCATCGTTGTTATGGAGCAAGAGTGGCAGTGGCGGGCGTACCATGGGCGTGGCGGATTGGTATTCCTTCGTATGCGGGTTCAGCACTTGGAGGCCGCCGACCTATGAAATGAGGTGAGGTTGAATGGTCCAGCCGACGAGTGCCATGGCTACTTACAGAGTCTTGGAATAAGAGAGTCAAAGTACCGTAATCTACGGAAACTCGGTTCAGCGACGGAAAGGTCTGTCCGATTTGCAATAACCTACCTGAATGAGCGCCTGCACGAGCCTGACCCTCCTTCTCCAGGAGCGATCTCCGGATAGGCGGGTAGTTCAACAGTCTCAGATTATGGTACTGCTCATTGATCTTATCGTCGAAGAACTTCTCGTCCAGGTCAAGCCCGAGTGCAATCGCGCGCATGACGAGGACGTGCAGGTCATGACATGTCTGGAAGAACTGGAGCATCGTCTCGCGGAAGCTGGGGACGGCACCCTCTTCGGGCCAGCGGTTCTTCCAGGTCTTGTCCCAGTCGCGGCCGATCTCCATGGTCTCCTTGAAGTCGGGCGCTTTGGCGCGCAGCTCTGCGATCTCATTTGCGTCGGCGGACTGGGTGACGCGCTCGCGTCCAATCTGGACGTAGCCCCTGTTCGAGCGAGGGTCCTCCCATGCCAACTTGGACTGATGATGGTTGAATTAGCGGTTGATCAGAATATGAACTTGCTTGCGCCCACCTTGGCTTCCATCGGGAGGGCGAAGAACTCGGCACTCTATAATGACTATATAAGTTCCATGGAACATGCAGAGTGGTCGTTGATGGGCACCTTCTGGAAGGCATGCTTGACAGTCGAGTCGGGAATGCCATGCTGATCCAGATAGATGAATCCGACTTCCTTGAACCCGTTCACGATCTCATCAGCCGTGTTGCGCTTCTCCGCCGTGGAGGTCGCGTGGCGGTACTTGCTAAAGTCGATCAGCGGGATGCGGAAGTTGTTATCAGGCTTCACACCCTGGCCAATAGTCAGTGTTTTGTCAGTTATGCTGAAAGCATATCAGCAGGTCATTCGCGCACCTCCGCGACTGTGGCAAGTGCGCGGAGCTGTGGCCTCCTCAGCGCTGGCGCGATGGCTCTGCACGGGAACCTGGACGAGGCGAGGGCGGAGATCATGACGGACTCACGGGGCGGTGAAGTACTGCAGGATGATTTCGAGCAGACTGTCTTTTATGATAGGGAGAGGCGGAGGATGTGTGGACGCCGGTGCTACTTATCAGTGTCTCTTGAATTCCAGACTTGCGCCAAGTTGGCCTGCATAGCTTGTTATCAGCAACTTACTGAGACGGCCGTTGCCGGGCGGATGTATATCCGTTGATCCCGATCGCACAACATATCGCGATCGGGGCCGCGATTCCTGAGCGCGCAACTCGACTCCGGCACACGTCTCGCCACCCATCCTCGCATCGAAACGAAACCTGTGTATTTCCTCATATGATCTCAGAAAAGGTTCCTGTTGCCGCATTGAATGAACATACTACCTCCAACATGACAGAGCCTGCACCGCACAACTCCATTCTGGAGAACAAGCCAATTACATTAGTGTCCGGTAATACTACGGTTTCCCCGTCGCACTTTCCTCGCGGTCCGTCGGGTGGTCCGTACGCTTACTACTGTCTTGTCATCGCCACCACATATTTACCCACTGCATCTAGCCTTGACGATATCTTATCGGCTTCCTTCTGGTGGAACGTGGCGCGCCAACGTCGTGGCTGGGCGATAATGTCTTCACCCCAAGTGGCGCTCATATTGCTATCGCTGTTGATCGTTGTCCTCGCCGTTCCGTGGGACAGTGTACAGCAGGTTTGAAAGCTTGTTAGCGGACATGCCTTCTGATCTTACATTGCTTTGACACTAACAGAGGCAGCGCGAAACGGCGCGCCAGCAGTGGGAGGTCACATGGGCAAAGGAGAAAGAGCAGCTTGAGAAAGAACGGCATACCTGGGAGCTCGCTTGGTCTCTTGAAAAGGAACAGCGCGAGAAAGAACAGATGAACGACGAAAAGTGCTTCTGCTCAGATGAGCGACCATTCGGCTTGAATTGGGAAGGACTGCAAGGCCACCACTGTATCTCTTACGGCTGGCGAGAGTACACTGCAAGATTATTTTCTGATGGATGTCCTCACATCCCCCTCTCTATCTCTGGTAAGAAAAAGGAAGTGCCATATAAATGCACGTCTGAGGTGCGTGTTTGTTAATTGTCACATTTCACTCACGGCTTTACGATTAAACAATACAGAGGTCGAGGAAGATGGGCCACTGGATTCTTGCAGATGACGTTTGCAGGACGAACTGGGGAGAACTGTACGATCGGGTACGCATGATTTTGTATTTTCTCTCTTTCATTGCGTTGGTTAAGTGCACGCATGCAGGGTTGTGTGGCTAACGGGAAACATGTGAGCTATCGCGAGCATCATCACCTCTCCTACTCCTCAGCATTGGTTTGTGCATAGCGTTATGAAGCCCGCCTGGTCAACGTCCGGGCCGGCGATGATTGGGAGCGAATGTGCAGTTCTACTCCGGCCACGATAGCCGGCGAATACTTTCCGATCCCCACATTCTGCGAGAATAGGGTACGTTTTACACTGAGCATCCCCTGCATTCCTTCCGCTTACAGTCTTGATAGGGTTTGTTCGAGATGGGAGTTTGGGACACTAAAGACCCGCGCTGCAAATAGAAAGGTTCCTGTTCCTGCTGAAACGACCGCAGACTCTGAAACATTTGCATGATTGCGTCGCTAGTTGATCCTTCATCCCACCTGTATGAACACCTGTTGTCTTTGTTGCTCTTTTCCTGCTCTCTTCTGTGTTACTGCTTTCTTTTGCTGTCAGTTGTATATAGTATTCCAATGATCTACCTGCCGAGTTTCCCAGAGAGATGATGCAGGAAGAAAGCGACTTTCAAGCTTACCAGTGGGACATCAATGCATCAATCGTCGAGAGTTCTTTCATGACATCGTGTGCCATGTTTCGATCTCGATCATTTATCTCAGCAAGGTTTATTGTCGTGATTGCCGAGTCCTCGCATGTAGGAACAGCGGCGCAATGAAGCTTGAATGCAAATATTCGGATGCCTTTGTTCACTCCCAGCAGTATATATGCACTGCAGTATATATGCACTGCAGCCCTCCCATTGCGCCGGCTGTTGCCGGACTAGCATCTCGATTGGGACTCCGTGGCGCCTGAGACCAGGCTCGCTTAAGCTGCAAACGACCATGTCTGGTACGCGGACACACGTAGATTAATGTGAAGCTTGCTGATGATTGGGACCGTACACTCCAGCCAATATGGTTTACTATGGGACGGCTCCCCCTCCTTACACTTCTCGCGCTCCCTCCGAGGCGGGCGATGATAATGCGTAAGGTCGACGTTCTTTAGTGCTGATGTTTCGCGTTTATGAGATCCTTGTAGTCGAGAGCCTCTGCTCGCTCCACGACCAAGCAGACAAGGACCGCAAAGATCTCATAAACGTTACACAGATGGTGCAGGCGGGCTCTGGTTCATGTTTGTAGGGTTATCAGTCCTGCTCCTACTTTTTGCTGGGTCCCTCGCCGGTTTCGTCGTGCAGACCATGAATGTCGCGGGACTGCGCCGCCGGCTCGACAACATAGTTCCCTCCGAACAGGAACGTAACGCCTTCCGGCAGATATGGGACGAGCAACGCCGTGCCCACACGGAGGAGCGCGCACAATGGGACCGCGAGCATGAGGCGCACGAATTGCAGAGAGCAGAATGGCGCAAGTCTCAAGAGGAATGGGAAGCAGAGCGCGAGGAACGCCAGCGCGAGAAGGATGAATGGGAGCGCGAGTGGAACAAATGGATGCAGGTCTACGAGCGCAAGCGCCATGAGTGGGTGGAAGAATTTGCACGCCAACGCAGAGAGTGGGAGGCCGACTGGGCAAAGGAAAAACATCAACGCGAGAAGGAACGTCAGGAGGATAACGTTCGCCGACACTGGGATGAGGGCAAGCGACTCGGTTTGTCGTGGCAGGATATGGACGGCCATCGATGCTTGTTCTATGGAACGCGGGAGTATACGGCGCGGCTCGACATGGACGTGATGGAGGCTTGCCGACAAATGCCCCTGGAGCACCACGGAAACTTGCTGGACATACCACGTACATGCGAAATACTGGTATGTTCGCGTGCTGATTTCGTCGTTGCGTCTTCTAACAGGATGACGTAGGATTCAAAGCTAATCACGCACTTTGAGCTAGATGATGCGGTATGCATGCCTACATGGGGACCGATCAATAACAAGGTGCGCTCTACGAATATCTGTGCATCTTATCTAAAAAATACAATGATGGCATACAGGGATGCGCAGGACGTGGCAAGCGCGTGAGTCCTTGCTTGATTCGCTTGCAAAACTCATGTTTAATGCGCGTTTGCTCACAGCGCTACGAAGCCCGTCTGAACGGCGTCCGGAACGGAGACAGCTGGGAGGTCATGTGCAGCACCACCCCTGCTACGATCAATGATATGTACTTTGAGTCGCCCACATCCTGTGAGAACAGGGTACGTCGCGCGATGCGTAATGCACCTCCACTTGCTAACGCATGCTATTTATCACAGGGCTGGTGGTCCGGAGAAGTGGGCATTTGGCTTGTCGACGATTGGCGATGCTCATGATGATACTTGATGATACTCTTGAACATATGTCGTTTTTATTGTCACCGCTTGGCCTCGTGCTCCGTGATGACTGATTGTCATTTCTTTTCCGTACCTGTAATTTTAAGTACCACGAGTCTGACACTTGCGATGCTTGACGTGGCGCGGTCAACTATGCCGGCTTGAAGCTTGATCGTTGACTTTCTTACTTTCTTCGCTCTTTTGCTTTCTCGAAACATCTTCGTTGTCAATGCTGTCGCGCTTTGTACTATATAGTTCATGATATGATTGGTCTTGACACAGATATTGCTTCCATTGCATGCTGATGCGCCCGGCTTGGAAACCATGTATACAACGGTAGTGGACGTCATAGTATCTACAATGTATCAATTTGCAGGGCGCTAACTGGAATCTACGCTCCATATATAATACAGACATGAAAATCACAGGAACGCTTATTAGACAAAAGAGAAGAGACAAGAGACTCAAAACCAATCACGTCGCGGCACTCGGAGAGCGCAGACGCCTGAATAAGGCCATCATGGTCTTACCTCCAGCAGGGCCCCATCTGCAATTGTGCATTCAGCATGCAGCTTTATCAGGAAAAATAGACACGCACTCTCCGCTTGCTACTTCCTGGCAGCACCGTTCGAATTCATTGGATACGGACACATCGTCCCACTTTTCGACGACATAGTCCTAGTAATCAACGACACTGAGTGGTTGTCCGAAGGTCTGAACAAATAGCGAACCTCAACAAGGCTGTGCAGTTCCTCCCACGTAGCCGCCGCCAGCAAGATGGCAAAACTGGACTGAGGTGTAATTGTCGACATGATGTGCTCCAGGGCCAGAGTGGCCAGGCCAGGCATCCCGTATCTGTGAGCGATCTGGTACATCGACAGGGCCGATGCGGGCGGGGGCGGGGAAGTGGGGTGGGCGTGCGGGTCAGTGGTCGATGCCATCGGCGGGTGAGACCGTTGGCGGGGCTGGCGCGGAGACATCGAGTGGTGGGACGAAGATGCATAGGCACCTGCCGGGGGCGAAATAGGTACAGGGACCGGCTTCATCATCCGGGACGTCGATACAGCGTTCGAGCTAGAGACGGAAGGAGTCGGTGGCCCACCAGCGCCCGAAGAGGGCCCAGAACGGCGAGACTGAGAGGTACTCACGCGCGAAGACACTGGCGTTCCTTTCGCTGAAGAGGGGGTCCTAGAAGGAGGAGTTTGCGTGATTGGCGCTGGTTTGACTTGCTTCTCTTTGTCGGCGGACTTCCCACTACCGGCCCCATTGGATTGAACACTTCCTGCGCTGGTCACGCTGCGCGTATCGCTCGCTCCTCCAGAGTTTGATGCATCGAGAGCCGTGCCTTTCGACAATGTCTTCCATCCCCATTCGTCCACATTATCAGAGGTACCGAGCCCACGGGCACTCCAGCCGGCTCCGATGCCATCGACAGCTTCTCTAGGGTCGTCATCCTTGCGAAATAAAACCCAATTAGCATATACGAACTTCAACAGCCAGTATATGGTGATAAAGTCGGCTTCTTCGACGACAACTGTGTAGATCTTGCGTTCTCCGGGATAGACGATTCCTGCGGTATTCTCGGAGAAGGACGAGCTGAGCATGGTGGCAAAGTAATCCGAGCGACGGATGAGGATGTCAGAATGCGCATAGATTACTCGCTTTCGCGCTGTCGCACGCGGGAGCAACAGCTGAGAAGTTGAAGATGCACTCAGGGTCTCTGCAGTGATAGGCGGTGAGGTCTGCTGCTCTCGCAATTCTTCTCGCGCTTCCTGGCGTTCCAAACAAATGAATTGAACATCTCCGGTGTCTGCAGGGCTATCTTATTAGTAATCCACCGTCTTATCTGAGGCTAGACATACTAGGGTTGTCCAGTGATGCTTCAAGGCCTTCTAGCAGATCACGAGGCACATAGTATGCCGATGGTTGCTGAGGGAAGAAAGGCCCCGTTGGTGAGTGCATTTGTACACATATTACAAATGAATCGGTCTCCTTAATTCTCGGATTCTCGAGCAAAGACGAAAGGGGTGGTAATGGACATTCTGACGGTGGGGTCAATGGGTGAATATATGCGCGGAGAATTCACTCACCCCATACTTCGCTTTCATGCCTAAACACCCATCCGTCATGCCAGTACTCCCATGCCCAGTCAGGACGTGCTCCACGTTCTCCCACTTTATCGTCCTGGCACTTGATAGCAGCGAAGAGTGAAGTTGACATCTCATACTCCGTATGCGGGAAGTCCACCATCAGCGATGTAATGTAAAGCGACAACGTCTGAGTTTGAGCCTTCATAGCTGGTGCTGGGATCTCTTCTGGGTTTTCGAGAATAGGCGTCTTCGCTGCCAAGAATTAATGAATGGGAAGTATCAATGTATGCCAACAGCGACCTGCCTATCTCCAACTTGAACTTGCCGTCACCAATAACAGGTGATTCCCTTAATATCTCAAAATAGCCTGCATCGGGTGTAGCAGGTTCGTCAGACTCGTCAGTCTGATCTGTTGCTTCTGGAGCCTCGACGAAGTCTCTCAATCTACGAACATCTCGGACGATCCACTCGAATGCCTAGAGAAAACATGGCATGAAATCCGGGCTATCAAGTACGTAGCACTCACGCTGAATGACCATTGCCTCGTGGTAGACTCTTCTAACACAGTATAGTGTAATGAGCCTGAAGGGCCCGTGTTGCGCTTGCCATTGCCGGAAGTTGACACCAGGATAGGACTGGGATTGGTTACAACGTTTCTAGACTCCCAGCTAACCGGAGTAGGGGTTGAGCTATAGGGATTACTATGGACAGAGCTTGAGGATGAAGAGGACCTATGGGTATAGGTCGACCATGGCCAGTGGGGTCGCGAGAGTGGTGAGGGACGGCTGGGTGAAGTCATGACGAGTGGAGATCGTGGAGACTGTCGCGACTGATCTGACATTGGGAGAGACCCTTTCTCTATCTCTCTACTAGACTAGAAAGAAGAGTTGTGCTGATCGTGCTGAGGAGAGGCCCGCTAGTGGCGAAGTGGCCACGCATACTTATTGGGACGCGTCCACGACAAGCATTACAGCACGTGGAAGGCGTCTCGCACGACGCGTCACGGTGGTGATTAGTCACAATGATGGGACGCGTAGCAGAAATCAGTGTTGCTGCGACCTGTTGCCGCGATGTTTCATCTAATCTCGACCGTGTGTACACTGCACAGACATATCCGACTTCATATTTGTCATCTCATAAGCGAGCAGGAAACGATTATGTATCGCAGACCCATTTCGATGTCCCGGCGTCACGCGTAGTATGCCAACGATTCAACGAAGGTATGCGATGGCAGCTCGTATCCGCTCTTAGAAGGCACAGTGAGGCTGCTGCAACATAAGCATAAATCTGATTGGCCGTTTAGCATTTCGCATGGTCGCACGAGTTCACAGGAACTTGGAAGGAATAGCTTTCAAGAACAGCGACGGTAATTAGCATGTCACATGAGATCTACCATCCGCTTCTATTATCACATGTGACGTAGTCACTGGATGAGAATAGCAATATTGGAAAGGGGAAAAGTGCAACCTATTATACCCTCACGGGCGCGTTCCTCGAGGCTGTTCGAGTCTACTCAGTAGTGTCGACCCCTTGATATCTGGCTTGTGACGTCATGATCTTCAACTATCTCAGTGCATTCCATAGTACCTGCCAGCGTAGGCTTGTTAGGATCGAAAATTTGTATGTGTCGAAGGCGGTAATGAAAGTTTCCGACGGGGAACTTGAGATCTGCGGAAGAACTCGACGACCATACACTAGTGTGAGAACCGAGTCAGAGACTTGCCCAGCCTGATCGGATAGTCGAATGCAGGGAAATGTCAGGCCCCAGAAGGGCCGCTCTTCCAATTCATGCTCCAATTCATCGGATGAGAAGTCCTTCTTATCTCTACGTACATCAGAACAACATCCGACGTTGCATCAGCTACCTACGCGCGTCCGAAGGAAGGTGAATTATGTATCAACGTATGCGGAAGGTTGCTCTCGGCTCAAATTCATTTGCAAAAATACCCATGTGGCATGTCATCCGAGGTCCAACTCCGAGGAACTCATTCATGACTACACACTTGGAAGCATGTAAGAGAGAACGTTAATCCATGAGGCTGGTGACCCGCAGTGTATAACTTTACATTGCTTGCCATAGAATCGAACTATATGTCCATAAGCACCATTCAAATGCGCATAAGGTCGAGGCTGGAGCAACCAAGAGCTAAAGAAAATGTGAATAAACCTGTCTCATAACCTTATCCGATGGCAGCAATACAAGGAACTTCCGGGCGGAACCGGCAAGTAATAAAAGACACGTTGCGAAATAAACGACGGCCCAGTCACGCCGGATGCAACATGCTTCAGAACGCAGTGTGCACGCGCATGTCGGAGACCATCTCCAGAGCGTTTCTTGACCGGGGCGTCATATTGCAGATGAAATCGCGTGGATGGCTGGTTTCAAAAAGGAGAAAAAGTAATCAGACTTGGTGTCCATCATAGACATCGATACAGGAGTACCTCACGAAACCCGGAATGAATAGATCACACAAATCCGCATTCTTGCGGGAGAGATCGTTGGGTTGAGATATATTGACAGTCGCTATGATGTTTGCAGCGGCAAACCATATGGAGGCATCTGCGAACTTGCGGCCAGGACAAGCACTGCGCAAGTGTTATGAACCGGTCTAGCAGCCGCATGTTTGGAGCATGCCGGTAGAGAAGCAGCTTACCGTCTCCCGAAACCAAACACCATATTCCGAGGATTATGCAAGTCAGCATCCTCGCGGCTGAGGCCCTGAAACCGCTCCGGAATGAACGACTCAGGCGAAGCATACATCTGAGTATCCCGCGTCATCGCCCTGTATTTCCATGAGCATTCAACGATATAGAGTACAAACCCGACCTCACCATATATTCGGAATTATCATGGAGCCACCAGGGATGTCATACCCACGATACTGGTCATGAGCGGCGGCTTTATGTGGAAGGCCTGTAATGCCCATTCAGCTATTGCTGATTTAGGCCTTCGGAAAGGAGACTCTGACCAAGAGGTACAGGACAATTCCATCTGGTGAAATAAAGTCAGCGTGAAACAACTACATATAATCATAACCTGACGTACCGGTATACCTCCTCCAAGACGCATTCAAGATATGGCAAGGAATCCCTGTCTGGGAAATCTGGAAGACGAACGGTGCCTACTACGCGATCTATCTCCGCGCGTGCCTTCTTGTAGATATCCGGATGTAGCGTCATAGCCAGGATGAAGGTAGACAGAACGGCGGAAGTCTGCGAAAAACATCTACATTGGCTGCCACGCTTCCATTACGGCAACTTGGAAACGATACCGTGTCAGTAGCAGCTAGACAGATTCTCATGAGCGCATGAATTGACTGCATTGTTACTCAGACGATTATCACCTCCAAAAAGGACCCCTGCAGCGCCTTTGATGTCATCTTCTTCTTCAGTAGTAGGAGTGCCGCGGCTGAACACCTCTTCTAATAAAGTGGCGGTGAATGACGGTGAAGCAGTACCGTGCATCTACAAAAGCATCAAATGGTATTCGGGTGTGCAACGCCATGAAACACTTACCATCGCAGTTTTCACCATTTCGAAAGGCGCGTCCAACATCTTTCTAACGATTAATCGTACCTTGTGTGCCTTCCTCTTGAACCCAGCCCCAGGTAACCACATCGGCAAATGTCGTACTATGGCATGTAAGCTTCCGCACACCTGTCGTGCAGCGGCGGGTGGGACTTACAGAGTGGGAAGAAGTCCACAATCATCGACCCTGGCCCTCCTGATTCGATCGTTTCTTTCGCAGCACGTTCAGCGAGATGGACAAATTGATCGTTTAAAGACGTTACGGAATGTCCGTAGGCAATCTCCATAATCATCGCCGCAGCAAATCTACGATCCGATCTCAACATGTGTCACAAAAGGCTGAAGTGAAGGAGCTGACCTTCTGATGTGTGCCCTGAAGAAGCCAGGAGACTCAAATAGGCCGGATATGAGTACATATGCTTCTCTTCTTTGCAAAGCGCGGTAACTGATGAGCGCATCCTTATCCTCGAATGCTTGAGCTATCCATCGACGATGCTTGCGGAATCGCTCGCCGTAAGTCATGTGTGTGATAACACAGTCCCATCCCATTCTGATTGCCGAAGACGTAAATATTCATCGGGAGATGGTCATATTTATAGGTCCCGGCCACACTCACAAATCGGATAGTAAAACAAATCGTGGCCTGTGCGAATAGTTCGCGCTCTTCGCGTCTAGAAGGTCTTGCGCAGCTTTGAGAGAATTAATCACGATGGCGGGCGTCCGAAATAGCTGCGCATATACCAGACCACCTATATCTCTCTGTTCAGCGCAGGCAGAGTGCAGCAGGGAACAACGCCACCGTAAAGTTTTCCCCAGTTTGCAAAAGTTTTCTCTTGAGACACCATCGATAGCTGATGGACGTTGCCCAGCAATGGGATCGGCTTAGGCCCCGGAGGAAGGCGCAGAGAAGAAACATCTTCTGTCCATCGAAGGTAGACTATTCTGGCGATCACCACTACGGACACCACAAAACCAACGACGACCGCCAGCTGCATGGTGGTGGAAGTCTGGGGGGCGATGTCGAAGGATTCGAGGCGGAAAGATGCCTTGTCGACCAGTTTTGCGGCTCTTATAACTGCCGCGATATTGTGCGAACATCTACCACGCTTCTAAGGAAGCTATCCGAGCGTCAACAGTGTGTGAACATTTGTTGTCTTGGTCTAAGCCGTTCTGGATCGGAGATGCTGCCTGGCCTGTATGGCCGGCAGGGGAGTTTTCAACGGAACATAATGGTTAAGCGAATTGGATCGCCGAACATATCAGGGGTATTAGTCGGCCCAGGCCCGATGCTCATCGCGATTAGTTTAAGCTCCCGATATCCTGGAATGCGTTCTCCCGATCGCAGTGTCATAATTCCCATAGAGTGTCACAACGCTCTGAGAGCGACATGATTTGTAAAGGCAGAAAGTAGGCAAAGCGCGGATAGACACACACCTGGAGGCGCGTGTCCGCGAGCGCGTTCCTCCAATTGTAAACGGCGTGTCTGCGAGTAAAGGCGCACATCCGCATGGGAGCGGGGAGGCAGTAGACGCTATGTTAGTGGCGTCGTACAGCACCCTATAAAGCATGCTCATGAACACTGGAGAGAGCGTCGATCCACTCATGTGTCTTTTCTAGAGGTCATCATTGCCACCTACCGTGCAGCTAGCCGCAAGGTGTTCCGGCCGAATGAAATTATGAACGCCGCTCTTCTCCGACATAGCCATCACAAGGCCAAATCGCTTCGCATCTGATACGAAACTACTGATGTTTCAGCATGAAATGTCGGCTATGTGTCTCGATTTGAGGTCATGCATGGAAGAAACTGGATATCAGGGTAGTCAAGCTGTTATGCGAACCAACCCACTGGCCCGTTGCTCCCGGGCATCCGATCAAAACGAAGCGCCACGGGATGTCAGGTCATATCTGAAACATTTGCCAGGCAGAAGAACTAGGAGCTCACGTTCCTTATTGTTCAGGGACCTGGACTCACACTCCTGCGCTGTTTAATAGTCGTGAATACAGGTCCAGACCATTAGGGTTCTAGCTACGTACTAAATGCTTGACTATCCTCCCTATAAGCGAGAACAGGTTGTTGCCGCAGAAATGAAGTTGGTGTTCTCAGAACCACATCTGCAACTAGTGATGCAGTAGTCATAGGTACTGCGAAGGCCACGGAGGAGCAACGTAATTTCGCGTGAATTAATGTGTGTTCACTCCGAGGAGACGCGCGCCTTTATTGTCTGTTCAAGCAATATCCGCTGTTCCAATAAAGCATATCCATTGCGTATCATGAAATTGACACCATGTCGGATGCAATAGGGATCAGAACAAATAACATAGATACCCGCAAAGGCCCAATCCTACAGCTTCTGAATAACAATCGCCGATGCAGCGCCACCCTGTGACAGATTTGGTCAATGTCAATCCGCTTGATGACTACGAACTAGCACTCACTCCGTTGCAGACACCGGCCGCACCATACTCGCCTGACTTTAGCGCGTGGACGAGCGAGACGATGATACGTGATCCAGAGTTGCCGATGGCATGTCCAAGTGCCACAGCGCCGCTACAGGAATATTATCAGCTGCGTAAGTAATCAAGTAGTCATGAGTAGACGCACCCGTTCACATTGATCTTCTCTGGATGAAGGCCAAGAACACTCTCAGCTATCCGGATGACTGCCGAGAACGCCTCGTTGATCTCGAACAACGCGATGTCCTCAATCTTCAGGTTTGCGCGCTCCAGAGCCTTGGGGAGGACAATTGTCGGTGCGATAGGGAAGTCAATGGGATCAACGCCAGCATCGGCATACGCTGAGAAAAACCTAGTCAACGAACGTCTGCGGACATCGAGGACATCGATACATACAGATAATCTTGGCCAAGGGCTTGACACCAAGCTCCTGCGCCTTCTCAGTCGACATCAGAAGCAAGGCTGATGCACCATCATTGAGGGGTGAGGAGTTTGCAGCCGTGATGGTTCCACCCGCCTTGAATGCGGGATTCAATGTTGGGATCTTCTCATAAATCACCCGCTTATACTGCTCGTCTTCCGCAATGATAGTGTTGCCCTTCTTGCCCTTGATGGTTACGGGAGCAATCTCGGCTTCGAACGCACCCGCTTTCCATGCCCGCTCTGCCCGCCTGAATGACTCGACAGCATGCGCATCCTGGGATTCTCGCGTAATCTGGAACTTCTCGGCCGCTGACTCTCCGCAGTTGCCCATCGCGAAGTCGTTGTATACATCCCAAAGACCATCATTCTGCAATGCGTCCTTGACCTCGAATTTGCCGAATATGGGATTCGATCGTGGCAAGAGATATCTGCCAATCGATAATTACGTCCGTAAGAACTGTAGTCAGAACCAGAAACGGAAAAGTAGGCTCACGGAGCGTTGCTCATGCTCTCCATTCCACCGGCGACAACAGCGCTCTTGTAGCCTGTCGAGATTGTCTGCGCACCAAGGATGACAGCCTTCATGCCACTGGCGCAGACCTTGTTGATAGTTGTTGCGTCCGAAGTGGGGCTCATGCCGGCACCCAGTGCAACCTGCCTCGCCGGTGACTGACCGACGCCGGCCTGGATGACATTGCCGAAGAAGATCTCCTCCATGACTGTCGGATCGACCTTAGACTGCTCGAAAGCATGTTTGAGAGCCACGATGCCCAACTGAGGCGCTGTTAGAGACTTTAGTGAACCATTGAAGGAGCCGACTGGCGTCCGGGAGGCAGCGACAATGACAACTTCGTGAGACGACTGCAGGCGTCAAATCACGTCAGCATCCAACCCCAGTTGACCATTGAGTCCTCCACGCACCATTTGACGGACAAAGGAGGTGAGTCTACGATGAGCGACAGCGGATGGGGTAGCGAGACGGGTGGTGAACATTTCGTCGGGGATTTTGCAGCTTTATAGCGACTGGATGTGGGGAACGCCGACCAATCGCCAGACGATGATCGGAATTTTACAATCGTACGACTGTATTTACTCAGACGAAGGACGGCGGCTTCGACAAGCAATCGTGCAACGCTTGGTGGACAGAGTGAGGCGATTCTTCATCGTCGGCGGACGCTCTTATAAAGACTGTCGGCCAATGAGTCCCATGACCGACTTGGTCGGACTGCAAGAATCATGCGTCGGTGCGCCGCGCACCGCTTGTCCAAGTGGCCGGATGCGGGGCACGCCTCTTCCCCGAACAAACGCCAAGGACATCTGGCTATTACGGATCATGAAATTCAAGCACCCGCACTGTACATATGTACTCTACTGGACATCCTACGGGACACTGCCGGGTGCAAGGTCCACCATTTGCCCGAGTACCGTGAACCATGCCTCGATACACCGCTGTAGCCTGCTTTCCTCCGCAAGACCCACACTCTCAACTTCGAGCATGATCTCTTCCACAGCCTCCGCAGTGTGACATGGGTGGAGATACCAGGAGGGCGTGCCGAGAACAGGATGTTCACCTTGAGACAGCAACGGAAAGTTTGACCCAGGATCACTCACGGCAAAGGATGTTGTTTCGGTGCCTAGAATGGAGGACGACCGGAGCAGCGGAGAGCTCACGATTTCCATTAGGGTTAGAGGTGTACCGTCTGGTAATGCTGCAGCTTTCGCCTTATGCAAAGAATAAGACAAGCCTAAGAAACGTACTGCTGTGGTGCATGGTGAAGTAGAAGGCCGGCACTTGGAATGTCGCAGAGTACACAACAGACTGTCGCGCCGTGACGATGTCGGATTCGCTGAAGACAGCGACGTCATCTACAGTCTCTGGAGCTTCCAACCAACCCTCGTCGTCCTCATGAGACGATCGTGGTTCGGCGTTGACTGAGATGAGGACTGAGCGAGACATGTAACCCAAGTGAGGCGCTAACTTGACTTCGTTGAGAGAGTGAACAGAAAGACAAACGATCCGGCGCACTGCATGTTCATGCCAAGTCCAGCTGTCTGGATGCACAGCTTGCAGAGACAGATCTCCATGCGTCCGAGCGTTATGCTTGTCGATATATGCCTTGCACGCTGTCTCGAACTGTAAGCGAGTGAGGGTGGCAGCCATACTGCGGGACGCCCGTTGTGGCGTGCGAATAAACGATATAGCTGTAGAGTAAAGTTTGCAGCCACCGGCGATTCCCACACGCGTACTCAGTCCCAGCGTGCGCGCGCCTACAGCTGAACCACGCCAAAACCCCAGCCCGTCCAAGTGCCGGTGCTTGTGCCCGCTCGTTGTTCTAAGGTCGCTCCTTCGGCCCTAAGATTCCACCATGGCTGTCGGTAAAGTCAGTGTTGTTCGAAATCTTCCGTTTAGGTTCGAATCTTATGCCGTGGACTTCCGCAGAACAAACGTTTGTCTAAGGGCAAGAAGGGTATCAAGAAGAAAGTCGTGGACCCTTTCACGAGGAAAGGTACGTTGTGTCCCATCACGCAGTGCGTGTTGTAGTTCTGACATCGTTGACAAGACTGGTACGACATCAAGGCGCCATCAATATTTGAGAAGCGCAACATTGGGAAGACTCTTGTCAATCGGTCGCAGGGCCTTAGTACGTTATCTGAATGTCGACTCTGGTACTTCAGCCAACGTCGTGACAGAAAACGCCAATGACTCGCTGAAGGGTCGCATCGTCGAGGTCTCACTTGCAGATCTGAACAACGATGAAGAGCAGGCATTCCGCAAGATCAAGCTCAGGATTGACGAGGTCCAGGGCAAGAACTGCCTGACAAACTTCCATGGCATGTCGTTCACCTCCGACAAGATCCGGTCGCTTGTGCGCAAGTGGCAAACTCTCATCGAGGCGCACGTTGATGTCAAGACGACCGACGGCTACCTCCTTCGTCTCTTCGCGATTGGCTTCACCAGAAAGCGCCCTGCGCAGGTCCGCAAGACCACGTACGCGCAAACGAGCCAGATCCGCGAGATCCGACGGAAAATGTTTGACATTATTACGCGGGAAGCAACATCGTGCGACTTGAAGGAGCTCGTTCAGAAGTTCGTGCCGGAGGCGATCGGTCGCGAGATTGAGAAAGCGACTCGCGGCATCTACCCTCTTCAGAACGTCTATGTCCACAAGGCGAAGATTCTAAAGGCACCAAAGTTCGACATGTTGAAACTTCTTGAGCTACACGGCGAGTCGACAGATGTGAGTGCAATGTCTCATTTTATTGAAGACTCTTCTCTGAGCATTCATGTTGTATTCTCGATCGTAGGAGACGGGCACGCGGGTTGTGAAGGACTTCCAGGAGCCGGAGATCCTCGATACGGTGTAATTCTTCCATTGTCACCTTGTATCATGCATGCTTTCTTTTCTATTACATACGGGTATGACTATCTATGCACGTTCATGAAGTCCAATTGAACATGCTCATCGACGTCAATGGATCTACCCGATCATTTTATGGGATGCAACTGATGAGCAAAGGCCAACGGATGCTCATGAGGCGCTTCTCTGAATAAGACCATCAACACTGAGCATGGTGATTGACGATGCATGTGCGCACGCGCAGCTGAGAATGTGCCCGGCGTTCGCATACATATGCCTGCTTTGATCAATAACTACAAATTTTCCTGCCGATCATGATCTCTACTTGTTCCCTTACCTTCGACTGAATTTGTATCGGGTCTCCCTTCATGGCGGACGTTGAGTACTTAAGAAGTCTCCTGAGAGCTCACCCTGACTTCCCCAGGAAGGTGAGGAAGGGATTCATGGGAGACGTGTATAATCTTGCAGCTCAACTTCTTTGAATTCGGCAGGGCATCGTGTTTTTGGACATCTTCCCGATCCTCCGCAACCCGCTTGCCTTTGAGACGCTAATTACGCATTTTGTGCACCATCTTACATCCCAGACGATCCCACAGTCGCCCTCCAAGAAGATCGATGTGGTAGTCGGTCTTGATGCGCGCGGGTTCCTCTTGGGCCCAATCATCGCCATGAGATTGGGCGCCGCGTTCGTTCCCGTCAGGAAAAGGGGGAAGCTGCCCGGCGAATGCGTTACCGCGACATATGAGAAAGAATATGGCTCGGTGAATAGCCTCTGGAAATTATTGTAACTTCATATGCTGAGCTAGATATACCAGGACTCTTTCGAAATGCAAGCCGACGCGATTGAGCCTGGCCAAAATGTGGTCGTCGTAGATGATCTCATCGCTACTGGTACGTTAAGATGGATTCAGTGGAGGTCTTGCGCTCACGCCTTGTTTAAAGGCGGATCAGCGAAGGCAGCCGGTCAACTGGTCACTCAACGAGGAGGGAAGATCCTTGAATATCTCTTTGTAATTGAATTGCCGTTCCTGAAAGGAGGGGAGCAACTCGATTCACCAGTGTATTCCCTAGTGAAGGCGGATTGATTATGCTTTATAGCTAATGTGATCCCTCTAACAACATGTAAGTATATCCTATCGTTTTTACATGGTGGTCTCAGACGACTAGCCTCGTATTCATGAGGGGGTATCCGTTTAGGTACAGCACACGACTAATGTCCTTGGAGTCGTTCAAATCTCCTATATGGTCCGTAGTCGGTTGGGCTTGAGGCTCTACGGCAACCATGACCTGTCCTAGCCCGAACTCCTCGGCAGCATCAAACAGCGCGGATACGACATTCCCAACCGATCGCCTCAGAACGACAATGACGGCGTCATGAACCAAGTCGTCCACAGCCTCAAGGTCCGCCGCGTCCGCAGACGGATTGATGCTCGTGTCTTCATCACTGAGGACAACCACGCCTGAGGCACCTGCAAGCCGTGCCGAGACGAGTTTCTCCAGGAAGGTACATTCTCCACGGTCTACCAGGACAGCTTCATCGTCGAATGTCCGGGTGTAGGGTAGACACCCGTAAGGGTTCTCCGACTCTCGTACGAGCCTCACACCTGCCCCGTGACCGAACGTCAACGTTGGTTCCCCTGATGGTGGAGCAGAGGCTGTAGGGTCACCACCGAACAGGGCTGTCGACGCCGTAACGGTCACGTCGGTGGTCATCTCGTTCGCTACTGCCTGCACGAACAGCAACGCATCAACATACTCCACGTAGAAGCGTAGATCGACCTCCGGGATGCGTGAGCTTCCTTCATGATCGAGGGCTCCTTTGGCATTTAAAGGTGTGAGCTTCAGTTCGGGGTCGCTGACATAGACGGTTTGTCCTGTCTTGACTGCATATGGACCAACTAGCAGGACCGGTCAGTTACGAGTGCTGACAAATGACGGAAGGCCACTCACGCTTCGTCACGTCGTAACCCTTCCCATCGAGTCGACTGACAACATGAGCTCTTATTCCACTGACATTATGCAGGATGTACCCATCCGGGGCGGTGCTCAACTTGTTCGTCGCAGGGTGTGGATCCTCCGGAACAATCTGACCTCCAGGAGACAAAATGAAGTCGTATGACTGGGGTCCGTCAATTAGAAGATCAAGCTTCGAAGACGACTGGAGAGCTGTCCACTTACGAATAGCGTCACCGCCGGCACTTCACACCAGCCGTTTGGAGACCATCGCTTCATATCTTGGTCAGATGGCCGCACGCCTATGAGCTCTCGTACATATTCGACGTCGGTTCGCGCGCGAATCCCGCCTGTGAGGCCCGTCTCCCCTTTCCAGTCGTCATAGGCTACCAGCGGCGGCTCATATGCAGAACACTGGTGGTGCTCGGCGCTACGTAGTTTTCTGCGCACGGGCGACAAGGGCTTGAGCAGCTCGGATTCCAGCCACAAGATGTGGCCTTCCGTCGTGAAGACGTAATTGGAGTCATCTCTGTGGATAGGGTTGTTCTCGTCGAATAGCAGGTACAGATACTAAGTTCGATATTCAGAGTTATGCGAGCAGCTGAAGGCATGATGCGCCCACCTTCAGCGTCTCGGAGAGCACGAACGACTCCATACGGTCATCTTGTGCGTTTGAGCGCAGATCCTTGATTGAAGCAAGGCCACACTTGACCTTAGCCCGCGTTGTGATGTCATACAGGATCCGGCCTCCAACGTCAAGATAGAACGGGTCACGAGTGGCCTAGTGGCTAGGCATGAGCTGCCTGCACACGAGAATATGCGCATAGGCGTACGCGATATAGATACCAGGTAGACTCAACAAATTCTAATTAGGATGCGTTCGGATGAGCGACTAGCAGCGGGTTAGAGGAATGCCGATATGTACCTGGTCGCAAAGGATATTGTCTGGAACTGGGCTTGCGAAAATTCATATCCCAGATCTCAGGCAGCCCTGACATGCCTCGCCAGATATTCCAATCTACTCGACGTATGACGTACATGAGGGCAATATAACAAAGAAGGGCAAGGTAGTAACACGTACATGTCAGGTGCGACTTGATTGCATTCTCTACATCTCCCGCAAGGACTTGGAGGCCAGGCCAGAAGGCAGACAGCGAGTCGAACGTGTAGTAAGCAAGATCACCCTGGGCGGTGCGTCAGGGCTTCGTAGGGAGTGCTATGCGAAGACTCATACTGTGTGCATATTCACGCTGCGATACTAGAGAAGCAATCAGACGACAATATCCCTCCGTACATTTGGTTTATACGTACCCAGAAACCGTCGGGAGCCCTCGCATAGCGCATTACAGCGGCATATGCATCTTGCCAAACATCTAAAAACTCGACTTCTCCTGCAGCAGCCGTAGTGTGATGAGGATGCATAGCACAGATGCATATCATCAAAGGAACGCCTCGACTCACCGCTCATGATGTACCACTTCAACGCATACTCAAAAAATGAGTCGATTCCTGCTCCAATGCTGCTCGTTTCTGGGTATTGCCACGCCTGACGTCCAGCGTGATGTAGCATTGGATCAGGATATAGAAAAAAGGCAAAACTAGCTTGAAGGCTCACACACCCCAGTCCATGTATTGATGGTGTTTCCCACAAGACCAATGTCTGATTTACGGTTCCACAAAGCAAAGAATGCCTTGTAGGCTGCTTCCTCAAAGCGTGGATCTCCGGTTAGTCGACTCAATGTGCCGAATTCGAGAATTAGCGATCCTGCGCCGGCGGTGCCTACACGCGTACATCATGAAACGTCCCATCCTTCCATAACGAACGACCCACATGTGTCTATTGTTTCACCCCTTAACATGCCATGCCTGAGGTTGATCTGTCTGTACAAGTCAGCTGTGTTTAACGCCCTCTGTCACTGAGAACTTGCCCTCGCGTATGGTATACCGGTTGGTGACTGGAACGCAGGTAACAACCTCTCGCCGAGATCATACGCCATGGCAAGGAGTTCATTATGATACCAAGGCAAATGAAATGGCTGCCCAGTTTGGTTCGCAAATAAATGTGCGGAAAGTAGTCCACCAAGTACGCGAATAGTCGTTTCGAACACCTGCGGCCTGGTGTCCACGTCAAAAGAGACGTGGTTAATCACATTTCGCACAGCGGCTTCGAATCCTGGAGGATCGTTCAGAACGACGAAAGTGTCCAGGGCATCGATCAGAGTTACAGAGAAGTTGCCGGCGACATCGTTCTGGGCTATGTTCGCTCTGCAACACAAGCGTTAATTTGATTCGCCGATAAGATTGTCGGACGCACGAATTTTCCCAGTCAGGTCCCCTGCCTGAACACGTAAGTGGTGCCAGCTATTCACAATATGAGTCGGCCAAAACAAGCAGAGGAAAGAAGTCCTCCAACCTCGTCAAGTGGAAATGCTGTAGTAAACGGCTGAGCCAAGGTCAAGTAAATAATACATGGAGCCTCACCATACTGCATGTAGCTCTCGAACCCATGGTACCACAGTGCACGGACCTGGTTTCTGCTAGGAATTACAGCCCCGTTGACGCTGGTGGAACAGCTCACGAGCGCACCTTACGTCTGTTTTCCTGGCTGATGTCCAGCCTGTGCCTTCCACAAACGCAAACGCATAGTCATGGGTCCACCTGTGACTCTCGAGGCCGATAATAAGGAGAGAAAGAGCGACCTTCGGCCAGTACGTGGGCCACTTCATGAAAGTAGTACAGAATGTAATGTGTATTATGCTCTTTTGAGCAAGAGAGAAATATGTGCCGCTCTCCCAGAGTATGTAGACCGCCGCCTTTTGCCAAGTTAGAGTGGAAAATGAGTATGAATGAGTGTCCAGTGAGCTGAAGCTGGTGCGTTAGCTAGGCGCTCAATGTGTGCGATGCGATCGACGTGGAACTCGCGATCTCGATCACATGATCTCGTGTGCTCAAACACGTCGCCGACGGCTCGAACTTCAATTTACATTGAACTATATTGTGGACATTATCGGCAAGGTTGAGTGCGGATTTCACCATCTAATCTGGATTTCGACCGCGTTCAACCATCTGAAGACTGGGCTTGGTTCGAGAATGTTACCGAGCACTAGAGTAAACCACTCCTGCCCTGCTGCAGGTAGCCGAGTCGATGCTGGGGCAATTCTGACAAGTGGTTTAAATTTATGTTTGAGTCCAAAGCCATTACATGCCAAGACATCTGGAACGAGGTACTACGCAATACACACGCGTTGGGCGTGAGAAATCTACAATCAACGAACACAAGGCTGTTCCACCCGCCCTTCAAGCTTCAAGCTTCAACGTTTCAAAAATCAGATATCTTGATCCGAACTCAGATTCAAGTCGATGCGACGTCGATCGCACACTATACGTTCACAGGTTTGCTTACTGACAAAGAGGCACCTCTTTTTCTACAGTGCGGTGCATCGTCTTCGACGCTCAAGTAACCGTCTGAGCTGTAGGTCGCCGAGTAGCCATCCGATGGCTCAACTGCTCATTAGCGAAAGAACTACTCTACAACAATGCACTCACAATAATTGTCACAGTATCACCGCCTTGTCGGCAGTCAGCTAAACGAGGTGGGCCTTACGTTTTACCGGTCGACTGCTGCGGCTTGCGATGGCCATCGTTTCACTGAATGCCGATCTTTCGTAATTTATACAAGGAGGGGACCGGATATTGTGATATTCACACCCCATCCTTAGGCGTCTTTGTGTAGCGGAAATCGAGCACATCTGCAATGCACCTCGCTATGGTATGCTTGGAAGAACCGTACTAATTGAGGCTTGGTGACGATCTCCTCTCAAGCGGCCAAGCGTACGATGCCAAAACATCTGATCTCTGTCCATCGAATGGTATGTAGTCTCTCGACATTGATGCCTTCCAGTGCACAGCATAGACTAAGCGTTCATCTTCTGTCGGTGCAAGGGCGAAACAGTCCACACGATAGTGTGCGGTCCCAAGGAGACAAGCACATCAAAAAATTAATGATGCTTTGGTGACTCACGTTCCGCCTCTATTTCTGCTACCCGTTATCACCGCTTGCGTCGGAGTTCACCCGTTGTGGCAATGAAAGCACGGTTTGCTATACACGCATCGACGTGGGTCGATGTTAGGTCGATGCCTCGTAGTGCATTTGTGAAAGGCTTCGCCCGGCGATTCTCTCGCTCAGAGACACTGATGTGCCGTTTATGTCATCCTGCCTTGTGACTATGTGGAATATGCTTTGTCCATTTCATCCAGTGCTGCGGAGCGCTGACGTAAAAATATACGCATGGTACGGAGTGTTCTGTTACAGATGTTCAGCGCATAGGATTGGGATCTAACTCCAGATCGCGCCGAGTTGTTTCGAACCGGTGGAGAGTTAAACGTTAAAGGCTATCAATGCGAATGGGCACCGTTTCGGATGACAAAACGCTCATTTCGTACAGTTACAGAAATGCTTGTCTGTGCGCTTGCCTTGTGAGCCGTTTGCGGATGACCTCACTAGCATAGCACTCATAGCAACTTGGACGAGAGATTGGCTCTCAAGGCATCTAGATTAGAGGAGGAGCGGGCTTGCGGAACATGTTACTTTGCGCCGCGGGTGTACTACACTAACGTGAAACAGACGACGGACGTCGTAAAGGGGTTGTGACGATCTCTTTTGGCAACAAATCGAGCATGTGTCTTGATCGATACTACAGGCATGGAGGAAGTGGTGGCTACGAAAGCAGCTCGGACTTGTGCTTGACACGGCAACGCACTCCGATATTCGTTCACCGACGGCGTGTTTCGGCCCATTTCTGCAGTCAAGCGGATCTTGCTGGATCTTGGTGGAAGGCGACGGACAGGCCTTCCATCGGCGTTGATGAGTTCCGAGGTACGGGTATCCCCCAATTCGCCGTCTCCACTGACATATGTCTCTTGAATGGGCAACGACATCAGCCCTGCTGCTAGTATGGAAGCTTGATGTACATTCTGCATTCGGTGACATGGGTTTTGGGACGCAAAATTCCAGCGCCGACGTCTGACCAAATTAACTGTATGATAGGCAGTTGACGTACTATTGCGCGGCGATGGATGCGGACCGCGCACTTATCTGTCCCAGAAGTTGATCAACATCGACAACTCGACGGCCGTTGTTGGGAGAGATACCTATCTTGCATCAAGCAATTGACCGTACTCTGGTCCGTTTACCGAAGGTAGCTCTTAGAGAGCGCACGGGCGCCGGACGCGGGTGGGATCCACTGCACGTCCGACATCGGGGAATTGACTCGCGGTGTAGCCAGCATATGCCCATCGTCATCGGAGGGCATACTGAAACGCTCACAGGAAATGGGACGGAGGCCTGGCATATAAGATGGCGCGTCCCAGTGTCGCCTCTCAAACCGTCTACTACGTCCAAAGTTTCGTCCTATCCACTCCATAACAAGAACGCGCTGTCTGCATTCACCATGCCTTCTATTCCCGAGCATTTCATGCTGCCTGGTGGATGGACGGTTTCCGACTTGTGCCAGATCGCAAGTATGCATTCTTTCAACACAGCGCCAGCGAGCTACTCTGTGCATACACTTATCCGTACGCAAGCGCGAAAGAGCTGCGCATATGCTTCGACTTGGTCAACGTCCCCTTCACCATGGACGCCATCAGCGATCAACAGACCGCAACTTGAGGACGCTTATTCGACTGGTCACGTCTTGTTGAACGCGCTGCAGAACCCCCATTGGAACAACGATTCTATCTGGGCAAGAACGTGCAAGGAGTAAGTTAGAGACTCGCGTTCAGACTGCATCGTGTATTCACTGATATTCATTGGCTATAGTCTCAGCAGGCGGCTTCAAGAATATGATATGCCTGCCAACCATCGCCGTTTGCTGAAACACTGCAAGCATTATATCGCTGCCGCTGCTTTAGAAGCTAAAGTTAGGGAACGCAACGAAGCTCTCGCTTTCGAGCGGTACATGGCCGCGCTACGTAGAGAGAATAGCGCTGTTCGTTTCTGCTTTGGACTGTTCGGTTTCGTGTTGGGGCACGACCTACCCGATGAAGTCTTCGAGCATCCCGTGATGATGCGAATGCATCTCTCGGCCGTTGACATGGTGTGTCTGGCAAACGTAAGCTAACCTTAGGTAATTGATATCTTCTGACTTGATCAAATGCCTTGCAGTTTATTCATACAACGTAGAGCAAGCCATGGGCCACACAACCAACAATATCATGACGATACTCATGAAGGCGGAGAATTGCGACCTCCACACCGCTTCAGATCTCTCCGAGGAGTACTTCAGGAAGCTCATGAATGATTTCCAAAAGGACATGGCACAGTTGCCATCGTGGGGCCCTGTCATGGACGCGATCGTCACCAAATTCGTGATGGCAATGGAATATTGGGTGGTTGAGAGTATTCACTGGAGCTTCGAGACGATAAGATATTTCGGTCCGGAACGGGATGAGGTGAAGCGCACACGGATTGTCAGACTGTGCCGAAAGCATCCGCAATTCTGAAATCAGAGGTATGCCTCCATCGGCAGAATCATCTGTGACAAAGTTAATGCTGATCTAGATCTAACTTCTCCAGTAAGAAATATACTTCATCGTCCATGTTTCTATATTCCTGTTAGGATCCGTTTATATAGACAATTTAATCAATGACATACACAAGCTCAATTGTATCGTCGCCGTGTAAAATTTTTGTAAAGCTTTACGTCGACTGTCGAGTCCTATGGAATCCGATTGGTCTCTGACTGAACGGCTACCCGATCACATGACCTCGCACGACGAATCGCACCGACTCTGCCCTTCTCAAGAAGTCGAACCCATTCGCCTATCAGACTTCCGCGCAACATTAAACAACATGAGCACAATAGTTGACGTCTCAAGCAAGCTAGGAGAGTACATGCTCAAAGGATGGGCAAGTGGATCTTGGTCCTCACCAAAGATTAGGTCCCGCTGACTTGCACTCAGGTACTGACAGATGATATCTGTGCAAAGTGTCACAAAGTACCCCTTATGCGCTCTTCGACAGCTCCTGCTACCCATTTCTGTGCCAATTGTGACTCGGCAGCTCCTGCATCTGGCCTCCCCCCCGCTCCCTCGGGGACACTGAAAGAACGACGGCATGAGCACTCTCCCAGCAGTGCATCGAGCAGCCACCCCTCACGTTCGTCCACGCCGCCTACAGAGCTTTCTAGCACGCCAGGATCCCCGATCCTTGTCCCACCAATGAACGCCGAGGAACTCTTACGCCGCCGACAACAGTCAGATGCGGCTTCTGCAGAGATTGGGAAGCGCATGCTAAAGGGATGGGCGATGCTCGCGGACGAATGTCCCAACTCCAACTGTTATGGCATTCCACTTGTTCGTCCTCCGAAGCCCGGTGGTGGGAAAGGCTCTCGCAAGGTCCCTCGATATTGGCAGTTGCGTACTCACCGACGCTAACTTGAGAACATACAGGAATGCGTGGTATGTGGCACTGTCTACGTCGATGAGGAGAGTCCGTCCGGCGAAACTCGTCTGGTGCCTCTCAACTCGACCAGCTCTGTCGCTGCTGAGGTCCCCTCGCCAGCTGCCGCATCAGTTGTGCCGCCCTCAAGCGCCTTCTCCTTGGACAAAGGGAAAGGGAAAGGGAAAGCAGTGGATAGGCAACCTTTCCCGCATAGCCCTCCCCCTGGTCTGGACAACAGCCGCAACGGCACCGGATATCGACCCCGATCTCCGTTTGACACCGCTGTCCGACCTGTATATTCATCCAACGTGCGTCTCTTCTACAATGAAATACACGTGTTCGTCGTGCATTCGTGATAGACCCACGCTCTGTTTCAGCCACCCAATCAGCCTCAGCCCGTCAATGACAGTGCTCAGAGCAGCACGGATTTCGTCCTCGATGCCTCTGCTCGTTCCCTGGAGGTGTCTTTACATGTTATGTCTAACAGGCTGAAGGCGCTCTCGAGCGGCCCATTCCCGGATCCTGCGATGATCGCACAGACAGCAGAGGCGATCATGAAAGTGTCACAAGCACTTATGCAGGTGAAGCAGTTGCAATGGAGTGAGAGCCAAGCCTTAGGTGCGTGAATGAAGAGGCAGCGAGACGTAGTGTGCTATATGTGAGTTCAACGTGCATTCTCGCCTATCTGAATGTGAACATGTGCTTCTTTAGGATGTACCGTATGCTTTAAATGACGAAGCGATTCCTCGAGCCGTTTGCACGTGTACTTACGAAGTGAGGGTAACTGGCGCCCATATACAGATAATTGACGCAGAGGCACGGCAACAGGAGACGGTATTATTGCTCACTCACAAGCACCAGTACTTCGCACCTACATGCCATCCGTGATTCTATCCTCGCCGGGAGCTGTCTGGATGCTTACGAGAAGCGACTGAATGATTGATGATTGCTTTTTTTGCTACTCCGCCATTCAGTGATCGGGAATTGTCGTGGTCAAATGATACGACATCTACGATCCCTTACGCATCGCCGCAACAGCACGATGTCCGCGTGTTCGTATTGCCGCGCGTCCGTCGCATGCACTGACAACCAGGCTAAGAGCCGCATTGAAGATGGATACAGTGGCCCTCCACTCTCTCTGCCAGAACCACTCAGGCCTGACCGACGAGTCTAAAGTTGTGGTTGACTGTCCCAACTGGTGATGCCAACAGTCGTTCTCTTCACACATTGATCTCTGCTTGTCCTTTGCTTCATAAAATATCCCCTACCACTTGAGTTCATTTTTTTAACAATGCCTCGTTTGTTTCCCAATCTTGGCCGCTCCTCGAAGGAGAACGCGCAGGACGCATTTGCACGCCATGACCTTTATGAGCAGAAATATGCCCAGGATGACTATGGATATGGCTATGGATACGAGCAGGAGTCTCTACTTGCGCCGACGCCGACACGACCAAGAATGTCGCCATCGAAAGAACCGAGGATCGATGGGAGGGTAAGTTGGCTCTCCTCTGCCTCTCAGACCCTGGACTTACGAGCACACTGGCAAGGCGTATTACGGTGAAGGCGAGATACCCGTAAGTATCAACATAGCACGCGATAGCTCGGATGTTACTCATAGCGCTCTCACTGTGTTCCCAGGGGTTTCAGCGCACCCGCTCGTATCGAACAGCGACCGATGATTACTGCGAAAGCCAGTACTCGTCCGGCACATTCCCCGCAATGCCTTATGCACGTTCCGATGAAACCGAGTCCTACGATCCCATCCCATCCCACCCTTACAGCCCCGTCCCCATGGTGCAGCGCGAGGACTCGCTCACACGCCTGCGAGAAGCATTTGCAGACAACGGGACGTACACGCCTGGCACGATGACAGAGGCGACCACACCTGTACCTGACCATATACCGGATATGGGGCAGTTCTCGTACGGTACACCTGGGCCTCAACGGTGGAGAGCACCTCCTGTTGAAATGAGGACCGTGGAAGAGGTGAAGCGTGGGCCAGTGTTGGTGGACAACGCGTACGGGCCGTTCGAAGGTATCCGCCCGGTTGTCAGGCAGGCACCCAGACAACTTCGTCCACTCCCGCCAATACCGCCTCCCAAACCAGTAAGTATGATTCCGTTGCTGGCGATATATAGCTGAGACGACCCATACTTTCCAGCCAGTCGCCCCTGCGCAGAAATGGGAGGTGTATCCTGCTGAAGATGATGAAGGATACCCGTCAGTTGTGATCGCCGTGCAGCGTGGCGGATATGGCCAGAAAGACACATATTACATCATCCCTGGAGGAGCTCCGGTTATTTTCGAAGATGAGGAAGGCAATGAAATCACACGGTAGGTATATGCTTACCTCAAAGCAAGCGACCAAATTAACTAACATGGCCTCTCACCCTTCCAGCGTGGGAGATTTCAGCGGAAATTACAGGCCACCGCGGAATCCGCGTCCAGTGATTGTCCAAGACGAGTACGGTCGTGAAATCTGCAGGTGAGTCGCACATCAGCAGTAATCGAACCCTGCAGCCTGCCTGACTGGTGGTTTAGGGCAGGATTTAGCGACGATCGTTCATCAAGCCGTACCAAATCTGACGATAGCAACTACTACAACGATGAGAGACGACGTGATCCATATGTCCACTACCGCCACGAGTACAGACCGGAACGTGGCTTTCCATACCCATCGTATCCTTATCACGAATATAACGACTTTGAAGAGGACAGACGTTACGGGTAAGTACCGCATCACATATCCTGGGAAGATCACTGAGACACTCCGGACGTAGGCCACGGCGGCCATACTATGGGGACCGAGGTTATGCTCCAACTCCCAAGGTAGTGTACATCGATCCGACGTAAGCAACATTGCATTTCTCCCTAAGGAACATGCGGAGACAGTGCTCATGTGCCCGTGTATTACAGGCGAAGAATCACCAACGACGTGTATCGCCCGAACCCGGAACCACGTCTGTCAGATCATCGAGGCGATGGTTACCGAGCGGCATCAGGCCGGCCTCGTGGACAGCATGATGGCTCTCCCTCGTTCATCGACTTGGACCAATGCAGACACGAGAGGTCAAGGTAAACGATTGTTTTAAATTTTCGAGGTGTCCAACATTGATTCCGATTATAATAGCGCAAGCGGAAGCTCTAAGAATAGCGGCTCCTTGAGATCTGGCCAGCCTTCTAGTAGGTTGAGGTAGATGAAAGCGGCAGATCACAGGTACTTACTCAACGGACATGACCTTTTCGATGATTCCGTGTAGTAGTGATAGACAGTCCTTCGTGTGGTGGGTATACTGAGCATGCAATGGCGGGATATAGAGTGTAATAGTCTATGAATACTCATGTCATCGGGAGACATTCCCTACCGCTTTGCCCCTTTTCTTTTAAAATCTCGTCGACGACGATCCCCTGTTGTGGCCTGCACCGAACTGATGTCTTCTCGACTAAGCTTCAGAACCCCGCCTCTGAATGATCCAACGCCCATCCTGAGGCCCTTCTCTCTCGTCCGTTTCCGGTTTTGTGTCTGTGAAGACGCATCATACAATCTTTTGAGTGTTGGATGGTAATTGCCTAGATTTTTCGCCTGAAAACAGCGAGATCTCAGCGAACAAGGGTATGAAGAACACCAAAGTGGTTAGGCACCTCTTCAAGCTGCTTCTGGTTGCGCTCCTTCTGCTTTGCTATTATGCCTTCCCGCACACGTTTTGCCGCCATCTTGTGCTCCGCGGAACGCACGGTGGTCTCGCCTTTGCCCAGCTTCGCTTTTCCTGCCGCTTCTAAGATCCGACCTGCCAACATCTTCTTCCGCTGTGCAGGGGTCAAACTGAGATCCGGATTTGAAGAACCAGGAAGAATATGCGTGTGAACGAGACGATGTAGAAGGGCATCGTTCTGAACATGTGTGCTAGATTATTAAAATCAATACAAAAGCCCAACGTGTGTGCTTTAGCTCGACTCACCGTTCATCATCCTCGTCCGATGACTTCTCATCAGATTCATGTTCTTGAACGTCTTGGGAAACCTTTGTCACTTTAGAGGACTGTGCAAAAAATAAATTTCGTGTTCACTCTGTTGTAGGGCGAATCCGCAGAAGCACACCCACCATGAACGCCTTCATCTGAGCTTTGGTCGGTTGAGATGCAGATGTACTGGTTTTCGCGGACTGATCAGAAAATACGACCACATCTGGCCGACGAGATGCATTCCGCTCTTGCTGTTCCCCGATCTCTGGATACCTAAGTCAGTCGACAAGGGCAGGCTAGCTGCGATGTATCTCACTCACCCTCGGCAGAACCTCCGTCTAGGTCCTCGTCCGAGTCTGATATGGAGTCCTCATCATTACTGCCGAATCCTGACCATTCCTCCTCGGACTCATCGTTCACCTTCCGCTTCTTCGGCTGCCTCTCTTCGTCAGATGTCTCGCCCTTCCTTTTACCAATGACTACTGGCGAAGCGAAGGACCCGAGAAATTGCTGCCCATGGTCCTCGAGTAGGCGAAGCAATTCCTGTTGGTCCGCACAGGCCATCTCCTCAGCAGCAGCCATTTGATCTCCCTCGCAATGTTAATCGATTATACGCGCAAGCAGAGGTCGCAGAAAGTGCGCATGAAAGTGCAAGTTTGCGATAGACCATCCAAACTCTGAAATTATGGTTGCAGTGATCGAGATTGATCACGATCCTGATTTGGCGCACACCGCTGGTTGCACGGGGTGGCCCGCCACCTTGGTCCTTGTCTCTTGCTCGTGCCTCTCTCTGAGATCGACTTGCACCTGTCTCAACTTCAATCGATTACTGACTCTCCTGTATCAACTTCTTTTGGTTTGACAAGATGGTCAAGAATCGCAAGGGAAAAGCCAAGACTCAGAACACTAGCAAGCAGTCCTCCCCCTCTGGGCTCCTGGAGCTCTCTGAGGACGAACAATGGCGCATTTTGAACGAGACTGGCATTCTGAAGAAATACCCACGAAGCTCGGAGAATAATGCTGAAGCTGAGGCAGTGGATTCTCCAGGGCTCGCAGACGAGGTCTTCAATGCCACGCTCTTCATAATACCGATGTCCTTTATGCTGCTCTTGTTTGAGATGTGCGTAAACGAGTTCAAAGCCAGCGAACTATTCCATCAATGATGCAATAGTCTAGTACATTGGCAATATGGCCAGAGACCTACGTTTCGAACTTTGATGGATAGGATGCTCCCAGGGGTTCCAAGTGAGTGCTGGAGTACGATGTTCGTGAAATATGACTGATGCATTCTTCTCGCGATGGCAGTCATCTCTATTTTTGTGTTCTATAGTGAGGACCGGACATCCTGCCTCTATGTGCTGTCATTGATGCCAATACAGCCAATCGCTATAAGCGACGTCGAGAAATGCAATTCTGCTTTTTCCTCGTGACCCTGATCCTGGGCCCGCGGCTCATTTGGCTCATCAACATGGCTAATTGGCGTACTGTCATGAAACAAGTGAGTATACAAATTGCTACTGGGGAATAGCGCCTCACGCCTCGCCGTCAGTGTCCACCAGCAGCAACTCTGTGGATATACGCCGTGCTACAGATGGAACTGGCGCCATCTGTCATAAGTCTAGTGCTAATTGCATTGTGGACGTGGTTATCCAAGATGAGGATATTATTTTGACGCGGTGGCAGTGGACGTGAAGTCACTGTCGACCTCGACATTTTATTATGACAAGCTGATGTTTTCGCGTCTACGGAATTACATACTGAAGTGCTTACCGAACTCTTCATTAATATATGCAAATGAAGTCACGGACTACGTGGATGCACAGTAGACTAAGCTACTAATTGGGATGTCTGCTCGACGATACGCCGCATCGGGTTGTGACCTTTTACCCGGACAGCACCTTATATGAGCACTAAGTGGTCCAAGAGCCATTTGCGTCATGGAAGATACTTGATCTTTGCTCAATAATACGCCATCAGACGGGTTGTGGGCTCATACCCGGATAGCACCTTGTATGAGCATGCTTGATGCATTGCTAGGTTTCTAGGCCATATTGAAAACAAGGAATGCGAGTCTCCATGGCTCTTCGTGGTCATAGCAGGTCAGGCGGCAAAGAAGAATCATTACCATTTTGCGATGTTCAAGCAGGTGCCGTGCGAATATAATCTGCGATCCAAGTCCGTGTTGAGATGAAATGAAACTGTGAAACATCTTCAGACTCCTTCCCCTTCATCGAACTCCTCGGCCAGCATTTGCACCTTGCTCTAAAGCGGTGCCACTGCTGCGTTAGGAAGATGTCGTCCGTTGACGGGACGCAAAATACTCACGTGGTAACTCGTACTCCTGCCTTCCAGGACCTGGCGCAAGACTCGCAACTGCCAACGAAGGCGGCGTCCGATGACTCGGCTGATATCTGCTTTGTGACGGTCAAGCCGTTCCACGAAGGCCTTGTACACGCGGTCATCCCGGGCAAAATACCAACTCTGATGCGTATCACCCAGTTAGGACGAACGAGTATACGCTCCGAGTGAAGAGCTCCTACCGGAATGAGCTCTGCTTGGACATGATCCATGACCAGCGACCACGCACCCATCATAAGAAGATCTGTAGTGGCATTCCCGACACTATCGCGGTGTAAGAAATACATCAGAGAACGATAAAGGCAATGCACTCAGGAACGCTTACTAGTCTTCAAATGCTGCAATGAGCTTCGCCTTCCCCAGTTCCTTCGTAGCAAAACCTCTCACAGCATCTTCGGCGGTCTTCACGGGCTTGCCTGCTGTGCCTGCACGCAGTGCGGATGCAACATTACCTGTCTGCGCCCAAACCCATTTGTCGCCTTCGCTCATAATGAGCGTTTGCAAAAAGGAAGCAATGAGGTCGCTCTGAGACGTCTGCAGCCCTAGATCGATTGCAAGTCGGAGATTCACTCCTGAGGTCCCAGCGACTATGAGTCGCGTCCGTGCGTCTATTGTGCGATAAAGATACCTACGTAGCGCCTTGAGCAGCATCTTCGTGCGTGGCAGATTGATCTCATCATCTTGCAGATTGTTGATATATCGCGAAAAGGCACCTAGTAGCACGATGGCAACTTCTTGGTGGGACTTGCCTATGCGGATACAGTGCAGCAAGGGCGACGCATCACCGTTCTTGCGTAGGAGAAGCTAGAGCAAATGATGATGTCTCAGCAAACCGAACTTCAGATGCGCGTCCTCGTACTGACATGAAATGCCTTGTCTCGCACTTCCATCAGAAACATGATGTCCTTCTTCTCAACCGCGCGGAACACCTCGTATGGCTATAAATCGTGGTAAGCATCGCGAGGAGAGTATATAAACTGGCGATGTGAGAGACTTGCCTCAGGTTCCTTCCATGGTCTTGTTCCTGTGGACGCAACACTACGTGAAGAACGGCGTAACGAGAAGTTGGGAGACGGTAAAGAGATGGATGAGAGAACAGATGAGAGGCTCTTCGCCCTGCTAGGCGAGGGAATTGTTTCTTCTTCCTGTGGCGTCTGTGGCACAGGCTGTTCCTCCTCGACTTCTCCTTCGATACTTTCCTCGGGTAGGGGACTTGCCGCATCTAGCTCAGGAGAGCTCGGCGGAGTGTGTCTCAGCTGCTTGATGATAGCCTTTGGAGCTAACTGCTCGGCCTCACGCTGTATGAAGGCTTGAGAACATATTGGTGTCCACTGGTATGAAAGAGATAGTATACCAACCGGTTGAAGGAAGACGAGCAAGTAGGCAAGGTTCCGATTGAACTCGCTCTCTCACCACCATTGAAGACGATGGATCGGATTCAGACTGTTGGAGCTGACGAAGAAGAGACTGGATGAGGTGGGCATTGTTGACCATCTCGGGAGGCTGTTGCAGACGTCCATTGGTACCCCCAGATTCAGTGGGCGTTCATATCAGGCTTGTGCTATTGTGGCTATTGTGGCGCACGGCGAGCACCATGGGCGCTACACTTTCTCGGGTTCAGCGTTAACGCTCACCGATCAATTGTCTGCTGTCTTCTTCTTGTTTTGAACTGCTGTAGCCTCTCTGGTCATGTTCGAGCTTTGGAATCAGGCGCGGGCAAGCGCAAGCTCAAAACTGGCTTCCGAAACGACGCCTGGCGAGAATCCGGGCGTTAATGGAAGCCGGAAAACTTCAGCGCCATCAACAAGAATTGACTCTGGTTTCGAACCTGCACAGGGCAGTGTGCAGACGAGTCGTGCACGCTTGGCGAGCGAGGTCGATGCTTCACTTGAAGAGCCGCTCGCTAGATCAAACAAGAGGCGAAGAACGTCTTGGTCGTCGAACATACCCGAAAACATAAATGACGACGTGCCGTGGGCGTATCCAACCTTAACTGCGAAAGCCATTCTCGAAGAGACTCAAATTCACAATGGTAAAACTCATCATGCTATCTAAAGTTTACTGTCGTTAACGGTCCAGAACCATGCAGTCGTTGCAATCACTGAGGATTCTGCAGGTGCGATTCTTCTGATTATGTCCACCTCTGAAATCCAGTGCTGATGAATACTGTAGTCAAGAAGGCACTGCTTACGAACTTCTTTGCGCGATCAGCTGAAAGTCGAAGATATCGTTTAGCTGCCGGGTTGCTTCATGATGGCTTAAACCTTCTCGTCGTAGAGTTAGTGATTCTCCCATGTAAGTGTATGCATAAGCAGAATGACACATTCTTTTGGACCAGAAATGACGCTGGCATCAGTCAATATCATGCAGACTTGGCAAGTTCTGGGTATATCTCTCGAATTGGACAACATGCCAGCTGCGCAACAGACGAGGATGGTAATTGGTTTGAACAGAGTGGCACAGACGTCATAATAGTATCGCACCATGTAAGCCTTCTGCATCTGTTCCCTGTGTTATAGATGCTGAGTACATCCCAGGCTCTCATGGAGTCAGTCGTGGAAGGAGCGTTATTGATAGCTCACGTCAGCACGTTGGTACTAGGCGGCTTTTGGCCTGATTGTGAAGAGTTCGGTCGGTTGTATCGGGCAGTCAACGTAGCCTCAAGACCGCGCATACTGGCGTTCATGCCGCATGTCGGATCCCAACCTCCAGCGTTCTTGGAGTTCCAACGCTACACAAATGCTCAAGTGTGCTACGTCGTCGCAGACGAAGTGCAGACTCCAAGCGCGCGCCGACTTGAAGGTCTAGTCGAGAATGTGGTGACTTATCAGAAGCTGTGCTGTTCGGCTGCGCGGACTCCGCTGTCCACCAAGTTGCGCGAAGTCGACAACGAAGGTTCCATACCGCCTCATCTCTTCAAGCGCGCACGAACAGTGCTCACCGAGCTTGGACTGTGCGCGGAGGAGTTGTTTTGGAAGTTAGCCCTATCCTCGACGCCAACGCATGAAGTTCGGGATGGAGTTATTGGGCTTAGAGCTACGCCTACGAAGGCAATTCGCGAAGTAATCAAACGCTGGTCATTCAAGGTCCCTTGTCTCGACTCGGCTTCGAGAAACTCTAACCTCTCTCCCAAATTCGCGCGGTTTGTAGAGGAGTTGAAGGGGCGTAACGGCTTAGGCGGAAGCAACAAGTTCCGTATATTTGTCATTGGTAAGACCCGCGAACTTGTTAATAACATGGTCTCACGAAAACAATAGTTCAGAAGAAGGCAATAGCGACCATGCTCGTCGAGCTACTGAACACCTTGCCCTCCCAACCTGGTCAACCGTCCTTCCGTCCGATGACATTGTCAGGCGACGTGTACGCTTGCCCAGAGCGACTAGTAAGTTAACGAAAGGACGATGATCAGAGAAAAGCTGATGCTTTCCTCGCAGCAATCCGTCGCGCAAGCACTCGAAGAGGGTCACTGCAACATTCTAGTCATCACCAAGTCGTTGGAGAATCTGGACCTTCCAAAATTCAATACAGTTATTCGGTACGTCTGTTGTTAACTCCAAATGAATCATGGAGGCTGATCCTGAATGCCTAGTTATAACGTATTCCGTAGTCAAGTATCGTATGTGCGTTCGGCCGCTCTATGCACGGATTCAGGAGGCCGCCTCGTACACATGATCGAAGAAAACAACGATGCGCATCGACACATTCTCTCTGACACCATGGCTTTCGATCAGGACATGTCACAATGGGCCAAACAGACCATGTGCTCTGATGAAGGCGCCATACCTCCACGAGCGCTGACTGAATCCTTGGATCCATATCGCTCTGACAGTGAGGATGAACTCGAGTCCGTGGAATGCATACGAGACCCCACGACTGGTGCAACAATCCGCAAAATGGAAGCCCATACCGTGATGCATCGCCTCGCCGCAAGCATGCAGAGCAAAGAAATTGTTTATTGGATTCGACCATTCTTCATAAACCGCGACGTCAATACGAAGGCCGACGGCAATCCTAGATATTCGTGCACCGTGGTTCTTCCTGCAGCATCTCCGATACCTACAATCACTGGTCCGACATGTGCCACTTTCGCCGAGGCACGCATGGAGGCATGTTACCAGGCTTGCAGCATTTTGTTTGATAGAGGCATCTTGGACTATCGCATGTTCCCCCAAAGTCAAGATGGATGTATCACAAGATCAACTGAAGGCGTCACTGCGACTAGGAAAGCGGATGAAGACATAGTCACAGCCGTAATGTCCGCCAATACTTATCGCTGTTTTAAGAAGCGACCAGACTTTTGGACGAACTGCGGAAAGAGCTTTCAAGGGCGCCTGTACTCAACGATCGTATCCCTCAGCAACGTGCAGGAGGATGACCACGCTCCAATCCTTCTACTCACCAGGAGAGCGCTTCCTGAACTGGCAAGCTTCTCCATATTTCCTGCCACTTTCACGGCCGTCGCACAGTTTGCTAGAGCCGGAGCGCTTGACATCAGTGACGAGCATCTCTCTCTTCTACATCGATACACTGAACGAGTGTGCAGGGCGATTACCAACAAGCCGCTCGCTTACTCCGCGGACGATATGCCATACTTTCTTGCTCCTCTGCGCAAGGGTGCCGAGGAGATCTTACGACGGTTCTATGGTCTGGGACAACATCCATCCATTGCGAAATACATCCCTTGGGAGCTGGTCAGACTCGCCGCAGACAATTTCATTGTACCGCTGCTGTCGGATAACGGAGATTCTATCGAGGGAGACTCCGTCGTGCAAGATAGACGTGCAGAGTTCACGAATCGATTCTTTGTGAAGAAGGTCAGGCATGATCTGAGTCCGTTGAGCAAAGCCGATGATAGTCCTGTGAGTCATGTTCGACTATGCGATGAGGCGGACAGCAGTTTAATGGGATTACAGCGCGAGGCAGAATATGCGAGCTTTCTCGGATATTGTAGAGCGCGTATCAAGGACTTCCAAGGACTCAAAGATGAACATCAGCCGCTTATTGAGGTCGCACGCATGCCCTCTGGAGTCAGCTACCTCACTCCGAACGTCAAGATGCAGACTGACTCGAAGCCACCGGTGAAATGTGAGTTTCTGCATTGCAGCCAGCAGTCGGTACACTTATTAGCACTAGACTTGATTCCGGAGCTGTGCTCGAAGTCCACGATCCCAGCAAGGTATCTTCATTTACATTGTCTGTCAACTGAGCCGCTCAACAGTCACGATTTACAGCACATTCCGGACAATGCTCCTGATGCCGTCCATCATGCGAAGGGTTGACGATCAATTACTGGTGAAGGAGCTCAACGCAAGGTTCTTCCAGAATTCTGTCAATGAGCGGCAGCTTTTAGTTGCATTGACCACTCCTTCTGCGAATGCCGAGTTCGACTATGAGCGCCTGGAGTTCATAGGCAAGTAGTCATGTGTTCCAGCTGTCGGTGGATGACATAGGTGTTATGCATAGGCGACGCCTTCTTGAAGCAGCTGGCTTCCATCTACTGCTTCGTAACCATGCCATCGGCTCCACAGGGTGCGCTACACCCATCACGGAGAGACATTGTCAGCAACGAGGCCCTGCTGTCCGGAGCGAATGAAGCTGGGCTGCCACCATATATTCAAAGCAAGCCATTCATGGCGAGATTGTGGCAGCCTGTCCCTCCTGTATCTTCAAGAGCTGAAGACGATGGAGTTCCTGTAACAATACAGAACAAGTCGCAGGGAGATCAGCCTAAACCGTCTGGGAAACGAAGCAAGAGGAAGAAGCAAGAGGACGATTACGACATCCAATGGCTCGGAGCCAAGGTCAGGATCCTTCGCATAGATTGCGTTCCCCATGTTGAATCACCTGATTGCATACAGACCGTCGCAGACGTTGTCGAATCCCTCGTAGGCGCGGCCTACATCAGCGGAGGACAGTCTGTAGCCCTGAGAGTCGCTAAGGCTCTTCATGTAGGTGTGCCACTAGTGGAACGATGGTCGGATTTCGCTTTCAAGGCATCTGTCCCGCTTTCTCATGTGACGGATGCCCTTCCCGCGGGCATTGTGCAAGCCGTGGAAGGCCTTTTGCATTGTCGTTTCAAGAAACCACAATTGCTTGCGTGTGCACTGGTGATGAAATTGAGCTTTGTCTGCATGGCCCAAGCTCACATTGGGTTCCCCTAGACTCATGCATCTATTGAAGGCTATGGCTTCACCAGGTATGATCGGCTCGAGTTCATTGGGGATGCTGTGCTGGACGTCCGTGAGTCAATCCAACAGGTTTGAGATGCGCTCATTCACACCTCCGTATTAGTCGCCGTCCGACACATCTATCACTGCCATCCGACGCTCATGCCTGGAGACCTCTCGCTGCTCAGGGCAAGTGCAGCCTTCCATCGCCAAGCACGATTGCTGATGCATGTCACAGAGCGCGATGGTATCGATGCACGCACTCGCGGCTCTCTGTGTAGAGATCGGCCTGCACAAGCATTTACGGCATAACTCCAAGGAGATTGACTCCGCAATTCGAGCATACGTCAGCCAATTGCGTGTGCTGCAGAACAAGGAGCACCGTGCTGCAGCCGATGAGCGTAGAGAGCCGAAGCAGTACTGGACTACACTCGAGCCGCCAAAGGTAGGTAACTGGTGATCGGTCGACGTCATCCATTCTGAAGAGACTTGCCTTGGTTTAGGTTCTATCTGACATCGTTGAATCCGTCATCGCCGCGCTGTACGTCTCGGATGATTTTGCGGAGGAAAACGTCACGGTACTGTTCGACGAAGTGATGAAGCCATTCTACGACCGCTACGTGCGGATACAGACTCTGTGGCCGCAGCCTATTGCGACACTGTACGAGCTGCTTACGTCGTACGGATGCCAGCGGCATAGTATCGTCAAGGAGAGAAAAAAGCAGACTCGTTGCGATGGTATGCTTGCTTTTGTCCAGGACGGTTCAGAGATTCACGAGTGTTTTGCAGTCATCGTGCATGGCATCGTATTAGCTCACGGTGAAGGCGCTAACGTCGTTGCTGCCAGAAGCAGCGCCGCTTTGCACGCCCTTGACGCGTTGAACGGTGACACAAGTTTCATGGCGCGCACGTGCGATTGCCGCGCTACCTCGCAGCAGAGCCAGAAGGGCAAGAAAACGAACGTTGACAGAGCTGAGCTTGGGTACGAGGAAGAGTAAATCAATGCGTCGACTGTAGGGAATACATCGCTGAAGTTATGACTGAACGATGGCTGCCTGTCGTCCCTTTTTCCATGTCGCCGCCGCTGGTGTCGCGGGTCGCTCAAAGAAATGCAGAGACGTACATCCAAGTTCGATATAATGATAATGGCTGTGCAGCAGACAGACAGCTCTATAGGTTCTATAAGCTCTATGCTCCCCATCTATGCCCGTCTATCCCGTGTGCAGCAGTTCACGTGCTAGCGGTGGACTTCTTCCTGCAAACCGCCGAACCGAGTCAGCTCACTTCTCACACAGCACACAACAAGAAATCAAACCACGCACAGCTGGTATGCCGCTGCGACGAAGGGGAGGACGAAGCCGAGGCCAAGGTAGGAGACGAGCTGGAGCCCGAACCAGGGCGACTTGCCGTTGAATGGAACGGTCTGGTGGTGTCGAGGTCAGAGGTCTCTGTGTCTCGTGATGATGAGGAAAGGGCCTCGTACCCCGGGACCGGCGTGAGCATGCGAGAAGCGCATTGGCTGCGCAACGGGTGAGCGGGCAACTGCCCGGCGGAGAGGAAGGCTGGCGCGAGCGGCGATCATGGTGAGGGTAGGGCGGGTGGGGATGTGGGGATCGTGCCCTCAGCCGCTGTCTGCCTTTAACGGTGGTCAAGCAGCCAGTGCCATGCCCCCCGAGATTTCCCGGCTCCGTTCAATCACCGATTTTTCGTTGCTGTCCGCTTTGCTCCTTGTCGCAAGCAATTAATGTGGCTGCCAATGGCGTGGGGCAAACGCTGATTGGTTCGAGGGCTGCGCCGACAGCGGCACTTGAAATACAATCCTAATTAATACAAGGTGAAATTGCAGCATGGTAAAATCTAATTGGCTGTGCTCGCCTCTTTAGTCCTCTAGCCAATCAACATGCATCCGGAGCAGCAGTCGCACAGATGTCCCTTGTGTCGCCGAGAAACGGCGTTTCGAACACCTCACAGCGTGATCATCGGACAGTGAAGCGCGACTTGGCCCTTAGCTCCGCGCCATACTTCCAGTAGACAAATCTACACACCCCCAGAAAGTCGCATCCAATCAGCACGAGGAAATCCTATACTCTCGCCAGCATACAGCTACTCACGGCAGCGGCATCATCACCGTCGTCAATCCCGCCAGCAGCGCCGTCGCGCCCACCGTGCCGAGGCGGTCGTACATCGCGCCCGCAAACAACGGGAACGCTGCTGCGAACGTGCACCGCAGCGCGGTGTTGCTCGCCATCGCACTCGCCGCTATCGGCCGATACGCCGTCACGAGGTACGTGAATGTGGATGAGTAAATGTAATACGTTGCCATGCCGTATGGCACCGACGCGATGATGGGGATGATCCACGGGACGGAGGGATAGGTCGTGAAGGCGAGCCAATACAGTGCTGGACGGAAGCGGGTCGATAAGAGTGGCAAGTGATGTGGTGGAGTGGACATACCTATGGGGGCGAGAACTGCGCCAACTTGGCCCATGATGAGCCTAGTCTCGGGAGGGAGTACACCACCGTGTTCCTGAGCTTTCTTGCGATGAAATCTGCGCGCATATAGTTGGTCCACAGGCACATTTTGTACAGGGAGTGCGCATATACCCACCTGTTCCACAACGGCTGCGTCGCCAGCGCAGCACACATGCCCACTCCGATACCGATGAACGACATGCCAGTTTCCTGATAGTTGAAGCCGAAGCCGTTCTCGAAGATAATTGGAAAGGCTTCAAAAGTGAGGTACAGAATACCTAGGATGAGCGCATTCCTAGCATGTATGCGGTGAGGCACAGTAGCTGACTGCATAACACCTGATACACACCAAACATCGAGAGAGAGCGCCATTCGGTCAAACAGCAAGAGCTCTAGGTAGCTGTTAGCTGCGTTCCCCTACGGGTCGTACAACAACTCACTGAATGGGGTATATATGCTCGTTAGTATCATATGACCGATGCTCCCCTCTCGTCGGTCGAGGGGTGCCCAATACTTGTCATTGCCAGTCTCCTTGCGTAGTCTGCCGTTGTAAATGATAAGCCAAGCGTCCAAGAGGATGTTGGTCATCAAACGCACCGTGCAGCTTTTCGCTTGAGGATTATGGGAGCATATGTCTCCGGCACGCACTATCATAGAATGAATGTCATATTATTCAGAAGGGGAGAAACAGCAACCCACTACCGCTAAAAGTGCAAGAGTGACGAACTGCCAGATGAGAAGAACTCTATACGCCCAACGCCAATCAGTATTCTGAAGAAAGGGCCACGCAGTCAGCAACCATGGATTCATCTCATATGATCTCAACATACTTGACAGATGAAGCTGATCATGCACTTCGTCAGCCAAGACAATGCGTTCGTATCTTTCTTAAGGACTCACCCGGAAACTAGTGGTCCGATGACTGGGCCAAGGAAAGGTGACATCGTGTATACACCCATAGGGCTGGTAACCGATAAATTGACGGTGAGGAATCTAACAGTTTGAATGTGCGCTCACGTTGCAACTTCCTCATTCACAAATAGATCGCTCACGCTTCCGCCGGCCACACTGAGGAAAGCAGAGCTACAGAACCCCGTGACGAAGCGGAACACGAGGAAGGTTTCTTGGAACGAAACGAACGCGACCAGAATCTCAGATCATCTGCGACTAAACGAGTCAGTGGAAGAACAGCATACCTATGTCCGGTGGAAAGACGACCGGCCATGTGAAAACCCAGAAAAGGAAGTACGATATGCGATAGACGTTGTTCCGGCCAAACACTTCAGATAGCGGAGAGAAGAGAAGCGGTCCAAGTCCTGTGTGTGAAGGTAACGGTAATCAGCTGGAATACAGGGCGGGTGCCAACAAGAGAGTACCTAGGCCTTCGACAAACAGACTGATACTCAGGATCGTAACTTCATGTACAGTATGTAGGTCTGTCGCGAGGCCTCGTTCAGTAAAAGACGCCTGTCATGCAGACGCATCGGCCAATTTAGTGCATTGAAAATAAAAATAAGGGAAGACGCATACAACGGAAGACGCGAAAGTCGCGCATAACGCAGCGTCACAGATGGCAAGTACGATAATCCACTTCTTGAACCGCGAGAAGTGTTTTGGGTCGTCCTCAGGACCCAAGGTGACCTCGTACGGGTCATCTGCTTCTGCTTCTGCCTCCGTGGACGGACGGCTCGAGGCAGCCTCTAAGTCGTCACCGTGCCTGCTTCCGTTCTCAGGACCCGAAGCCTTGTCCATGTGCTGTTGCTTCTCTACTAGGTCGGCATTCAAAGTCTCAGAAGTGCGGCCGGACATGATGTGAATAAAACGACCTGATGCTGCGTTGGAGGGTTATGAATAGAGGGGCGAGCTGGTCATCTGGCTGGTAAGCATGCGGGCGAAAGGATCGAAGACGACATATGGTCGAACTAGATGCATTTCAATGTATACGGTAGCAGGCGAGCGTCTGACGGCCCCCGCTACCTTCAAGCGCCGCCCGATTGAATCTCGCTATGTTTGGATCCTGCAGATTCCTGCTTGCCAATTGCATTTAAACGCTCATGTACCACAACTTTTCCTGCCAATTGGTGACATGAATTTGTGTACGTTCATGACGGTTGAGAAACAATCATGCGACTATAAAGCACGAACACAGGAGTGATACCTACTATATATGTTCTTGGTGGTATCATTTGGAAAGGCTTCCTGTCTTGTGGCGCATTTATAATTACTCGACGAACCGGATCATCTCTTAGAGGATACGTGACCGTCGTGATGTCAATCGATGTTGTCTTCCTAAGAAGATTCCGTCGGGTGCCCGCAGTGGCAGTGATCACCGAGGTTTTAGCGAAATTCGGTTGCGTATGTAAATATTAATCCTCCATGCCCTGTGGCTCTCCTTGCCGCTATGATTTCTGACAATCTCGCACGCACTCTTTTGAGCCTTTTGTGATGATACCTGTTCACGAACGCCTCTTTGATCGGCAATGAGTGAAACGCTAAAATATTCCTGAAGTTCATTGAAGGCGTCATGAACATCTCACTCCACTCGGAAGGATTCAAAGCGGAAGATCGCACACCCGCTCCATCTCTCACCAGATCGCTCATCAGAGCTGTATCAATAACATTAAATGTTCACATGAGTCATTAAAGTGGATCGTGACGTACACTGAGAGGAGAAACTTGGAGACCAGCATACTTTTACACGCCACTCTTTCCGAAGCACCGACCGGGGGCGTACCCTCATCATGCGGCAGGACTCGGTGCACCCGGGATGATCTGGTTCGGCCCCTCCTCCAAAACGAGGTTCCGCAACCGTTCTCGCTGTTTTTGGTCCTTGCGTTCCTTCCTCGCCTGCTTGCGCACGAGGCGCGCCTCGCCGCCCCGGTCCCTCCATCGCCGCTTCGTCTCCGCCTTGCGCTCCTCCTCCAGATGGTGTCGCCACTTCCACGTCGCCTCTGCCCGTGCCTCACGCCGCGTCCTGCCCTGCAGGATTTTGATCTCCGCCGCGATGAACTGGTCCAGCAGCGCCCGCGTGTACTCCTTGCGTGCCTGCCAGCGTGCCTGCTTCTTCGCGCGCGAATGCGGGTTTGCGAGCTCCTTCCCCAAGAAGAGTTCTACCGGTTGGTCGTTGAAGTCCGAAGAGTCGCCGGGCTTGCTGATCAGTCTGATGTAGTCGTCTTCAGATGCAAGCACAGGCTGACGATTAGTGGGGTCGCTAAATATCGGGAGCCTTGGCTCCGAGTACGTAACTTCCTTCGCCGTATGGTCTGGCGTGTCCTGAGGTCCAGCTAGAATATAATCAATGAATTAGTCCTTGAACCGGAACATAGCAAACTAACCTCTCGGGTGAAGACGCGGATCCCGCTTCGGCCACGGAATTTTCACACGTTCATTCTCTCCAATATTCAGGTGTGGCAATTGCGGGATTGTACTGACGGCCCAGCGCTTCCAGGTGTGTCCATGGAGCAGCCGTGAATAGTAGTGACCCGAAGTGGTGATCCGCCTTGCAAACACGCTGAATAGCAGCCCTGCCATCGGCACCACGCATCATAGTATATGAATTAACAAACGCACGGCAGCGACTTTCGTTCCGTGGAGCCGAGCTCAGGCGGGAACTCGTGCTGGCCGACGAAAAGCTGGCATCTAGAATAAGCCACATTCTTGCCCTTCTTCTGGTCCTCGGGGTTTTCACCCTGCAGCAGCACTCTTCATTATAAGTGCTTCCCTCAGAGCGAACGCGACGCACCTTGTCCGACTCCGTCCTCAACAGCACCCTGTTCGTGAGCCTGTTGATCATGTTCACTTCGTACAGCGTGCCGTGGGGGTCACCGCGTATGCGAACCTGGTCGCCGGGGACGATGTTCCAGTACTTGATGCGTTCCTTCGGCTTGACTACATTGAGGGGATTCTCGTGCCAGGTTCGGCGAATGGCCAACGCGCGAGGAATGGGCAGCAGATGGCGGAAGTCTCGAGTGAGGCCATTGGCAGTGAATGCCTGCGCGACCTGTGCTCTGGTCCAACCCATGATAAAGTAGACCTACGTATCCGGTAGGGTGCGAGTAGCTCCAGTCCAGAGCAGGAGCAGTAGGGAGAGACGCTCAACGCAAATCCTGATTAAGTAAGCGACGTCGCGGTCACGGGCGAGACGGTCGGGAACCTGTCCGCGACCAGCTATTTCCCACTTGGTTGAAGAGGCGCCGGGCGCCGGTTCCAAATGACACGAAAACTCAATCACAGTAGCGGAAGATGCGGTGTGTATCACTTATGCGAACGTAGCTCTACATTACATCTCTGCAGCCTCATGTTGGTGAACAGCAACAACGCAGGCAAGAGCCAAATAGGATGAATCACTTAAAGAAACGAATGACTTCGAGCATTGTCGTAAAATGATGAATACACGTTGCAGCTACGGGAAGCTGTCCCAGACTTCTTCCATGTCATCTCGAGACCCCGCCCAGACGTTGGGCCCTCGTTCTGTTGCCGTACATGGCCTACCGCAGGGTAAGTCTCTGATCCGCCACGAGATGAAACATCGCTGACTGTGTGGGTGCATGCGTTGTCGAAAACGAGGTTGAGGCATCCATCATCTGAGAAGAACCGTCGCCGGTGAGGGCAGCTCCAGTGAGTGCAGGACATGGTGCGGATGTCGTCGAACGAGAAACCTCGGTCTTCGTACTTTCTCCTTGCAGTGAGTGCCTTACCGATAATCACTGATGGTGTATGAGCAAATACCGTGATGGCTGAGAAGATGTGTGGGGTATGCCGACACGATTGCATCAGCGGAGATCGCGTTCATGATGATGGTCGACCAGAAGAAGCATAGTGGGTAGAAGGCCGATTCGTTGTGGCTACGCATAAGATCGACGCAGATGTTTGGTCCAGTGATTCGAGCCATACGGTCCATTCCCTGTTTCAACCAGGGGTACGGTTGCTCCTGATTCTCCTCGTCCGATGCATCTATGACATATTCGATCACGAAACCCGGTAAGTTGCTGATGTAGTCGAGTACCACATCCCACTGACTATGTGGTGTGTATGAATCGTAGTCATTAGGCTGCCACAAAGCGTCGACGAGTAACAGTCTGGCAGCAGCGGAACCGGACAGTATGGTGCCGGTGTCGCGCATCATGGCGCGGAAGTCGTCGGTGTCCTCGGAGACGATGCAAACCGATGAACGTAACAGTTGCATGAATAGAAAGCAAATATGACGAACCGAACATGACAGAGAACCCGCTGACATCATCGGAAAGACAGACGCAAGATCTTCAATTGGCTCCCCCCACTGGAGGAGTAGCCAGGCCCGTAACGTGATGTGACCGCACATGCTTAAAATTGTCACCTCCCACCGGGAGGGTGCTATAGACACGAGCATAATGAATACGCAAATCATGTAACCCGTTCACCGAAGATGGCAGAGGCGGCAGCGGAGGAATGAACAAGAACAAACAGGTGTAGTACACAACGAGAGTGACGACTGTGAAGGAAGGAGACACGATATAATCAGCGCTGCAGACATCGCCACAGAGGAGTGGACAGACATACCGGTGAAGCAGATATCGAATGCGTTAATAATACACCTGGTGAACGACATGGAGAGCGACATGAGGATGTCCAGCACAGAGAAGACAGGAGGTAGAAAGCAATGAGGCCTGAGGAGCCGGATATTGCGAATGAGGGCAAGTTGTGGAATGAAAACAATATTTCGTAGGAGGAAATATTCCGTATGAACCAAAGCAATATTTCGTATGAACCGTGCACAAAACGGGCCGAATTGCAACTTAGGGATCACGTAAGCACAGGCCATTCCCGTACGTCAATAGCCAAATTTGTCATTTGGAACTTGGGTGAAGAGGCGCCGGGTGCCGGTTCCAAATAACACAGAGGCCGTCGCAGGGCATGCGCAAATGCCATTCATATTACACCGTCGAATGCTGCCATTATCTTGTCTACTGAACTGGCAAACACTATGGGTCCCTTTGCTCTGACCATACATGAATCACTGCACTGCGAATCGCTCATGCACCACAAGACCGACACCGGTTCAGGGGGTTGGATGCGAATGCTATCAAATGCAAGGTTCAAACAACCACTGTCGAAGAAGAGACGTTGCCAGTCAGGGCAGCCTCAGTGATGACAAGAGGATTGGCCCCCATCGTAGAAGGTGAATTCTCGTCCCTGATATTTTCCCTTTGCAGCGACTCTGAGTTGGGTACCTTTGATGGTGGGTAAGGCTCCAACATTTCTATCTATTTACTATGTTACATAGTTTTAACTGTTTACTATATCTGTTTATTTACAGTTGGGCCTGTATATAGTAAATAGATGTATATATATAGTATAAATAGTTTTATGATGATATAGGGCTATTGAGTGCACAATTGCTAGATTTGACAGCAAAACAGTGAGCCAATTGAAAGTCATAGTGTTTAACAGCAGTCATCACTGACAGTTTATCATCATATAGGCTCATGAACATGAGTTTCTTGTCATTTCTTGTATGACATAAGATTTTCTGGTCATTTCTGGTGCAAGTGTTGACATTGAATGCTTGTTTTCTGCTCACTGTCATGTGCTTGCTGATGCAAACAGGTCCTTAAAGGCCTCAACAATCACAGAGGCTGCTCACAGTTGAGTAAAACTCCATCAAAAGATGGGACCAAAAAAACTATATAAACTTTATATAAACTGTTTATATGACATATAGATAACTGTTTACTATATACTATTTATTTACACCTCAGGAGTGTAAATAGTATAAATAGTTGGAGCCTTAATGGTGGGAGAGCAAAAGGCAAGGTGTTGCTGAATGTGAGTCGAATATGCGGGGATGATGGTGTCAGCGGTGATCACGTTCATGACGATTGTGGACGTCCACTCACCCCCAGGAGCAATTAGTCCATGTGCAGTTGCAACTGAAACAAGCAATGCAAAATTGAGCCTGCACACCAGATCTTTCAATGGCATGTCTATAATAATGCATTCCAATCCACTGCACAGAGCAGGTAAGTCACAATGATGAACACCGGCGAATAAGTACCTAGTTCTTTCTGTGCATCGAAGCTGTCCACTTACAACTGGAAATTGATCAAACAGATGCCAGTGCATCATACAGATCCCTTCTGAACTCACTTCATGGAAACCATCATGTACAAAGTCAAACACTGCAATGGCAGACACACAAGCCAAACTACATCGATGCCCAAACAATAGACTCCAAACCGATTACCATACGTTTTCAATGGTCTCTTCCTATATGATGCATTCGAGCGAGATCGGTCAAACTGCGCAATGGAAGTATGCGAGCAAAGAACAATAAAGGCAGTGGCAGGCACGTCAAGCATGATCGATGAAACATTCGAGGACCACGTGGAATCGAGGGAACTCACAGGTTGCGTACCTCTGAACGTCACTGACAAACGACGAGACAGCAGGACAGGCAATCCGTATCGAGGTGAACATCCATGTATATCATTTGTCGAGCATATGCATGACCTATGAATACTACCTCCAACCGGAGGAGAGCAGTAACCAATTGAGGGATGCGACCGTGCACACTCTGAGATGTCTCCCGAGTCCCGAATGTGCAACCGGCGGCCGAGGTATAAAGAAACAGAGCACGTCGAATAAGAACACGTTAATAGCGAGAAGCGCTGTGAACGAACGTCAAAATCAGAGCATAGACCATTTAATAAATGCCAACTACTCACCATGCACCGCTGCGAGGAAGTACATAATTAAGCGACGTGAGCATATATAAAGCAATAAGTACACGCTAACAGCGAGAAACACTGCAAATCAACATCGAAATCATTACAGACTACTCACCATGCACTGCCGCGAGGAGGTACGTAGAAAACGCCATCGAGCGACGTGAGCGGATAGAAAGCAAGAAAGCTCAACAGGGCTCAACAGGGGCAGCGCGATGACGAGGAGGAGGGGCGAACGTTACGTAAACTACTTCCTAAAAGGTGTCGAACTGCAGCGACGATTATTACGTAAGCCGTTCGCGTCCACATTCTGTCAATAGCCAAATTACTTTGTTATTTTGAAACAGATGAACACACTCAATAACCTCATTCAATGCCTTCTTGACAGCAAGTGAATCGCGCAGTAAATCTCGGGCTGACTTAGGAAATCGTCTCTATACGTGTCCAATGGGATTCTTCGACCTCCGCACTATGTTCCAATACATTCACGCATCAAAGCACCAAACGACTTTATGGGCCGTTATTTGATACTAAGTATCGTGCTCAACGTTACCCAAAGACAATCCTCTGCTATTCATGCAATGGGATGCTACAAAACTAGTGGTACAAATAGGCACTAAACATTCTGGACGTCAGAGTAGATATGGCCGTTAGGCTGATAAGATTAGGAAGGTCCATGCATCTACTGTACCTCGCACGCCTAGCTCGCGGGCACCGCCGGACGCGGGGGAGGCGCGCCCCATGTGAGTGACGACGAGCTCGGTTCCTCCGCCTCGAGAGTCTGCACAGCGCGACGCGTCAGTGTCATAGTGTATAACGCGGTAAGGGAGCGACGTACCTCGAGCAGCATGCCCAGCACGTTGTCCACCTCTGTCGGAGGAACACCTCCGCAGCCTGCCCCGATGAGGCGGCGATACTCTGTCATCCGCCCGCCCGTCCCCGCCTCTGCCTGGAACTTGACGAGCTCTTCGAACTTGCCCAGCCTGCGCTTCTTGTGCACCGCGAGTTCCTCCCGCAGACGCGAGCATTCCTGTCGGACAGCTTCTGGGTCCGTCGGGATGTCCGAGTAGAGTGTTTGAAGGTCCGAGACATCCTCTTCACCGGGAGCGGCAACGAGCTCGCCATTGTGAGCCTCGCGCACCGCTCTTTCCCGCTCTTCTTCGTATTTGACCCACTTTTCCCACCCCAGACGATATCGCTTACCCATCTTGGAGCGCAGTTCCTCCTCGAGGTTCATTAGCGTCTGCTTAGCCTGCGGCAGATTTTGCGCTTGGACTTTGAGCTGCGTGACAGATCGCTGGCTCTCGAGGATTTCGCCCTGTATGTTCCCTAGCAATGCATTTGCTTGATTGAAATCTCGCTCCTTGTCCTTCAATTCTTGATCGAATGAGCTCGCGAGACTATCCAACATCATGGCCACGTCGTTAACACAGCGCGTCGCGGCTTTCTGTCCGGTTGTCGAGTAGTGCAATGGAGGGCGATCGCCGCTCATCGGGCCGAAGGAATAATATGAGGAACCTCCTGTTGGGGGATACGCAGCTTGCGAGTTGCGGAACGACATGGCCATTGCGCGAGAGGGGAGCACCGGGGATGAACGAAACCGTTCGTCCTCCAGGATATAGTCCTCAGTCGTCTTGCCGTCACGGTTGGGAATCTTCGGGTCGGCGCCGTGGTCAATGAGCAATTTCACTAACCGCTTGCTTCGACACCGTGCGGCCATTGTTAGTGCAGTCTCTCCATCCTCGTCTTGGAAATTGATAATGTCCGCCAACTCCCTCGGATAGTCCGCTAACCGATTGAGAACAGTTTCCATGTAATAACGCGCGGCGTGCGTCTTTCCTTTCGTCATGGCCACATCGACGATATGGTGAAATACGGTCCGATTGCTGTTGTCGATATTGAGTGTCGACCTATGCAGGAGCTCGTACAGTTCGGGGAACTTGCGGACATCGTAGTTGTTCGCGAACATCACGCTGCGCATCAACGCCGTCTGGCCTGCTTTGTTCACTTTGAATATATCGGCACCGGCAGTCAGCAGCAATTTCACGATGCGAATCCGGCCCATTGCGCTTGCCCAATGCAGAGCGGTGTGCCCATCATCGTCAATGGCCATATCAGGGTCAAAGTCGGGAGGGGGTTGTATCAGAATCTCGGGTATTTGGTTGGTATCCGAAATGAAGTACTCCAGAATCTGGTCTCCATATCTTCCAGGATCGCGAGCGCCATTTTCTCCAGCCACCTCGATCTCCGCACGGTAATCATCATGCGAAGGGCGATGTTTACGTTTCCGCGACGGTTCTGGTGGTGGTGACTCGTACTCGTCCTCCATAAGAGCTGACGGAGCTGGGCTGCTGCGAATGGGTGAGGGCGTACGGGAGCTCGATGACGCTTCCGATGGCGAAGGTGTCATAGTGCCATCCTCAGAGCCGCGCACAGATAGCGTCCCAACTTCGGAGCCGTCGACCTCTTGTTGGTTGCGACGAGAAGATCTTGTGCTCATGGTGGATCCGCCACCATCAGGGCCACGACGGCTGCTTGGTTTGAGCGTCTGGGTAGCGGCGAGGTGTTTAGGAGCCGTGGGTGGACTCTTCGCCTCCGGCTGAAAGTCTATGATGGGCCGCAGGAGATGCTCGCAGTTGTACAGCTTGCATAGCTCGAGCCCACGCTCAAGTGGGATCCATGTACCTGTGGCGACGTTAGGTTGAGCCCCACAAACAACGAGAGATACTGACCCTGGTATTTGCCATAGCCACCCTGAACTTTCTCATGTTCTCCCTTCTGCACCTCGCGTTCCAGAATTCGGGTCCGCTGTGGCTTATCAAATCCGGCAACTTTAAGGATCTGGGTCGCGTTCATCCAAGAATCTGATCGGCGTCGCATCACGGCAACGCCTTTACACATCCTGGACCGATGCTTTAGCCAAGGTCGCAAAACACGCGTCAAGTTAGCTCTCACATCTCATAGACTGGGATGCCACTGTAGGTAGCCTGCGATAGGGGTAAGACCTTCTTCGACGATGGCCGTTGGTCGTGATACATCACCTTGAATATTTGGTGGTGATTGTCGGGCATGTTGACGTCGTGGGATAGTCGTTCGCTTGTCGTCGATGTGTGGAGAAGTCCCGCGTTTGTCGAAGGCGAGCGTCTTGTGGATGGTGGAGGCGAGAGAAGCCGTGACGGATGCGGGTATGTTATCCGTCGACGCGTAGGAGGCAAATGACAAACGCGCCGCGCCTCCAGCGTCACCTGTGACCACGTGCGCGTTCCGACTCGAATGCTGGCGCGCAATTTATCAGATCACGCATAGTGGGTCTATATTATCCTCCATGTCAGAATGGCCTTACATGCTTTTGCCGGGGCCCATCTGGCGGTCAGAAAAAAAAATTAAAATTTGCACGACTGGTTCTCATCGCAACGACCGTGACAAGCACGTTTCGCATCCTCAACTAAGCAGTGGCGGCCAAGGCATGGGAGTAACATTGCGACCGTTCATTCTCATTCTTTCATGCTGCAATGGCAACTCCAACGAGCATTTTTGTGCATTCACGATCGGGACATTTCAACAGCCACAACGGAGGCACGATCACGAGCTCGTCGCGCGTAAAGGGAGTGGCCGCCGCGTGTCGGTCTCGTGACTACGCGCCACATCTGGTCGCTGCAGGCCACCTCCCAGGTTGAACCATCATTAGTCCCTACCGCTCTCTTGCCTTGCCGTCGCTTGTTCCATCGATATGGCACCCCTATGCGAACCTTTGTGTCATTTCGGTGGCAGGTGCGTTGCCTTTTTGCCAAAGCGAAGTACCATCATGTTGATGAACCGCACTCCCACTTAGGCTGTACTTTACCTCATTCATGGACCCTCCCAAGCCTGATGTCCTCAATTCCCTCCTGGATCATGATCCTGAGGATGCGCCACCCTTACGCGATATTGGGTCCTTCATACCAGATCGCGACGCGAAGTACTACTACTTCACGATGGACGACCAGCTGCTCTACGTGTCATTCTTCCAAGACTGGGGCCCGCTGAACCTGGCAATGGTATACAAAGCATGTATCCTCATTCATGAGCTGCTACAGGTACTCGATCAGCGGACGACCTATAGACTGCCACACTCACTGTTACACTGACAGGACGAGACCTTGGCTAACCACCGGCTCGTCCTCTATTCATCCAGTGATCCTCGACGGAAGGCGAACGCCGCATTGCTGATGGCACTCTACGTTGTAAGCTTGCCGTAAGACTTGTGGTCTGTACATGCTCATCTACCTTGACATCAAGATGATCGTGCAACAACGGCCTCCATGGGAAGCCTTCCATCCAATAGCCGAGATCGAGTTCATGCCGTTCCGAGATGCCGGTAGAGGCCGCTCGGACTTCAACCTCAGCATACAAGACTGTCTCTGGGGCATCTACAAGGCAATGCAAAACGGCCTCTGTGATATGAATGAATTCGACGTTGAAGAATACGAGTACTATGAGAAAGTTGAAAACGGAGATTGGAACTGGATCACTCCAAACTTCATAGCGTTTGCCTCTCCTGTGGACCTGGCTTGGGTCCGAAAGGAGAAAGAACGGGAGCAGTCGAACTCTGGTAACGCAATCGCTTCTACACCAAAACGGGCACCGGCCCTGCAACAACGGGCACCGGCCCTGCAACGACGGCTGCCTGTTCCATTCCTGAACTGCTTGGACTACTTTCAGAAGGCTAATGTCAAAATCGTAGTACGGCTAAACCACCCCTTATATGACCGACAGGAATTCCTAGACCGAGGCATCAATCACCACGAGCTGTATTTTGATGACGGGACAAACCCAACTGACGAGATTGTCAGAAAGTTCCTCAACATCGCTGATGAAGTCGTTGAGGCAGGTGGTGTTGTAGGCATCCATGTGCGTCTGTTGATTCTTTAATTCTCTCACGCTTACACTTCTGTTCCCGCAGTGCAAAGCTGGCTTGGGTCGCACAGGTACACTGGTCGGTGCATACCTCATCTGGAAATACGGCTTCACTGCATCTGAGGCAATCGCCTTCATGCGCATTGCTCGTCCGGGCTGTGTCGTCGGGCCACAACAGCAGTATCTCTACCTCAAGCAGCTCGAGTTTTGCAAATGGTCTGTCTATGATGAGATGAAGAAGTTGCAGGTTCCTCCTGTGGCACCTGCTGCCGTCGCTGCAGTGATGGTTCCAGCAACGCCACCTGCAGAGCCTGAAGACCGTATGGATGTGGTGGAAGAGGAGCCCGCTGCCACCGTAGCATCTGTGGCCGTCGTCCCTTCCGCGCCACTCCCGGTTCCGCCAGTTACTCCCAGTCGCCACGTTGCGCGTGCTGCAGCGCAAGCGAGTGAGATTGCACCACCCGCACAGCCGCGCAAGACGCCCACAGGGAAACGCGTCGCCTCGGACTCCGACGGGGACGAGGAGGACGACGTGCTTCCTGCTCTCAATGTCACACCGACAGCCATGCGACGGGTCAAAGCGAAGCCTGCGTCTGCGAGAGCACCTGTGAACCGCGGGAGCGCCTCTGAGCGCACGACGCGGATCACACGGTCGGTTGCTGGCGTCGCCGCTCGCACGACGAGGCAGTCGGCTGTACTGGCAACGACAAAGCCGGTCAAGGTGGACGGAAAGTCCCCTGCCAAAATCCCAAGACTTGCTAACGGCCCGAGCGCAAGAAGTGCCGCAGCGCGGAAGCCTGCCGTGCCACCCACCACGCGCGTGCTTCGGTGCCCTCCATCTCCGCCGCCCTCTCGCCTGCCCACCCTTGTGGCGAAGCGTGCGCATGCCAACTCCATGAATTCCATGCAGGCCGTACCGACAGTGGCCGCAGCAGCAGTTAAGTCGGCCACGGCCGTGGCCGACGCATGGATGACGAACAACGCAGCCGCAGTAGTCGTCCCTGGGTCTAACTCTGCACGACCGAACCTGCGGAGGGTGCGTCGCAGACGAAGTAGCTTCAATGAGGCAGACGTTGTCGCATGACGTTGTAGCCTGATCTCCCTCGGTCTACTTTCTCGTTCTTGTATTGTGCATAGGATTTCCGCTACGCTATCGATATCTACCGCTGTCTGGTCAGTCCCGTGGTCGTTGCGCATTCGTCCCCGTCATCTCATCTACTCTCCCATTTACCCTGCAAACTGGTCATGCATGCAATGGATCGCGCTCCTTGGCTATTGTCTTTCTAGCTATCCGGATAATATATAGATTTATGTATCATCGTGTATATATGCCGTGAGACATACAAAGAACTTCGGTCTGCCCTGGAAGCTCACACAAGATTCAACCGCTTTCATTTCTGCTTTATCGAGCCGAGTACTTGTGAACACACTCAAAGAACCAGCGCAGATCCTCCGGGTCCACTCCAGGAGTGATTCCATGTCCGAGATTTGCTATCCACCCCTTCGGGCCCTTCCTTCCCTTAAAGCTCTCACACATCCGCTTGACCTCCCGCTCGATCGCTTCACGCCCGCCATACAGCACGTTTGGGTCCATATTGCCTTGCAATGCGACTGAATCGCCGACGAGCCCCCGCGCCTCGGAGGGTTCGATGCACCAGTCGATGCCGATCACGTCGTACCCCGCGTGCTCGGCGATGTGTGCGAGCTGTGTGTTTGTGCCCTTCGGGAAGAGGGTCATGGGCACGACTTGGATGCCCTGCGCTTGGAGCTTGCTGCGCACGCTGGTGGCGATGTGTGTGAGCGAGGGCAGCGCGAATTCGCGGAAGTGATGTGGCGTAAGCTCGCCTGCCCACGAGTCAAATACTTGCAGGAACTAAAGCGAATGTGTTGGTGAATCAAGTAGATGGAAAGGACGATGTAAGGGAGACACACCTGCGCTCCAGCCTTGACCTGCCCGACGAGAAAATCTACGCAGACGTCTGCGATCCTCGTGAGCAGCGCCTTGGACTCCTCGGGGTACTTGAACAACCATGACTTGGCCTTCTGATACGTCCTGCTCCCGCCGCCTTCGACCATGTACGAGAACAGCGTCCACGGCGCACCGCAGAAGCCGATGAGCGGCACCTCGCCCGCGAGCCGCTGCCGCGTCATAGTGATCGCCTCGAACACGTACCCGAGCTCGGCGTCGACGTTGACCGTCGCACGCAGCTTGGCAATGTCTGCGGGCGTGTCGAGCGGGCGGGGAAAGAACGGGCCGGGGTTCATCTCGACGTCCATGCCCATCGCTTGCGGGACGACGAGGATGTCGCTGAAGATGATCGCAGCGTCGAGGAGCCCAGAGTAACGCCGGATGGGCTGCAACGTCACTTCAGTCGCAAGCTCGGGCGTGCGGCACACCTCGAAGAAGCCGTGCTGGGCGCGCACTTCGCGGAACTCTGCGCGGGAGAAATGTGAACAATGATGACTTGTTAGGGTGCGGCGACGCACCTGGGAGATATCGTCCTGCCTGCCGCATTACCCACACGGGCGCACGTTCCGTCTCCTCTCCTACAGAGCAAGCTCTTGGACAGGATTCCCTTAGGACCATGTGGGAAATGTACCTCGAGCAGCCCGCAACAGGAGATCATTCTTGAGTACAGGAAATTCGGCCGCCATGATCTGCAAAATGGTATTCGTCTTGAACGCGCCGACAGATGCAGGAACAAATTATGAGGATGGTGTAGGTCAACGCCGTCGCAGGGCTAGCGAATTGTGGCTGAAGGCAGAGCGTCAATATTTGATCGCGACGCGTCGCGTCGCGTGGCGGACGCGCCACCAGCGCCATAATTTCTCCAGCTGCAATTACCTGCGTGCTCTACTGTGCTTCGATAAACACTAGGACGACTATGCCTATCATCAATCCAACCCAGCTCGTTGAGGAGTCTGTCTTGACCGTCTGTCCGAAATCGGGCTTCTTATTGACCCGCATATTCAACGTCAGGTTCAAGAAATCTGGGGAGTTTGATCGTCTACGGCGCGAGCTGCTGAACGAGTTTCGCAACGGTGTGGGTCATCATCTGAAGGTAGCAATCTGGACGGCCGCATAATGCTGGACATGTTTAGGAGAGCATAGAGCAACTCATGGCTCGAGTAGAAGACATCGCCAGGCAGAAGATGGAGTCTGAACCTAAACTGCAGTACATGTCGGAGACTCTGGCATCGAAAGAGCTCATGCAGGAACTCGACAGGTGCTTTATCGATGGTAATCTACATCCACACACAGCTCAACCAGCCCACAGATACCCTATTGTCGACCGCGCGGTCTCAGACGTCCGTATGCTCTCTGACCCTTCCTTCGCCGCCGGCATTCGCACATCTGTGAGGAAGATCCTACAAGAGGACAGGAAGAGAAAGGAAAACTCGGGTGAGTGCACAGGAAGGTTCGCTGAACATCAGAGTACGATCCATGCATGAAGAAGATACCTCAATCACCGCAGGCCCCCCTATCGGAAAGCCGTCTCGATCTAATGACAAGCTACACTTAGCAGTGCCGGATGGCGCAGACGACAGGGACCAGGATTCGGACGTGATGATGGATATCTCAATGTCGACAGAGTCCACTGGTGCTGATGAGCAAGAGATGAAGACCGAGCCTCCAGCGTCTGGAGGCGAAACGTTACTTGATGCTGAGACCTCGCAACAATCACCGTTGCGGCCAGACGCATCATCCGGCAAGCTGATTCGTCCAGAGAACGAGACAAAGGGCGAAAGGTGTGCGGTTGAGACACTGCCTGTAACTTCGGATAACAACAAGCAGGCGGCGGGACATCGAGAGGACTTGTCAGACCTCTCGATGAGCTCCATAAGCTCAATTAGCGAGAACTCTAGCGTGGAAATGTCCGAGCTACCTACGGTCTGAGCCGAATTGTGTGTGTTTGCTCGTTGATTGTCTTATTCGAAGGGTATACTTCTGTCCATGAATCCGCTCTGTCAATGTAGGGTCGCTTCTGACAATTACCTATATATCGTAGGGAATTCAATTATTAGGTTCCTGGCAGGGCCATATCATTGAACACCAGACATGTAGATGTCTTTGTGCCAGGCGTCCAATGGAACCTTCATCTCGCTTTTCGTCAGGCTTCTTTTCAAAGTGCGCAGGAGTCAGTTCTTGATCCCATCACGGTCAGAACATTGTCTTTATTAGTCCGCAATCAATCATCAGGTCAACTTTACCTTATGTAACCGCGGAGACAGAGCCAATCGTACGCGAGCGTTCTTGGTGAGTTGCCGTTTCTGGCTGCGACCGTCGCTTACATGCTGAAGCGAGGACTCTGCCAAGGCCAAGGCGAGCACTTAAGCGAGCGTTCCGTGAAGCTCTTCATTTCGCTAGTCATGGTCATCGACCAGCTGACTCGAGTCAGATGATGTCCTCAAATACGCGGGGCGCTCACGTCTCTGATGCTCACTTCGCCCACTTCTTTTGCTCCTGCCACGCGTCCTTCTTCCCAGGTGCTGGTCCTCCACATCATCTGAGAAGACGCGCAGATTGAATAACAAGATGGAGAAGGGTGCGTGTCGATCGAACGGTTAGGTGCGGGCCATGGTCGATGACATGATTCAGCCATAGCGACTGCATCGTCGAGCTCATTCCAGGAAGACGTATCTCAACCGATCGATGTAGAGAAGCAATGCAATTACGATTCATCGGATGGCGAGAACCATGCGGTCGATTTCAGGGCGCGCTTCCCGAACATACGTGAAGCTCAGGTGATGCGCAAGATTGACATGCGGGTGGTGCCCGTGCTCTGTATATTGTATCTTCTCGCATTTCTTGACCGGCGGGTGGTAGCATCGTTCCTCGTCTGTCCTTGTATGTTGATGGGATAGTCGTGCTTTAGCGTCAACATATCAAATGCGGCGACATTCGGGCTCAAGACCGACTTGAAACTCGAAGGGAACCAGTATAATACGGCCTTGGTTGTATTGTGAGTCTTTCGGCGGTATGGTTGTACGTGATGGTGCTTACTTTCACCGACTCTCAGCTTTGTTCCCTACGTGCTCTGCGAGATCCCTTCAAATGCACTGCTCAAGCGCTTCAAGCCACATGTTTGGCGTATGTAATCTTTTCAACTCTGCTGCTTGAACTCAGTGTCTAACGGCTTAAAATCAGTATCTCTGTGCATGTTCCTCTTTGGCCTTGTCTCAATCTGTCAAGGGCTAGTGCAGAACTATAGCGGGCTCATTGCATGTCGTTTCTTCTTAGGTACGTAACCCATCAATTCGTAGCCGATACTAATTTCAGACGCCAATCACAACACATAGGTCTGGTAGAAAGTGGCGTATTCCCTGCCTGCTTCTATTTGATTGCTATGTCAGTCATGATTTCGGACTGTACATGATTCGGAGAGATACTAAACCTCGAGCCGTTGCAGGTGGTATAAGCGTGCAGAAGCTCAAAAACGCTACTCTTTCTTCTTCTCCTCAACAACGCTTGCGGGTGCATTCGCTGGTCTCCTCGCCAGTGCGATTGGGAAGATGGATGGCATGCGAGGCTATCACGGATGGCGATGGATCTTCATACTTGGTGAGGCTCTCTATGCCTTCCCCACTGTGCCTCTTCGTGCTTAATTGTGTACCGCCCGCAGAGGGAGTGCTCACATGTATTGTCTCTGCCCTGCTATTCTTCGTGATTTCAGACTTTCCGGAGGAGGTCACATGGCTGAATCCAGAAGAGAAAGAGTTCATCAAGGCGCGCTTGCAGGAGGATGTTGGCGAGTCGAGGAGACATGATCCGCTGACATCGAGGGGCGTGCTCAGCGTGCTGAAGGATTGCAAGTACCTCTTCATGAGTGGCATGTTGATTCCACTGACCCATTGACGACAGACAAGATCATCTTAGGCGGATTCATGTACTTTGGACTTGTCGTACCTGCATATGGATATGGTACGTCCCCTTGGATATAACAACCAAGTCATTCATACAACTATGTTTTCTTAGCATACTTCGCTCCCACGATCATCAAAAACCTCGGCCACAGCAGCGTCCAAACGCAGCTCCTCTCCGTCCCGCCGTGGGCGTGCGCATTCGCCCTTGCCATGCTCGTCGCGGTCTTCTCGGATTATTTCAAGCATCGCTTCCTTTTTGTGCTCATCCCGACCGCTATCTCCTTCGCAGGGTTCCTCATCCTGCTCGTCGTGCATGACAACACGAAGCTGCAATATGGAGCGCTGTTCCTTGCGGCGATGGGCACGTATGCGGCGATGCCGATCATCGTGTGCTGGTTCAATACAAATCGTGAGTGCCGGCTGGAAATGAAATGTGGGACGTCTGCTGACTTTGGTGCTGTAGTGGCCGGACATCAAAGACGTGCGGTGGGCACTGCGTGGCAAGTTGGCTTCGGGAACAGTGCGTCGCTAGCCACTTCGCTGCGTGTTCATACGCTGACAATCTCGCGTCGTCATTTCAGTCGGTGGCATCATCGCTGTATACTCCTTCCTCTCCGAAGACGCGCCAAAATACATCCCCGGCTACAGCGTATGCGTCGCGTTCATCTGCCTGTCCGTGCTCGCCGACTGCCTCTACTTCGTCGCCCTCATTTCCGAGAACCGGAGACGAAACCTCGCGCAGCAGAACATCGGGGCAGATGAGGTTGCGCTGACGAGGGAGCAGAAAAGCAGGATGGGAGATTTAAATCCTGATTACAGGTACCTTCTGTGAAGATTATACGATTAAGTGGCGACTTTCGTGAGAGATGTTCCCCGGGGTGCATACCATACATGTACTACTATCTAGAATAGTACTTTGCCTTATAACTCATAACAGCATGATGGCGGAAACGTTGATTTTGAGTCTGAGAGAATCGCATGCCACCTACAAGCCACCACCTTCAATCACGACCAAATACTATGTAAGCGCCCAGCGGACATTTTCGAAGTGCAACGTAAACTACTAGAGACCTAACTAGTAGCACAGAATCTGGCGAGCAAGGAGCTTTGGCGCGAATAGTACCCCACCATGTCGCACGAGAACTCAATCACCGATATTCAGCCCTTCTTGTTAGAGGAAGCACAGCAATTTCGACTGGCCTTCAAAGCGGCGGAACACATCATTGTTGTGGCGGGGGCTGGTCTATCAGCTGCATCCGGTGTGTAAAGAGTTGAATATCACCTACATGTGCATCCTGAAGTCCAAGCGTGCAGGCATACCCACTTTTAGGGATGGCGGAGGCATGTGGCGCTCTCTGAATGCCGCTAGCTAAGCGACACCAGATGCCTTTGCAGCTAATCCTTCGCTCGTTTGGCAATTCTATCATTATCGTAGAACGAAGTGCATTCTACGTTTTCGCTTGCAAGCAGAGTTAACCACTTTACTTGCAGAGCGTTGATGGCTCAGCCAAACGCTGCACACAGAACACTCGCAAAGCTTTCTATTCCCCTCTATCTTAAAAAGGTGGCACCTAACGCAAAATCTTCCCACTTGATCACCCAGAACGTTGATGGGCTGTCAACTGCGGCGTTGCAATCCTTGTCTGATAGTCTGCCTCCTGCCAACAATTCTAAGAGAGCTACGATGCCGAAGACTTCCATTCTAGAGATGCACGGCAGGCTGTTCGATGTCCAGTGTACTGAATGCGACTTCTGTGAGGGGACCGCTCAGCTTCTCTTTGTGCTGCTCTCGCTACGGCAGACGAATCTATCCAGAATTATCAAGAGGCTGGAACAAAGGAGATTACTATATCACTCAGCATGCTCCCACGTTGTGCAAAGTGCGGCGCTTTGGCTCGCCCAGGTGTAGTCTGGTTCGGAGAAAAGCCTCACCATCTTGATGAGATCAATAGCTTGGTCTTTAAAGCAGACATGGTCCTCGTCATCGGCACGTCCTCCACAGTGAGCAGCAGCAACATGCGTCCATCATCGCATTCTTTCACTGAATGGCAAGCTACATAGGTACGTCCGGCGTCTACATTCGCTTACCGTGTCAGAAGGCGTGGCGGTAAGGTTGCGATATTTAACTTGGAGCCCAGTGGAGAAGACGAGAGGGCAGACTTTGTGTTTACCGGTGGATGCGAGATGGTACTGCCGGCTTTGTTTCCCGAGCTCACATGATCCGATAGTCCCTATGAATCGATTTGGTTTCATCATGAGATGTACTTTAGGCTTGGAGTCTCTCGACTGGGTATATCCCACAACAAGGACCAACCTCACTGCGAGACATTCAAACGAGAACGACTTTACTATTCAAGTTGAGATAGCGTGGATTAGATACGAAGGCCGTAAGAATGAGCGAATTCCGCCAGCCTGAGAGACTCAGACTCGGAGTTCGGTTCCGAAGAAGCGCTTCCACTGGTAGAAGGGAAGCAGGCTGGCGCCATTTGAGCTTCTTGCAACTTCTCTCTCATTCAATTTGCGATGTGCAAGATGGACGAACGCGGCACCTGAGGTCGCTCAACATGGTTCCGGCATACATTTATACTAGGGAACGGACTGTTGTGGCATATTTACTCGTCTGCACTAGTAGTGACCGAGTCGACCTAGCATTGGCACAGTCCAGCAATGAATAATTACTACATGTAGTAGGTAACTCCTTGATCTTTCTCGTTGTCTGGGTTTATGACGACTTGGACGTAGCAATTGACTCCACAACCGGACAACCACACCCACCCTAAAATGATGAACCTCCCACCAAGGGGCACGGAAGCTGTACGGAGCGGAGCCGCAACCCATTCTGCGATACCGCATCTCTTCTGGTGCCTTGACAACTAGGCGGATACACTTTACGAGACATCCATCGCTCCAGGCTCATCCTGTTAAGGCAAACCATCCACCGGGTGCTACATGCGCAGCAAGAAACATATCGCCTCGTCGCAGCACCGCAGCAGACAATTTGGAATGATCACCGCCAAGCACAACGTTCCGTTACTGACAGAATCTTCTACCATTGTCCGTTCTAGCGTCTGTGTACTTCTTGCAATTCGCAGCACCAACTGCTAAGCTTGATTGGTCTGCGATACGAGACAGGTGTTACACTCATTGTCGAACATGCGTTCTCAGCCAGGGGGGGATTTCCCCGCTTAACCATTCCTGAAGACAATGGCCTTGATTTTTTGGTTGCTGTGGCCAATCGAAAAAGCCTCAGACTAGGCTACTTCCCAGTTTCGATCGTTTTGTGAGTATTTGCTACATCAGTTGCGATCATAATAGCAGCCACCGATTGGGCCTCTCAATCCTGTCGTTAAGCATGACTACTCGCATGTCTCCCATTCGATACTAGATTCCGTTCAGCTGATCTGCAAAACTCCGTCGCAGCCAGTATAAAAGGTCAAATTGCACTGGGCAATGTCCTTCGGACCCCCCAGACTGCGTTGTACCGTTCGAAGGCTGAGCCTTCACCTTCTTTGCTCCCGTCTTTTTTTACATCCCAGCTCCTGCCGGCAGGACCATTCGTTATTCCTTGGCCCTTCAGTTCATCGACCTCCTCGGCAGGCCTTTCAGAATGCCCGTGTTGTCTACTCGAGAGGAAGGAGGAGCCAGTGGCGCAGCCTTCAACGTAGATGTTCTGCTATTCAATATCAATGTCGCACTACTCTGCTTTGCCGGTCTTTTCGTTCTTCTTGCCTTGCCCAGAGCAATTGCGCGCTTCCTTCATTCGTCTGAATGGTTTCAGGGATGCTTCTTCCATTCCGTCAAGTTCCCCGCGTCCAGTCGCTTTCTTCGCACCATCAAGCTCGACACGAACGTCTCCAGTGCAGAGAAGTTGGCTGAACTGCGTGCTATAGAGAGCACGTCTTCGTTTTCGCATTATACTCACGATGGTCCTGCGGTCTCGGCCGTCAAAGTCACCATGACGGATAGGATGCCTGCGCACATGCCTGGTTGGACTTCGATGTTCCCAGCGATTACCGCGGCTCTTTCATGGAAGGTCAGGCCGGGCTACTCGGTCGGGGAACTAGTCATTCTACTTGCATATACCGTCGTCATGTTCTATGCCTCCCTCGTGAATGTCGACCTATTCACCGATCCCGTCCGCCTCGGTATGGTTCCGACGAGCCAATTTCCAGTCCTGTATATCATGGCAACAAAGAATAACGTTTTTGGAGCTCTTATTGGCATGGGATATGAGAAGGTGAAAACTCATTTCCTTCACATTTAGAACTGATGTTGAAACTACTGTCATAGCTAAACTATCTGCATCGCTGGGCTGGTCGGCTTGTCGTCCTATCCGTCAACCTCCATGCTTTAGGTTATTGTGAGTGTAGCGATTGTATGGTGCAGTCTCGTCATTGTTGAGAACATCATGCGGCCCCTAGTCGCGATCTGGTCCCAGAACGCCGGCGGCATAGCAGCAGAGATGGACACGAACATAATATGGGGTTGTGTCGCGCTCGGAGCCATGAATATATTGTTCCTATTCTCCCTCACGGCCGTCCGGCAGACGTGCTATCAACTCTTCTTCGTCTCTCATGTCGTCTCTGCCATCGTCGTGCTCTTTGGAGTGAGTGTCTTTCCGTGATCAGTTATCTTCATCCTAGCATACAGCGCGAGATCAATCTCACGATGCTTTGATGCATTACAGACGGTATATCACTTTGATTGGGCACTTCCCTACGCGATCATAGCTTCGGTCCTGTATGGCTTTGACCGACTCGTTCGGATGATCCAAACCCGCATCACCTCAGCGCACCTACGGCCCATTCCCGAACTCGGAATGACCCGCATCGAGATTCCGTCTGTTAATGCCGGATGGCGTGCAGGAGACCATGTTCGCATCAGGGTGTTGTCTGCCGGCATGGGAACCATCGGATGGGCCGAAAGCCACCCCTTCACCATTGCGAACGTGAGCAAGGTACGTGACGCTTTCAGTTGGTGTGTATCACCGTAATGGGCTTACGCGGCATTCTTAGAATCGCAATGGCGAGGGCTTGGTGCTGCTTTGCAAGAAAGCCGGGGATTGGACGTCAAGGCTGTATGACACTGCAATGCGATCTGAATACGGCGAAGCACCTGGAATAGGCCGGACTGTGAAGGTCGTGCTCAACGGTCCCTACGGTACAATCTTCTGCTCTTGTATACCTGTACTGTAATTGACTTCCGTCTTGTGTGCAGGTGGCCCCGGACACGCAATGGTCACGAGTTTCTCGGGAGCCATGCTTGTCGCTGGTGGTAGCGGCATCACATATGCCCTCGCTACTGTGCAGGAGATGTTGCAGAAGAGCACCGAGAGCGCAAGCCATGTGCGCGTCATCGAGCTCGTGTGGAGTGTGACTGATCCATGTACGTTGTGCTCCTCGCCATGTATTTCGTTGTCCACTGACCGCCTCTCACAGCCGCTCTCTTCCCCATGCTGCCTCTCTTCAATACCCTGCTCTCTGACGCACAGTCGACCTACACCTCGCTCCGCATCTCCGTGCACTACACCAGGGCCATTATCTCTGCGGACGTCCTCAAGCCATTCGAGCGACTCCCGCTCGGACTGACGCTCTCGCCCGGCCGTCCAAAGCTACTCAAGATCCTAGAAGGCATCAGCGACCGGACCGGCCAGTCGAACGGCGTGGATGGCACTCTCACGGGTGTGCTGGCGGGCGTTTGCGGCCCGGCCGCTCTGGGCGAGGAAGTTGGTAAAGCTGTGCGGCACTTGGATGGTGATAGAAGGAGGGCTGTTGGAGGAGTTGAGCTCCACGAAGAGTGAGTCGATGTTCATTCCATCACGGAGCTTCATGTGCTGACAAGTTTCTCTTGAAGGATTTTCGGCTGGTGAAGTTGATGCATGGTATCCGGTGGAAGATTTCCTGCTGCTTGACACAGCTTGTTCGTTCATTGAACCATCCCATCCATCCTGTCATTCTCTTGTTTTACCTGCTAGCCAGGTTGTCGCGACACATGTCTCGGGCTGGTCGTGGACGACCTGAATTAATTTGTGATGCTTCGGTGAAGCAGTGAGGTACAATGTCGCCATCGACGTCGATGTACTATATGTATGTAGTAGGAAGCCGATAATGGCAACAGCGCAGAATCCGATAACAACTAGCATACGAATACAGAAAGTACAGCGAGACGACACCTCTGCATGCAGAATAGTCCGCCTCTACACCACATCCGCAACCTCAACTAAAATGAGGTAACCTCCGCCCATTCTGAAGGCAACACAGTCCGCAGTAGGTTGTTTACAAATACGATGAACGCTATATATGTTGATAGAATTTGAGAGACGGCGTGTAACGGAGTGATCCTGTATTGCCACCCATAGCAGTCAGTGCGTACCCCACGGAATTCGAAGTGGGGAACCTACTGAGCATAGCCTTATAGCACAATTACTCCCGTCTGCCTCAAATATGCCAAGGCGTCGAACACCTCCTCACACTCGCTCTGCGACAGCCTCATATCATCTTTGAGCAGGGAATAGAGCGGTCCCTCTGGCCAATCCAGCAGACCGCGGAACTTCCATTCGGTGGCAAGGCCAGCCATTCGCTCAAATGAAGAAGCTAGGTGTTCCAAACTGGGACGGCAAGATCTCAGGAACTTGTTGAAGCTCCCTACAGGCCTCTGCGTCGCAGACAGCATCGCCCAAGGTGTGAGTGATGTGATATCTTCGTGAATCCTAGTGATGTCTGGCAAAGTGTGAATGGACGGTCCCTCGCAGCTCGATGACGGACTGCGGAGACTTGTAGGAGCATCTTGGGAAATCCGAGATGATGATGCTGCCCCGCTCAATGACGGACTGCAAACACGATCATTCTGTTCACGACATGAATGAGTACTGGAGGAGTGCAAATTTCCACACGTACTATAGAAGACGTTGTCTTCCGACCTTCCTTCAAGTTCCTGTAGTAAGATTTGTGGCGATGTAGGAAACTACTCTGCTGGAGATGCCTTTTTACAATGTTGTCAATGGGCCAGGCATCATCGTATCTGTTGCTCAAGATTGGATACACCTCGATGGCCTGTATATGACAAGCTTGTCAGCATGGCCAAACCACAGGCACAAGCAGCCGGACAGCAGACGGACTTTCTCACGGATCTTTGCTATGCTTGCAGGATCCTGTTGTCTGTACGATAAGTCTTCTCTCAGATGCGCCCGTGCCAATGCATGTACATATGTCTGTTGTGCCAGGTCGAATCAAGATTGAGAGCTAGTGCAAAAGTTATGGAGCTCACCGTAATCTCCTTGAACTCCTTCAGTGGCAGTTGCATGCCTTCCTGCAGCCCGGTCCTCCAGGGAGGTCGTGGGATTCGCCGCAAGGGTATCGTCTGAGGACACATCCCAGTTGAAGAGTTATTGTCGTGTCGCATGGATTGCCGACGAGCATAATATATCATTATATATGGCGATGGAACGCGTACGATCTCACGGAAGTCGGATGCTTTCGCTTACTTGATGATCCATCGGTCTGATGCTCCCGGGGATGGCGAGCTCGACAAATGTGTTCGCGAGCGACCCAGGCCAAGAGGTTTATTCAGGTCGAACATCCTCAAACCCGCGCTGAATGACTACTAAGAAGCTTCCGAACCCATGCGGGTGATTCTCGCGGATAAGCCGAGACCCAACCGCATTTCGTGCATCACGCGATCCAATTATCCGAGGCCCAAAATCGTCTTGCGGGTTCCCCATGCCACTGCATGCAAGTTCCACTCTTTCAGCGAAACGCGAGTAGAAACTCACTAAATCTGATAACATCTGTAAGATCCGAATAGAGCGGCTTCTCGGCATTAATTGAGAGCAACGCGGACGCTTTGGCGCCGATGTAAGACGCGTTGTGACGCGTCTGTGGCTGAAGGTATTTGCGCGTTATTATTATCACTGCGGCTCAGCTAACTTAGGTATGGCTCACTCACACCATTTAACGTCAGTGAAGGGTTTGTTCAGAACCTCAATACCTACAACTGCTCAATGGAATTTGCGAAAGATATTTTTTTGAAGAGATAGTAGAGGGAACTGAAGGTCACCTCTGAAAGGTAAATTTCTGGGAGTCAATGCCTCGAAGCTCAAACATAAGTCTGGAGCAATTGGTGCATATGCATGTCTGCATATATGCTATGCATTGTTAGTTCTGAAAATCTTCTGAGGAAGGACTTATATCGCTCGCCCGGCCGGGGGGGTGTCCCGGACCGACTCGTAGATACAAACATATCGCGGCGCTCGCAAGCGTTGCGAGCCCCCATGCAGAACGCTGCATGTGTGTACAGCGATTCAGCTTAGTTGACTGATACGTCCCTTCTACAGGTTCTCATCTCGCAGACGCCCTTTTGCCTTCTTTGGCTCATAGGTATCGCAGTTATCAGTGGGAAGCAACTGCCACTACTCTGCTGAATATGCAAGCGCTCGCTATGAGCTCGCTGTATGCTACGAGAATTTCACTATGAGATCATTCGTTACGACAAACAGGAGATGAGCAAGTCTCGTGAGCATCCAGCTATCTAAGAGACTTGGCGGCATGGAGAAAGAAAGCCTGTACGTCTCCAATACCCTACCCAATTTTGAACGTCGTCATATCCAAGCTGCTTCACACTCCGATCCATCAGCGAAGGGGAGACACGCATGCCTTTGTCTGCTGCTACTAGCGGCAGCAACCCCATGCTCTCCATATCTCCATCGGATGCCTTGATGATCGCCTGTCTGAAAAAATCCAACAGCCGCAATGCAGACTTTGCGTCGCCGCCCCACCCGTCCGTTTCAGAGGAGTCACTGTCGGCGGATATGCTTTCTAACCGGGCGAACCATTCTTCATATGGTACAAGCGGGACATCCAGCGCCGTTGACAGGTGCTCCATCAATTGCATCCAAGTGGCCGGTCGCGGATGAATGACGTGCAGCGTCTCTTTGCTAATGTCCCGAAGGTCCGCAATAGCTGCCGCTGCCAGATTGACTGGGATCCACGAGACACTCTGGTACCATAAGAGGTGAGAATGTGAGAAGACGATGAACAAAGTCTCCTACACTGTGACCTTCTGGCAGGCATCCGAGGTAGGCAGCCGATTGAACCAGAGCTGGCACCCAATGAGAAGTATCCCAAGCGCCATTGATGCTGCCACTCAGCAAACCGACACGGATTATGTTGGTCCTCAGGTTGAACCTTTCTCCTGCGATTTGCACTAGGCGCTCTGTCACCCATTTCGACTCTATGTAGCCAGTTTGGATGCTCGCGCGAGCCTCAACGATCGGTTCCTCTGGAGCAAAGTTCCCGCCGCTGGACTCTGGTGAACGAGATAAATTATGAACCGTTTGAGATAATTGCATCGAGTTCACGTACGGCGATAGACACCAATAGTACTGATGAACGACAGCACTGGTGGTACGGCTAGCATTGAAAGAGCGGAAAGATTAAGGAGATTGAGCGTTCCCTTGATCAATTGGGCGAACTCAGGCAAAGGTGAATAGAAGTCGATCATCCATGCTGCGACCATACATAGGTGGTCAGGATTGACATGAGAAAAGAAGTGCTCTGCAATAGCTCACCATTATGAATGATATGTGTAACGCTCGATGCGAGCTGTTGATTGAACATATGTGATTAGATGCATCGTTTACAATGTAGAGCATAACTCACCTCGCGAAAGAGCACCGTGTCGAGTCCGAGATCTTCCGCCGTGAGATCGGCTTCGAGCAAAGTCAATTTCGGGGAGCTTATATGGTCAACTGGTAGTCCTTGATTGCTGTACGCAGTGAATTGTCTCTCTTGCAAAGTTACCTCTCCCACGTGCCTGCGATTGAGAGCGTAAACCCTTTGAACGTTCTCGTCATTCAGTAGTTGGAAGAGGATGTGTGATCCCAGGGCACCCGTACTGCCAGTCAACAGAACCACATGGGGCGACGTTCGATCCGCAAGAACATGTTTTGTGCGATGCCGCTTGATCATTGAATTGAGGTGTTTCTCCAATTCCTGGCGCATCTGTTCCGCCTTTCCCTCGCCTACTTGCGCATTGTTCTCCTGCGTCGGTTCTTGTGAAGAGGGTTTGTCGATCCTCTGTTGGAGATCATTCACGGACACGTCTGCAAGCAACTGGAGCTGCGAAATCTCAGCAATGGGTCTGAGCATGTAGGACAACTTGGCCGCCGAGAGGGAATCGATACCGTAGGCGCTTAGTGGGACATCTGGTGAGAAATCTTCCTGCCGAATGCCCAACACCGCTCGAACCATACCTGCCATATGATCGATATCGCCGTTAGGTCCGTCGTCCTCAGTAGTCTGTGAAGCAATCAAGTGTTTTCCTAGCTTGGTCATTCCGAAAGTTCGGTCCATGGCTTCCCATTCGATGTCTGGGACGTAGCAATGAAAACGTTGGCCACTCTGAAACCTGATCAATGCATCCTCGAACCATGTGATCATTTCTAGTCATCGGAAGGATATGTCAGTGTCATAAACGACTGCGTTAGTGAGCCTTTATCACCTTCGGTGGACATGGACCATTCAAGTAAATGATTGAAGCGGGCATCACGTTGTTCTATGTTTCCAGCCAGGAGGAGCGACGAATCAATGATCCCTGGACACACAAACACGAATGCGTTTGTGGATAAGGCAATGGAGGCCTCTAATGCTGTGTTCGCGCTACGCCGGGAAGGATCAGCACGATAGTATTACAAACATAATGCTTCTCACCAATCATAGTTAGTCTGTCCACCGCTTCCAAAGAGCCCGGAAACTGATGAGAAAGCAATGAAGAACTCCAAACGCGCCGTATCAACGACGTTCTGGAAGGCCTGAACAACGCCCGCTTTTGCAGCGAGAACGACAGAGAAATCATCTGGATCAAGGCGCAAGAAACTGCGATCCCTCACAACAGCGGTGAGAACAATACAACCTCCTAGCTCCCCAGGTAGACGTCGAATGAGATCGTTCATGGACGATTCAGAGGTTGCATCTACAGCCTCAAAGTGAAGATCCACGTCCCCTTGGCTGAGCAGGTAGTGCGATATCCGTCTGACCATCAGGTTGGTACTCTCTGAGATACCTTGTTTGCCACGACGTGACGTCAGAACAATGTGTCGAGCACCTCTCTACATGATGGTTGATCAGTTCAGATCCTGTCATTATTGAGGGAGTCAAAGCGTACCTGATACATGAACAGTGCAAGATGCACACCGATATTTCCTATCCCGCCGAGAATCAAATATGTCCGGTCGGGATTGAAGGATGCCTGAAGAACGCCCTCGGGCTGTTTGACTGTGTCTGGCCGCTGATTCATGAGCGGGTCTGCTACGATCTTCGACATATCCATAGGAAGGTCGTTCAACAAGCAAAGCACTTCTTGAAGCACTTCACCCACGGAGCACGGATCTCTGCGCAATGTCCTCGCTATGCCATCACGTTCATCAGCCCAAAGGAAGATGCTGCCACTTCCTTCTCGCAGGAGACTTCTCAGGATCTGCACTTGTGGCGTCTCGTTGTAACCGGAAACAATCAAGTCAAACGGTTCCTCGCTGACACAAGCGAGGTCCACTAGGTTGACATCTTGACGGAGCTCGGTGACGAGCGCACCTTTCAGAGCGTAGGCGTGGCGAACGCAAACCCCGATGGGTGTGTCCGCGTGTGTCAATAGGATACGGAGCGACTGAAGGTAGCTAGGGTGTCGGTAGGCACTTAATCCGGAGGCGAGGATTGCGACTGTGCACCCTGGAATGCAGGATATGTAAGAAGCGCCAACTTCACATTGATCGTCTGCTATTCGGCATGTAGCTGCTTCATCCACGATGGCATGTTCCTCTTGGATATCCATAGTAATGGCCACAACTAACGCATCACATCGATCCGAGGCCTTTCCGTTGGATATTGTCCCGATCACAGCTGAAATACCTGAACATGTCGATACAAACCGTGGATTAATGACAACGTGGTTGAGAGGCGTGTTCGGCACGCTGAATGGCGTCGCAAATGAGTATGATCTCGGGGACATGGGAAGCAATGGAATCAGCCTGGGAACGAGGAGTTCGTTTTGCGGAGTGACAACAATTTCCAACTCGGCTTCCATGTGGTTAGGCAGCTTCTCCAGCATTTCCTGTCGCTGCGCTGCAGAGTATGAGCTTGGGAACACTACCAAACGAATAGTCCACCGAAGATATTCTCTTCTCAGAGCGCGCACTAGCCCGAAGGCTGGGCCTCCGTTGTTGTCTCCAGAAGCCGTGATCCAAACCTCAAGCTCCTGAGAGGTGTTGAGCCCACTGAAATGCCACTGCAGGTCTTGTTCTTGACCGGGAGTATAGTAGAAAACAAAACAATCTGCGGAACGAAAAAGACGCTGAGTCGACAGATCGGTGGCATTATGATGCCGTTTTTGTCCTTGTAGAATGATCACGTCAGCCACAGGTTCCCGATATGTCCGCAAAATCGATACGTTAGCGTTATCGGAAGAGGACTGAATGGACTTGAAATGTGTTGATTCTGAATTGGAACGTTCAGGACCTTGGGAAATAGAAATTTGTGATTCCCGGCTGGCAAGTATCAGTGTCCCGCCTGGCAGGAGAATGGTGCCACACAGCGTGAAACGTTGCTCCATGGATATGTGCTCGCGAAAGAAGTCAAACGATACCACGACGTCAACATATCCTAGTGCTTTTCGATATTCTGCGGACATTTCAGGGTTCGCCTCTATGGGCCGCACGATGCCTTGCCTGCGGTTGATGTCCATCAGGTTAGCATATTGAATATGTGGGACAATGACTTCTATGAAGAGCGTCGGGAATTGGCGCAAGACGTTCGATATTTGAATGTAGAATGAAGCATCTGGGACATTACAATTGAGCGTCACGCGCGGTTAAATCGAAATTATGGACAAAGGTAACACTCACGATTGCTCAGAATTAGGATTCTAACAATTTTGCGGCTGCGCTCAGATACAATTGAAGAGATGACACCATACAAAATCGATGTCTGTGTCGCAATGACCTGGCTCTCAGGCTTGCTGGCCCCTATTTCGCTTGACGTTGTCTAATGACTCTATTAAGTACACCCGTCGTGACACAATGGAGGAATTGTGCTTACATGCGCCTTGTTGAGACCATATATCTCAGGTTGATCAGGCTGACCTTGCACGATTCTTTTATGACTACAGTCTGCGTGAGTTATTTCCATATGAGACGGTCACTGGCGTGCTCTCACTGTTCGACACGTATGTCAGAATTCTTTTCCGTATATGCACTAATCGAAGGGTCGCTCCAAGATGCCGTCTTATGCCGTGTTTCCCGTGTATCTGGGGACTGATACCAATGACCTAGTGGCTGAAAGAGCACTTCAAATGATCGCGAGGTGTCCGGAGGAGGTTTCATCTTGTGCCTCTCTACCATAAGTCTTCGCAATGAGCATAGAGGCCTTCCGGCATCATCCACAATCATCATATTGTATGTTCGAGAGGCTGGTTTTGTGATATTCAGTGGACATATTCAAGGATGAAGCTCAGAGCGCCACATACTAGGTGTCCATTCACAGACGGTCACATGAGCATAAATATGCGCAGGGAAATAGCCCTCTCTGGGCGGTCGATGGAGGATGACCGCATCGACACGTGAAGGGAGAGAATAGACATATGTGTTGAAGTCACCACTGAACGCTTTGAATGCCGGTGCATGCAGGCATGCGTCAAGGATGGCTGGATGTAAGACATAGTTTCCATCGCTATAATCTGTCAGTCAACATCCAATTGACGACCGGCTTGTACGCACGCAGATAGAGTGGCGTCTAGTCCACGAATGGAAACCAGAGCCTCATCAGCACCATAATACATGTCAGTCACGCGTCTGAACCGCGGTCCGTACGCAGAGAAATATGACAGGGCGCGATAAAAATCTGAGCAATTTCGCCGCGAATCAGTTTCTCCATTGGCATTGCTGGAAACTCATTGCTACTCACTGGAACCAACATGATGCGGACATCGATTCCTGATAGCGCGTAAATCCAGGTCAGGTAGAGATCGAGGTGGCTGGAATGATAAATAACCGTCTGCGTGATGCCTTTCCGACTGTAATACAAATCATTAGGGTGGAAAAAGGGAGGAAGGGATTGAGACCCACGTGAGAGGCAGTGCTGCGGGTTGTCGCAGAAACAATGGATGTTACTGTCCACAAACATGCATCCAACTTCACTTTGACTTCAACAGGCCTCTCCGCAGAAAGAGATAATATTGATCGAAAATTCACGTTCATCAGCGCCGTAGCGCCAAATTCAAATCCCTGCCGTCAACCAGATTAGACGTGATGAATGGGATTTGTGTGTCGTGATATCCGTACCATCTCCACGAATCCAGCCGCAGGCATGATTGGCTCGCCTCTGACAATGTGTTCAGAGAGAATAGGATGCGTTTCCTTGTTCACTCTCAGATATTCATGGTTTAGTGGACCCCGGTGACGCGCCAACTGTTTTATGTAACCTGGTGTATCGGGATACAGAGGGAACGACTTCTTCTGGAACGGATAGGCAGGGAAAATGAGTTCGGTTTCGCTGCAAGTGCGTCCCGTGAGGATCGAGAAATCGATGAAATTATGTCCAACTGTGGTCAATTGTCCGCAAAGTTGTAGAATGTTGCGATGTTCGCAGAGTGTCCCACCACGCTTTGGCCGCCTGACGGTGGGAATAATGTTGCTCGTAGGATTTACTGCGCTTGAGATATACGAGGACAGTACCGGGTGAGGCGCGATCTCGATGAAAGTGTATGCGTTTGTGTTCTGCAGTGCTTCCAGCGCTCCTGTGAACAGTATCGGAGATCGTGTGTTTCTCCAGAAATAGTCAGCGTCAAACGGCCCTTGTAATAACTTCCCTGTAAGCGTCGAATAAACTGGAACCGAAGGCGTAAAGGGCCCGGGATAACGGTCGAACAATTCTCGCAGTCCGCTGCAGTACTCTTCTCGGCAGTGCTCCATCATCGAAGAGTGAATGGGGACACGGGTCCGAATTTTGCTGCTGAAGATGCCTCGGGAACGAGCAATATCTATTGCTCGATCGATTGCCACTTCATGACCGGCAATGGCGACCGCAGATGGAGAATTGTAGCAGGCAATTTCGAGGATATGCCCATCGCATTGCTGAGCATCGGAGATGATTGCCATGGCATCTTCTGGGCTGCATGACAGTGCTGCCATAGTTCCACCAAGCGTTTCGACTGACGAGAACGCCCTTCCGCGGAGAATGGCTAATTCAAGTGCCATAGATCTCGGAGCGGCACCAGACGCATAGATAACGGAAGTTTCACCGGCTGAATGGCCAATTACAATGTCCGGTTTCACGCCGATGCTGACCAACAAATCGAAGAGAGACATCTGGAACATAGCGATAGACGGAAGAATTAGAGAGATAGGCCATGTTTGTGGTATCTCCACTTGCGCTTCTTCACCGAATAGTCCATAATCGTTGACCATTGACATGCCTGTAAGACGCTTGTAGAGCTCGTCGAGCTCCATAACGCTGCGTCTAAAGACAGGAAATGCATTAAATAACTGTCGGCCCACTGTGAGAAACAATAATTAGAATATCGCGAGATTGTTATGGTCAGCGACTCACTGTCTCTGTGTTGGGGACCCTGTCCTGAGAAAACGAACACAACTGGATTCGCCGTTCTTGGGCAATGCAGAGGTGACGAGAACTCGAATGTAGACGTCTGATCCTCGTCAACGATTGCGTACGATCTCCACGTCATCTGTTTGGACCTTCGACCGAGAACGGTGGAGATGGTCGACAATTGGGCAGCATTTGCCGCAGCTAAACTCCTTATCGACTCTGATAGCATCACCGCGCTGCGGGACGATAGACCCCCAGCCATCAGAAGCTTCGGGCCTCGATCGGAGGTGGAACGTCGATCGAGCTCATGGACAACAGTTGGCGGGCTCTCCAGAACAATATGCCCATTCGAACCGCCTATTCCGGAACTTGCCAATGAAATCAAGTACTTGTCCCCGGAGTGGCATGGTAGCACGGTAGGCTCTAGAGGAACCTGCAAGTTGTACTCGTCCCAATGTATCTCCGGGTTCAGTCGCTTAATATTCACGTTCGGTGGGATGACGCGATGCTTTAAAATTGAAATGACCTTCGAAAGACTTGCCAGACATGCGGCAATCTCTGTATGACTGCAGCTCAACCAGTCAGCCGTTATGACGCCAGTCAGTCAATCAAGACAAACCCGATGTTGCCTTTAACGCTTCCGATGAGCAGCCTATCTTCTCTTTTGAACTGCGCTCCAACCCAATTTGCTTCAGTGGGGTCTCCTTTAGCGGTACCTGTCAAAGGTTTCCATTTAACAGTGAGAAAAGACTTAGCAGATCTCACAAACCCGTAGCATGTAACTCTACGTAGTCAACTTCTTGTGGAGCCCTTCCTGCACGTTTAAATGCTTGAACCATAGCCTCTTGCTGAGCATCTGCTACTGGAGCTCCTGGAGGGCCCCCAGCGCCGACGGAATTGATAGCAGTACCTAGAATCTATGGAATGGGTGAACACGGATTTCACAACTTGTGGATGGATTTAGCGAACAGTAGCATAAATGCGATCGCGATCCCGCAAAGCATGCTCAAGAGGCTTTATTACGATCGCAACACATGCCTCCGCCCTGCCAAAGCTTACATGGTGATGTCAGGATGACTGCCATGTCAACGAAACTGATTCACCTACCCGTCTGCATCTGCATCAAATGGTTTACATTTGCCGTCTTTGGATAGGAGGTGTCCTTGACTGTACGACAGCCAGTCTATAAAGCTAGACATGCAGTGAATGGAATGACAACGACACAAAGATTGATGATCCCTACTCACCGAACATTCAGCTGACATCCGGCAATGACAGCAGCCTCGCAATCACCATGTTGAATAGCCTGGATGGCCAGATGAAGTGCCGTTGCGGTGGAACTACATGCCGTATCGGTAGGTACGGAAGGACCAAGCAAATCTAAATGGTTCGAGATCCTGTTTGCTACCATGGATGGATAACCGGCAAAGGAACCTCGCGCCTCGAACTCATCCTATTTGACATGAGGGTCTAGTACAATAGGATAGTATCCAATGACCGACATACCGAATCTGTGACACTGAGTAAATCAAAAGCATTGCCGGAGGTGAAGCACCCGACGTTCTTCATTCTGTAGTCAATACCGGAGTCCAAGAGAGCCAGGAAGCAATTCTCAAGTAATTTCTTCACAACGGGCGCCATGAGTCTTGCATCGCGGGACGATATGCCAAACTCTACGTTGTCAAACATGTCGATATTCTTCAAGAACGAACCGCTATCTGTTTGTACCTTCCCCAAATCATTACCTTTCCAGCTAGTTTGATATATGTTAGTGTAATCTCATGATCATAGAGCAGGTACATACGCTTCTATGTTGAAACGCTTAGGAGGAATGCGCTCGTATGACTCGCCACCACGGAGTAGGAAGTCAAAGAACGCGTTATGGTCGAGGTTCTCATCGAAGAATGCACCGCTTGGTAGTTCTGCGGAGATACCGACCTGAAAACGTGTGTTAGATTCAGCATAAGACGGAATGTGAATACTGACGATTGCTACTTTCGATGACATGGCCGATGCTGCACAAAAAAGAGAAGGAGTTCTGAGTTATCATAACTAAGAGAAAGACGTGTATATCATTAGTGGGTAGCAAAATTGGTGAACCACTTGCGGAGATAGTCATCACAAGGTGTTGAGGGTCCTCCATTTGGAAATTCAGATACCTGGTGGCATGAGGGCTTGCCGCAGTTGATGAAGGCGAGTGTGCATCAGAAACCTGATCGCTCGTTATCAGAGAAGCAGTTGCGAACTAGAGATGGCACGACTCCATGAGCGACCGAGAAAGTATCGCGCCTATAGTGACAGAAACATGGAAGAGATAATGTAACAGAAGTTCTAGCTGATACTAGTAGGGTATAGGGATGTGTCAATCTCTTCGAAAGCGACGTAAGCATACACGTATAATGGAAGACATGAATCCTGACGAGGATTTTTGAAATTTGCTAAATGGTATCACTATGCAATCTGGATATAAAAGGAAATAGTACATGAGCGCTGACCGGGACCGCTGATAGAAAGTGACAGCTCGGTGTCCCCGGGCATCCCGCGTCCCTTGCTCGGACCAAGTAATTGATATCCGGCAGCGACAGGGCACCAATGAACCAAGTCTCATTCTCCGGCCAAGGGACGTTCCGTTCTACGCATTGGACATATCAGATCATCATCGCTGATGCTGCTCGCTAGGAGGCTGCCACATGGTAGAAAAATGTTGGTCATTTCGACACGTAGGTGTCCCCCGCGACTTCGCTGTCTCTCCGAAGTCAGTTGACACATTTTGGCTATTTTTGCGTCCGTAATAAATGCCTTTCCTAGTGTTAGCAGTAATCGCATCAACAGATTGCAAGGGTGCCGACTCCCGAGTACTGATCCCCCCTTTTACACCCCATCACACGCACAGTGATGATCAGGGTGTGCCAGCCTGCCGGGACCAACACTATATCACTCTCTGGCGCTCATTATCCATTTCATCATGGCACCTTCCGTGCATGGAAGGTACTTGCTTGAAGGACAAGAGGTGCATTTCCCAATCCCTTCAAGCTCTCTCTCTCCCAGACGCAGGGTGACCTCCCCGATGCCGAACACTGTCGAAGTGGACTCTTCCATGGACAAAGAGACAGGCTCTCTTCCTCCGCAGCCTTTTGGTAGCACCGACGTGCCCGACGTGAATGCTTTCGACATGCTGAGCACGCTGCCCACTGGGCGCAAGCTCACGCTGCTTTCCATCTTCTGCTTCTCCCTCTTCCTTGACACGTTCAATAACTCCTCTCTTTTTGCCGCTATTCCGCCCATCGCTCTTCAGCTCGACATTCCCAATAGTCAGAGCGCATGGCTTCTGAGCGCTTACCAACTCACATTTGCTGCTCTGCTCCTAGTCGTGAGCGGTCTTCTTGTTGACTCTTCAAGCTTTGGCTCACAACCCATCCTTCCTCACAGAGCGGCCGAGTCAGTGATCTGTACAATCCCAGTTAGTGTCAGGAACACGTGCCTGGACAATGTGTGCTCACCGTGTTTGCAGAATGGGTGTTCGTCATTGGCGCGTTCGCCATGGGCATCTTTGCGCTCGTGGCCGGCTTCATTCGCAGCGAGGTGCCGCTCCTCTTATTCCGAGCACTCATGGGAGCAGGTATATCTATCCGTCTTAGGCCCCACCACCTCGGAGCACTCATGCTCACCTATTGTGCAGGAGGTGCATTAACCATCCCGTCCGCCCAACACCTCATTGTACACATGTATCCGGATCCCGTGCAGCAGGCGAAAGCTGTTGCTGCATTCGGTGGCATGGGTGGCATCGGAATGGGTGAGCTCCACCATATTCAAAGTGTCAGGCATTGCTCACGCGAGTACGTAGTTCTTGGCTTGATCATCGGTGCACTCTTTGTATCGTACACGTCGTGGCCATGGGTGTTCTATTTTAGCTCAATCGTCTCTGGCGTTATCACGCTCTCTATCCTGCTTCTCGTCCCGAACATCAGCCGCACCGGCCATACGAAGGAGTCTCGCACCGCCCGTGTGCTACGGTTCAAGCGTCTGGACATTATCGGTGTGACGATTTTTGCAGGTGAATAGCAGGTCGGCGACACAGTGGACCGGCATGCTGACGACTGTTCAACGGCAGTTGCCCTCATCCTCTTCATCTTCGCCGTCACCTCTGGTGCAACGTCTGGATGGCGCTCCGCGCGAATCATTGTGCCGCTCATCATCTCCTTCGTCCTCTTCGTCCTCTTCTTTGTGTGGGAAGCGAAGATCCCAGAGTCGTATGCTGCACTGTAAGCTGGTCTGAGCACGATTCCTGTTTACAATGCTGATGCTTTTCGCAGTCCGCCCAAAATGTGGCGCTACGAAAACTTCACGATCCTCCTCGCCATATCACTTGTTCCATTCATGTGGTGGGGTTCCATCTTTCCTCTTTTTGCGTGGTATTGGGAGACAGTGTATGGCTGGACGGCCATCCGGAGCGCTGAGCATTTGTGAGTCCGCGACCTAACAGTCCTAGTCGGGCGTTGCTGACTCTGGTCCTCGATTAGCCTTCCCATCGCTCTCGGTATCTTCCCAACATTGCCTATTTCGGCTGGTCTGCAGTCCAAGCTGCGGCTGAAGTGGGTGATTGCTATCGGCTTCTTCTTGATAACCGCCGGAACGCTCCTCCTCCCCTTCGCTGGTACGAAGGAACGCTACTGGCCGCTCGTCTTTCCTGGCTTTTTGTTAGGCACTGCGGGTGCAGCATTGATCTATGCCACAACCAAGTAAATATGCCCTGGATGCTTTCTCAGACAGATTCGCTGATCCCTTCTTTTACAGTATAGCATTGCTTGCAGTCACGCCGTCGTCGGTTTCTGGCATTGTCGCTGCCGTGTTCATGTGCGTCCTTCAAGCTGGCGGGGCCACTGGAGTAGCAATCGTGACGTCTATACAGACCAGCGTCCAGATCTCTCATGGAGGTCCAGACGGGTTTGCAGGGCGCGCGGCTGGCCTCTGGTTCCTCGTCGGAATTACTGGGACGATGGGAATTCTCTTCTTGATTTTCATGAAGGACACTGTTGGCCCTGTCGATCCGACCGCTCCTCACGAGCATAAGGAGAGTCTCCGATAACTTCCATAACATGCGATTTCGACCTATCCTTTACGAACTCTCCGATCCTACTCATATGCCCATTCCATGGACTCATTCCAGTTGCCGAATCCTTCGGATGCTCGTATCATCACTGTTCAATGCCTGAAGCGCGATTTTTAATTTTATCAGTATCACGCGTCCAGCATGCCACAGGCATGGGCATCGTGTCGGGTTCGTTTTGGGTGAACTCCCCATGTTCAACATTTGACGTGTGAAACCTTCGGCTGAGAATTCATATCAGTTCAACAAGCTCGACCAGAACGATGAAACCGGGCAAATACGCATTAGTCTCCGATAGGACGCACGGAGATCCGTCTCCTCGATCTCATACTTTTACGGCATGCCCCCATCGATGTTATACCATCCACCTGGCGAAATGATCGCGAAACGACTTTTGCAAGCCGGCGGAGATGGTGAGCTGATGCAGTCAAGCCAGAGCCAGAGCGTGTTGAAGCTCCGTGCGATCCGAGCCTCCGACGTATCAATTTTCGCTGAAAGACTCTCAGTATGTACATCATTCCACACACTGGCAGGCTTCTTCGGAAACTTACATGAGCTGCATCACAAGGTCGCATCAGCCTGTCAACAGCACGGTCATAATGATGGACATCTCGAAACGGCGCATTCGTATTTCGATAATGATGCCTGTATCATGAGGCTCGAACTCAGTTTGAGATCGCCCGCGTTATCAACGCACAGCACAACCACCCGAGATGCCGTTTAACACGATCAACTACAATGATATGCCTCCATCATGCAACGGCAGTACCTGAGAACTGTTTGGACCATGATTTCTGTCCAGGTGCCTCAAAAAATTGTATATGAACCCATCAAGGCGCGATTTTATTGCATCTCGCGACGCCTCGCTGTTCTACAAGACAAACTTATTCGCCATGAACGTCTCCGAGATCATCAACCCCTACACTCCCTATGCTTACCTCCCTCGCGATATTGCATTTGAGACCCGCGTTGCCACTTTCATTCTTGTCGGTTCGTTAGGAGTACGTGGATTACAAACCGCATGTCGAACAATCTAACCCATGGATCCCTCGCATAGGCTATGGTGTGGGACGTTCTCAGTAACACAGTGAATGATTACATCCTCATAACAAAGACAAAAGTCAACCTGCCGGTCTACGTCTATTTTTTTTCAAGGCAAGTGATTCTGAAAATGAACATTATTCTACCCACTGACATCTTATTACAGGTTGGCAGCGATGTCGTATATCGTGCTCAGCACGGCCTTCGAAAGTATGTATTGACATTGCGACGTTTCGCCCGTCCCCTGACGTTTCGTCAAATATCAGCTGCACCTATTGGCCAAGGTCGCTGCCAAGCACTTGAGCTCACGCTCGACGTTTGTTTTGCTCTGGCAGTGCCTGCAACCTGTCTTCTGTTCTTCTTTCGCATCCGGGCCGTCTTCAGTGGGAATCTGTATGTTCAGGCATTTTTCTTCGTGGTGTGGCTCAGCGTCGTCGCCGGGTCATTCACCATTATCGAGGCGGTAAAGGCTACAAATATTGGCCCCACGCCGTACTGCCTAAATGCAAGCCTGAAGGCGTACGTATCCGCTGCTGGAATCACTCCTCTCATACACGACACACTTGTTTTCTTGGCAATATCATTTCGGCTAGTGATGAACGCTCATGGAGACGACCGCCTTACGACTCGAGTCCGGACATTCTGGTCAGGGAAATATCTCCCTGCAATTTCGAAGGCTCTATTGCAAGATGGACAAGCATATTACATGTATTTGCTTCTCAAATTGACCGGAGTCGACCTAAGCTAATGGAAACACTCTAGAATCACAGTAACAAGCAATTTGCTCACAGTCATCATGGTTTACGTTTATTCCGTGCCCGTGACATACAGGACTATGTTCACTGTCCCTAATATCTTTCTTACGAATGCGATGGCCTGCCGCGTCTTCCGTGGGACGAGACTGGGTTACGGAGGCATCATGACCCCTAGTGGCCAGATGAGCTTGAATCGCCGTGAGCCTATCACGAATTCAATTCCACTCGCCTTGCATCATCGTGATTCCCCATCGCGGCACATCCAGTCCACCTCTGACCATGGTCTTAATTCCGGATCATCTGATATCCGAATCACCAAGACTGTCGCGGTGGAGGAAATCCGTGACATGGACTACAAGGTCTAGGCATGTGTAGGCATCATACTGATAACATGGATGTAACAATGCTCAAGGCCGACTCGTGCGCTAGAGGGAGGAAGGGATACAGTTTATTGCAGCCCGGGCCTGTAGACGCTATTCCTTGCTGCAGATGTACCTTGTGAGCGTATATGGTTTTTGATGAAGATACTTACATGCGTTCGCTACGAGTCATGAGAGAAGAGTTGCGGGCGAGATCACGGACCATTTATTCATCATTCACGCTATGGAGTTCAGTAAGTTTAGCAACGACAAACAATCACGCGCATGGATGTGCAGGCACCCGACATTCGCATGAACTCGATAGAATGAGCGAATAGTCCGGTGACAGTGAGCACGTTGCACTTGTGGATGGTCTAGATGACAAGATGGCGTGCCGAACAGTGAAATACGGAATACACAAGGAATTCTATCAGTAGTTGAGCTATCATCATTGCTGATGATGGATACTCTTATGGATGAGACTCTGAGCTGTCGGATCGATGGCAGGCCGAACAGGTTTCTTCATGAATCGTGGAGATCAAGAAGAGGACATTCACTGCCTCACCGACGAGGAATCAGAGGATGGCCGCGCGCCCTGCAAAACCGTTCCGTCCTTCCTGGAAAATCTGGACACCGATCTAAATAGACAATAGCTTCGCCAGTTTGGAGAGAACACGTCAACATGGCAGCGACAATTCCGAAGACAGATAAAGGTATGGACGCCAGCAGCGCTATGCTGTGAACGATGGGGGTCAGCGAAAAATCAGTCTGACAAGGCATGTATGAAGAACGATTTCGGCCGCCGATGCTACTCCAAGGCATGGAGTCAGAAACATCGGACAGACGTACATCAAGCTGCGCCTGGGCTTCGATGTCTGCATGGTGTTCGCCGCGGTGGCATTATTCAATTACTAATGCGCTGACAGCGTGCTGTGACTGAGCGGACCCCGGAGCCAAGGCTGTTGTTCTATCTGATAATCTACCCGCTAGCAGAACACGTCTACTTCTTCCAGTCAATATATAAATGAACCCGGACTCCACGTTGCTGTCCAGGTCACCCACCTTATAATTAGCACTGTCACGGGCTTTTTTTTTGGACACCCGTCCGACTTGACCAGACATCGGCTAGGCTCAAGATTCAGTGTGACACTTTAGGACAGCGTGCGACAAAGAGGTCTTGGATCGTGTCAGTACAAGAATGGACACGCGCTGGTATAGGGTGTAGCACCGACCAGTGGTCATCCTGTCTGTCATTCGGATTGGCGCCCGTTCAGAATTATATCCGATGACTGCTGCCTATGGAAGCTTGCTTGCACTGTTCATATTGATGGCTCGAACGGAGAGAGTGCACATTTCTGGAACAAATACAGGTTGCATTCTTGTTTCATGTCCAGGTATAGAAGCACCTATAAGGTCCCATCTTTCATCACCGCGTAGGCATGCCGCATGCATACTATCACTATGTACTAGAACCCTTGATTGAAAGAAGCATCATATCAAGGGCTTGAGCTTGATCGATTGATCTCCCTGAGACGCAACGGGAGTCGAGCTTTCAAGGGCGCATGACCTTGAACCTCGGGCATCGCTCTCACTGATGATAAACCGAGCCACCGTGCCAGTACATACAATATCACAAATGTAATTCGGAAATTCTCAAGCAATTCGTGGAAAATAACTGCCCGAAGGCCACGGTGATTGTCAAACACAAGCCCTTGTACGAGGTATTTGCGTCGCTATGTTGAGATTAAAAGAAACCTGTCTATCAGCACATAAGAAATAATCGATGTCGGAGGCATTCACCTTGCAAAGTGTCAGGCATGCATACGTTGCCTTGAGCAGAAACCTGAACTTGTAAATTTTTCAATTCGGATGCTGTTCTAATTATATGAAGCACGGCGTCTCTATTTTGAATCCAGCAGTTTGTGCAATCGGGTTTCCGAAGCCGGGTTCTTGTCAACACATATGTAAGTCCAATCTGCCGATGTGAGGCGTTAAGGTCCGAGGCGACCATCTCTTCGCTGTCACGACTCATCTTAGAAAACATCACCTTGTAGCGAACACGGTCTCAACGATCAGATGTCGTCGAATTCTGACCAATTTCCATAGGCACACTGAGGCACAGTGCCAATTTGTTACCGAATGTGTCGTAAACAGCCATCTATACACCAAAGGCTCATCATTTGATGAACACGAAACAGGGATGAAGGTGCCCACTCACATGTTGCGGCACGGGTAGAAACAACACATTTTGCCGAGGCATGCTTGACAGTCGGCGATGGGTGATGAAGGACCATTTGTATAGCACCCAAAACACATCCTATAACGTGAAGATCAAAATAGACATCAATCCCAATGATCGTGCCATACAGGACCTTGCCAAGTACGTACATGAAACTATCATAGTCGCTTTTGTAGAGATATCGACTTCGCTCCTGAATAGTTTCTCCTAACGTGCTACGTATATAAGTAGGAACCGCTTTCCTATACAATCCATACCAATTGAGCAAGCACGCGGATACACTTACCTTCGTCCAAACACTATGATACCTGTAAGCGTTGTGAGTGCCAGTACCACTAGTATCCTGGGAAATTCCCTCACTCGTCTCGGCTATTTTAACCAGCCCAAACATACCGCTGTCCTCGTCATCGGAGGCGGACCTGCCGGAAGCTATGCTGCCAGCCTTCTGAAGCAGGAGGGTCACCAAGTTGTGCTCTTGGAATTTGCAAAGTTCCCTAGGTCAGTTGTCCGCTGCCCTTGCTCATTTGTCAGCTCCTCACTAGCACGTCAAAGTATAGATATCATGTCGGCGAGTCCATGCTGCCCTCTCTCAGGAACTACCTGCGCTTCATTGACTTGGAGGAGGAGTTCGAGAGTCATGGATTCCTTACCAAGGTCCGTTTAAGATCTGCCTTTCTGTGTACATCGGCCCATCGATAACACTGATTCCTTCAGCCCGGAGCTAGTTTCAAGCTCGTACATGGCATTCGCGAGAGCTGTTAGCATCAATCTTATATTTTTAGGGAACTGTGACATAATCTTTTGTCGCAGGGACTGACTTCACGGCTCTGGGTCCAGGATATGGCACCTGGAATGTGGTACGTTGGATCGCCTCCCTGAAAGGCTTGCTATTTTCTCAACGTCCATCAGATCCGTTCCGAGATGGACGAGATGTTGCTCCGTCACGCGGAGAAACAGGGCGTCAAGGTGTTCGAGGAGACACGTGCGGAGAGCATCGACTTCGAGGGCGAGCCCGACTCGTCCCGACCCACCGCGGCGCATTGGACCAACAAACGGGGTGAATCTGGGAAGATCACCTTTGACTGGCTCGTTGATGCCTCCGGCCGTGCGGGAATTATGACCACGAAATACCTCGCCAATCGCGAGATGCGTGAGAGTTTGCGCAACGTCGCTGTGTGGGCCTATTGGAAAGATGTAAAACGATATGAAGAAGGAACTAAAAAGGCTAACTCTGGCTGGTTTGAGGCTTTGACCGGTGATGATAACATTCCCGTCGAACATTGTCTGCCGCTTACCCGTTCTGATACCCGCAGACGAGAAGGCTGGTCTTGGACGATCCCTTTACACGATGGAACGACCTCAATCGGTGTTGTCATGCATCAAAGTGCCTCCAATGTGAAGAAAGCAAAGCTCAATGCTGAGGGCAAGCGCCCCACTTTGACCGAACATTACCTGGAGCAGCTCGAGTTCCTCCCAGGTATAAGGGAGCTGATCGGAGACCAAGGAGCGATGATTCCGGATAGCACCAAAAGTGCCGCGGACTACAGTTATTTTGCGTCTCGTTATTCCGGGGATCATTTCCGCGTTATCGGAGATGCTGCCAGTGAGTCAATCGCTAGCAAGACGAGTGCCCCAGCTGACTGGAGACTTGTATGCAGACTTTGTAGACCCGTTCTTCTCCTCCGGTGTACACATTGCGATGACTGGAGCGCTCTCTGCTGCGTTGACTATTTGCGCATCAATGAAAGGTCAAGTTAGCGAAGAGACTGCACAGGAGTGGCATGATGCAAAGGTCGGCACGGCACATACCAGGTAATGGTGAAACTGGTGCCGTTTGAGAACCTTACTTAGCCTTCCATCTAGGTTTCTTTTCGTTGTTCTTGGAGCCTACCAACAGATGCACCTGCAGTCGGTGCCTTTGCTCAGCGATTTTAATGCTGATAATTTTGACACAGCCTTCGAGATGTTCCGACCAGGTAACGCGGCTATGAGGTCTCCTTGGTAATGAGGTACTGACATGCAAATGTGCACCTTCAGTTATCTTTGGATTGTCGGACAGCTCGACGAAGTTAACGGACCACAAGGTGCAGGAAATGATGGATGTCCTACAGAGCTTCTTCGACCCCCACATTGACGAAGAGAATGTGAAAGCCGTCCGTCAGCGATATGGTCCAGAGCTACTCAGCATGAATGCTCCAGTTCTCGGGCGGCACAAGATAGAACAGATAGCCGAAAAGGACGAGGAGGGAGAGCGCGTCATGAAGAAGTTCGACGCGCTGAAGGTATTCAGCGACGATGTAGAGGCGACTTACATGGGCCGCCACGCGTTGCTTGGCTACGTGGCAAACATGGTCAAGGGTCAACTCGGATTGAAGAAGGCTCCCAAGCCAGTTATCGATGCTACGGACGAGCACATCGTAACCAATACTTCAGATGGACGTAGTGCTGCTGAAGAGGCTAAGGAGGTCACCGCTGCCGTTTAACGCGATACCATTCTGATGAGTCGAGTTGCTCCCGTAGAGAAGTTTCCCAGGGGTATACATTGTGTAACCGTCTAGTATGCCTATGATTGTCGTTGGTTTTGATAATCAACCTGAGGCGACTGATGCTCAACTTGGGCTGCTGTCATATCACTGTCATATCAAACTCGAACTCACTGAGTTAAGCAGGAGACCTGCAGCTTAGAAATGAAAAGCACTCCATATTTAGGTATTGAGAGGTCAAGCTCACAGCCGTATATGGTCGGCAGACTCACGGCAGCTGAACTTGCATGAGACCGCGATCAAGTCGAATATCCTCCAAGATCGTTGCTAAGGCGGTAGCATAATTGGACGGGCGCAGCATGCTCCTGTTTCATCGCTCTGTTAATCAGCTGTCCAGATGAATTGAGCTCGTGTCAGCGCATCTCGCACTACAAAGAAAGTACCGACTCCTACCGTAAGAAATTAATGTCCTGCAAAGGCCGCCCAAATCGGAGACTATTTAGTAATGATGATAAAGCGTGACATGTGTTGATGTAAGTAGCTGATGATGTGAAAGACAATTGAACCAGTTAAATGAGTGCCGAGTGCGAAAACGAGCCCAGACATAGGTCGGATGTTAAGTCGGACGTGACCCTCTCCCGGAGAATTTGCGTGACAAACGAGCGCTTGTTTATATTGTTCAAGCTCAGCAAGATCTTCAGCCAGAGTTATGAGTCTGCAACCTGAGCGTTGCAAACGCGTACGGAAAGGCATCCGCTTGCAAAAATGAACTTGGCGGAAGATGCATCTAGTAGGTAGCATACTTATGATTGGAAAAGCCATGACATACACAATAACAACCTGGCGACTACATAGAGGCTGTGACTGTATCCGAGAGGGTGATACCTGCCACGCCGACTACTCAGAAGCAAGGATGCTTTGAGCAAGCAGACTCCTAGCCTGCGTTGTGCGAGGTATGAAATTGCACTGCACGTTCTCTGGGAATCTGTTATGTTGCTTGAGATTTCATCAATTTCAAGGAAACCGCAAGCACGCACATTATGGAACCAGGAGTGTACTTCAACTCGGGGATGATGTCGTTACCTCGCGCGTCCTTGGTGGGCACAATATTGCAGATTGCGAGCAAGGTAGAGATTACGGCAAAGATCGTTCCCTCTGCAAAGTAGAAGCCCGGGCAGGCACGCCTGCCGAAGCCGAATGAGAGATCCGTGACCTTGCGCATCTCTGAATCCTCGAGGCCGTAGCGTTCGGGCTTGAATTCCATCGGTTCGGTATACACAGCTGGATCATGCAGCATGTGCCTGGATATTCAGTGCGATGAGGCATACAATGCGTAAAATTGTCGCAATACGTACCATACGTTGGGCGAGAAGAGCGTGCCTTTCGGGAAGTACACGCCTTCATAAACGTCATCCTGGGTCAGCGAGTGCGGCAGCCCTATTGCGCGTAGTCAATGTGAATGCGTGAAAACATATGTAGAGAATAGACCTAGTGGGACAGCAGGAACCCAGCGAAACACCTCCGCAATGAGGCTTCGAATATAGGGCAGGGACGGTCTATCCGTGATGGCCGGCAACCTATCATTCCCAACCACACGGTCGAGCTCGAGCTGGGCCTTCGCCTGCACGCTTGGGTACCGCAGCATCGCAAGGATGAATGTGAATATGGTAGACATATTCTAAATGCGCATTTCAGCACACAGGTTTCAAGCAAAATATGATTGATGCGCAGTACGCACAGTATCGAGACCTCCACCCATCACCGCTGACGCAGCCCAGACAACCGTATGCTCTTCCTTGTCAGATGGCCGACCGTCAGCTTGCTGAAGAGTCGTTGCACATAGGTTGGGCGTCGTTGCAATACCGGAATCCTGGTGGACGCAAATAATTCACGGGATTCCGCTTATCAATCGAAAGTAATGCTTACGAGGTTTTCTTTGCACCAATTGTATGGGTTCCATGAGGCATCCCAGACAGTCTTACGCCACACTTTGGCAGTGCGGAGGAAGCCGGCACCTGGCATCCACTCTGGGAGGTACCTCACTACGCGGACGTCAGGATCCAGAATCAATAGAGAAAATTTAGTTTGGCATACACTGAGGAATGAAGTCAACGAGAAATGCGCCAGGTGCAGTGGCAGCGCTAAAATTGTCCATTGCTTTCATAGGGAGCGTGATCATAGGATCGTCTTCCTTCTTGACAGGGTATCCATACGTGACTCGCATAATAATGGCTGCGATGTGGCTGAAAGCGATCGCGTCAGTGTGTGTGAGCGCAATGATGTACAGATCGCTCACAGCTTGGTCTTCCCGATCAGAGAGGTTGGATCATTCAGCACAGCATGGGTGAGCCTTCGTGCCTCCAGCTCCTGTATAGAGTAGTAACGTGGCACAGCAGACTGATTGAAGTCCTGGGATACGAGTTTGCGCTGTGCTCTCCAGTAATCACCGTAGGGTTGAAGCGCGAATTCATCAAGGTACCCGCAGCTGCATTTGCGGCACACTCTTGAACTTTGCAGACACAAATTTAACAGGACTATTCACGTACAGATCACCAGCCATCACCTGGAAAGAATTCAGCACCATCAAGCTCGTGAGCTGAGTAGATTCACTAACCAAATGGGGTCTGTCGGAATAGAGCGATGAGCGCTTATCCAACAAATCTTTTGCTATCTTGGACGAGTTCAATATGACCATCGGACGCCCAAGAATCTCAAGGTAGATGATGTCGCCTGAATATCATGGTTGAGCTTGAGTTAGGATAAAGAAGCCGCCCAAGATAAAGTGCGAACCGTAAGTCTTCTGCCACCTCGAAAACGTTATCCAGGGATCAAACTTTGGGATTGCAAGCGCATTACCGATAATAGGTATGCGCCGCGGGCCAGGGGGCAAGGAGCGACGAGCACCATGGCTGAACAGCTGGTACGCCACAAGGAAACCGGCAAAAACGGATGTGGCGATGACAAGAGTGGTGCTGTGGATGAAAACGCGTGCTATGGCCCCGACAGCCACCGCAACAACGCTGGCTGGAAATAGGCCCTCCATCTCTGAGCGACAATAGATGACGAAAAGTCAACCACCGGGACACAGGAGGGGTTGCGAGTTTATGTCGAGGCATTCGGATTTCAAAGCGGTATGCCAAGTTCCCAAACCTAGTGTGGAAACGCAATATTGGCACTTGATCAGGTCCTCGAGGTCCCTCTGAGACGCACCGATGGAAGGTCAGACAGACTTCGCATCTATTATCGGTCTCGGCCTCTCCTAGAATAGCATATGTCTGCTGCAAACCTTAACGGAATTGCCGGACGAACGACATGATGTGAAGAGAGCATTGGCCTGTGCTAGGACACGATGATCGTGCCTCATCAACTTGAAATGCCGCCTTAACAGCATTGAGCGCTGGCGCTGATGGCGCGAATCAACTACAGTACACCTGCTCATAACGCATAACGTCGGTGCCCAGGTTTGGCTATGCATTATGAGGTAGTATGCATTACCAGGCTGTCACACGGTGTGACGTTGAGTGACTATGCGTGATTTTTCAAGGTAGGGCTGTCATGCACACAAAATAGGCCTCACATTTCACCAGATTATTACTACTTTTTTGCGACAAACCTGGTTTAGTACCCCCAAATTTGGACATAAACATAATTTATAAACATAATTACGGGACAAAAATGGTGTTATGCGTCCTGTATAACCTTTAATGCACGTGAAATTTCCTAGTTAGGCATTATTCTCACGATATCATAATGCATAATGCCGCGTTTTAGGTATGCATTATGCGGTATGAGATCTCATGCATAATTTGGCGGGCACCAACTCACAGCCTGCATAGATTTATTTTTCCACGGGAAACCTGATGCAAAAATGGTGAAAATATTTTATGTCTGGGTATGGAAATAGTTTGGAAATTGGGCGGAGACAATTAAATTATGTTACGATTGTTTTACCGAAATGTATCAGCAATAGTGAAACTATTTCCCAAAGGAAGATATTTCAGTCCAAAAATATGTGATACCGATATGTTTCGGTGAAGCAATTGTAACATAGTTCAATTGTCTCCACCCGATTTCCAAACTATTTTCACATCCAGACTTATAATATTTTCACCATTTTTTCATCAGGTTTCCCGTGGAAAAATAAATCTGTGCAGGCTGTGACTCCTTGCCCACATGGAGCTATGCGTTACTATGAGGTGTTATGCACTATGAGGGAATGCATTATGAGCAGGTACGGTGAGCTGTGTCATCGAATCAACGCCCACGTCCCACTGGCATGGGCTCCTTACGTTAGTACCCCTGAGTTTGCCGCAGAATGGAAGATGTATCTTGGTGCACTGATCACATTACGGCCATGTGAAAAACTGTAGAGTCAAATTTGTCTGACTATGATAGGGTGCACATGCTCGCCTTACATCGGCTATGGCGAAGTGATCAAGTCAGAGATGTGTTCCTTGATGCTTCTTGGACGATTGTAGATGGAGTTTTCCGGATGCGAGATGACTAACGGTTCAGATGCTTCAGTGCCCTTGTAATTGTTCCACGGTTTATAGACAACGACACTATCACAAACCAATATGGAATGGGCATAACGAACCCGTAATTGGCCCGTGGGATCCATCCATTTTACGGCCGAAAACAGAATCCCCCAGTAGTCGTAGAGTCCTCAAACGGGAGGGCTGATGTGAACAGACATGATATCGGTCGGAATATATACAGTGTGCCCAGCTTACCGGCTCGCATTTAAAAAGGAGATCGGAATTCGGCCGCTATTGTTGATGCAGCACCATTGGACAACATGCATTCAGAAATGAAGGCTCTAGTCACCAGGGGGGATGGTTTCTTTCACTTGAAGGATGTAGAGATTCCTGTCCCCGGCGACGGCGAGGTTCTGGTCAAAGTCGTCGCAGTATCACAAAATCCTACGGACTGTATGATATTCGCCATCTCGATTGTTCTTGACTGATTGCACCTACACAGGGAAAACACTTCGCCTCCATCCACAGCCGGGCAACGTCATTGGGTGTGATTTCGCCGGAGTCGTAGTCATGATTGGATCCCACGTCCCTGAGGGCCTCAGAAGGGTGGGTGAAAGGGTAGCCGGTGTAGTGCATGGCGGTGAGCACGGATTGAATGGCTGTTTCTTACTAGATGAGCCTGACTTTTGCACAGGGACAAGTCCGAATGGTGCCTTCGCTGAATATACGGTGGCATCTGCGAAGTTGTTGATCTCAGTGCCGGACACGCTCTCGTTCGAAGAAGCGGCTCAGCTTGGGATTCCATGCTACACCGCCTGTCAAAGTCTGTACCAGTGTCTGGGACTCCCCACTCCTCTGTCGCCTACGGAGACACCCATCGACGTCCTCATCTGGTCTGGCACGTCCGCAACCGGGCAGTATGCTATCCAACTAGCAAAGCTTGCAGGCCTTCGAGTCATTTCGACGGCATCTCCTAAAAATATTGACTTTGTCAAGGGTCTGGGGGCGGATGAAGTGTTCGACTATGCAGACTCATTCACCTTCAGAAAGATTATCTCTGCCACGAGCGGGCGTCTGAAGTATGCGATAGATTGTACCAGTGAAGGCACGACGCCATACCAGGTCAGCATGTCGCTCAGCGAGGAAGGAGGGACAATCGCTACTCTGCTCCCGTATACAAGCAGAAGACAAGGGGTGAAGACGGAGTTCATCCTTGCATATACCATTCTGGGAAAGGTATGCTATTCTCCGATGCAGCTCCGAGTGTTTGTTGATGGCTTGCAATTCTGGAGACCGTTGAGATTCCCTTTCATATTCCCGCTTATCCCGAACACTACAGGAATGCGGTCAAGTATAGCAAACTAATTTCGACCTTGCTTGCCAAGTCTGTGCTCAAACCTTGCACCATAAGAGTCTTCCCTCACGGTTTGGAAAGCGTGCACGATGGGTTTGAGTACATGAAAGCAGGGAAGGTATGGCCAGTGCTCACCTCGAAGTTGATGTATTGAGTGATATGATAGGTACACGCGGAAAAGCTCATTTATAGAATTGCTGACACGCCTGGGCTCTCCGACGAGGACGATTAGTATATACGAAAAAGCGATCGACGGATTTGATGACGACAGTGATTAATTGCCTGAGGATATGCACTTGTACATAGCCAGCCATCTAGGGTGACTTTCAGCGGAGTGCATGCGGATGGAATCTGTATTAGGGTATGCTTCACAACGTACTATGCTATACCGATACGATACGAGCGCAGTATTAATGTCACCAGCCCACCATCAAGGCAGGTCCGCTAATAGCGTACCAGAAGCCAATCCATTCGAGTCCCCGTATTGGTGCTAGTCATCGTCACTCTCCTCACTGCTCGAATAATCATCTTCGTCTCCCCACTCCGGCATGACCGCACCCTGTTCAGCAGCCCCGCGCTCACCGCCCTGCGACATATCCGCTGCAAGCCAGTCCTCCTCCTCCTCCGCCTCTGCCTCCACCTCCACGTCCTCTCCAGCATCTAGGTGCCGATTCATCTCCGCCTCGAACGCGCGCATGTCGATCTCCGTCTCCTCCATGTCGTCCTCGTCGTCTTCCTCCTGCTCAGATTCGGGCCTACGCGACGACGTCGGCACGATCTCCTCCATCTCGATCTTGCGTGGCGGGAAGAGCGGCGCCGGCGCGGGTGCGGGCGTCGGCGAGGGCTGCACCTCGTCCCAGTCTTCGTCCTCGGAGTCGAGCGGCGCGACGGGCGCAGGTGGCAGCAAGACCGCATCGGAGGAGGAGCCGGGAAGAGAGAGCTCTACGGAAACTGCGCTGGGTAAGGATGGCGCGTGAGACGATGACGGCAAGGCAAGCTCGAACGTCTTCTCTCTCTCTATGCCCTTCTCCTTTTCCTTCGGCTTTGACGACGGAGGCGGTGACGGGCGTGCCCTCTTCAGAGGCTGCGCCGCTCGGCCAAACTCCAGCGTTTCCTCCTCCACGTCCACAGGTAAAGACCGCTTATTCTTCCCGCCAGATAACGGAGGCTTCGTCGCCGTGGAGGACGGAAGACGCGCCTGCGATGGACGAGACCTAGCAGACACCTCTGAAGGAGGATTCGGGCGCGATGTTGGTGTCGCCGTGGCGTGCACTGCCGCAGGCCTCACAGCGAGTTTCGCTCTCGCGGCGGATTCCGGTGTCCAGGGCTTCTCCACGATCTCGCCCTCACTTACTTCTCCTTCCTCCTCCTCCTCCTTCAGGAGCTCTGCTTGCCTGGCTCGCACCCTCTCTGCTGCGGCCTTTAATGAGATTGATGCAGATGACGAATTCATGCTTGCGGACGGACGTGAGGGCAGACTCTTCCCCTTTTGCTTCGTATCGGAAACGAGCTCCTTAAGGAGCTCGTTATCAAAGTCGATGTCAGCTTGCGACTGTGCTGGAGGACGAGACGGCGCTGGTGTATGTGAGTGGGAGGACGATGTAGATGTGGACGTGGCGATACTAGGAGCGACCGGTGCTACACTCAGATACAGGAAAGTAAGCTTCAGACGTGAGTAACAGACGAAGCATACTTACGCAAGCTGGGATGGCGCGGTGCTTGAGACGTCTTGCGGTCGAAAGTCAGGTTGATAGTCGCCTCGATCTTCTCGAGGGTATATTCCTAGTGAAAGCAGAGTCGTTGAGTCATTTGCGAGCAAGTAATATAGAATGAATCACGCACTCCCGTCTCCTCATCGTATATCAGCACGCAATCTACTTCCTTCGAAGCGTGTTCCTGCCCTACGAACAAGAGTCCGCCCTCCTCCGACTGTCCGGCGCACCTCTCGTCAGTCGAGGCCACAGTACCCCCGATCATGTGCACAAGACTGACCTGAGAGCTGCCGCGCATGACATTAACAGCGGTCGTGTCCTTCCCCCGCCTCACATCCACCGTCCCCGACTTGGTTGGATCCACCGACTCGGGCATGAAGTTGTCTGCGCATGGCGCCTAGGATAAGGCATACACTTAGAGCGCAAAGACCAACGGCACCCACACTTGAAGTTGTAGAAATCACGCTCGAACTTCTTCGGGGGCACCTGCACGCCCTTGCGGACCTTGAGCGCACGTCCGAGGGACGAGCCCACGCTGACAGGGTACCGCCCCGGTGCAGGCATCCACGAGTTCGTGACGGTCGACATCTTCGTCTCGAGCGGGATGCGGACGGGGCAGGGGAGGAAGAGAGAGACGAAGGGTGGCCCAAGGCCTGAGAATGCAAGGGCGGTGGCTCTAGCGGGGTAGGCGCCTAGGGTAGTATTGTGGCGGCCCGCTTGTGGGTGGCCGTACACGTGATGGGAGCGTCGCGTCGGATCTGGGACTATCTAGATAGCACGGGCATCGCATTCGCTTGCCCGACGGATCAGTTGGGAATGTACGCGTTGATCAAAGCGATACGAAGTTGATCGTCGCTTGTACCTCACGGGCTACAGTGTCAGTGAACTCTAATAGCTACATTAATGTGGGGCTTCTCGCAGCCACGTTCCAGTCGCGTTCATAATCAGGAGTCTATAATAAGAGCAAGCGAGAGTGAATCTATGTAAGATATCCACGGAACGCGTGCGCGTCTTACCATAGCCTGTTGGAAACCTCTCCCAGCCCAGCACGTATTCACCAAGCTGCCATTGCAGGAGTGTCTCTCAGAAAATGAAGCCTGTATCTCACATGGATTGGACGCAATGCGCTTCTGTAGGTCACTCGCAATGAAGAGCGCTAGCTACCGGCCGAAACTCGTGCGGTCGATGACGAGAACGCGGCCCCAACATCAGACTCGGTTACGCGAAGAAGGTGCCTCAAAACCTTTCTTGGTGCACCACGACGTTTGAGGTCATCTACAGTGCCTCGCATCGCCCTCGAGTCGAGCCGTGGAGTGTGACTTTTCAGTCCGCAGCCAATCAATGGGGTCTGTGCTATCGCTGGCGCGGGAGTGACACCTAATCCTCGACCGACGGGATAGACGATGAGGGACGTCGCGCGGGTCGGGGGCGACGGTCGGGGCAGGGACGGATCGCAGGAGAGGACTCTCGGTGCTTCCAGACGATGAAAGAGGCGGACAATGCGAGTCAGCGCCAGACTCGCTCCCATTGGCCAACCGCCACCCTCGATGACGTTTTTCGGGTGACGGCATTCTCCGCCAGTCTGCGCCCCCGGGGGCCTCTTGACTTGAAGACTAGGATCCACTTTCTTCTCTCGCTACCATCTCTTGCCTATCCTCCATTTTGCCACCGTCTCCGACGACCACCTCGCCAAGAATGCCATCAGGAACAGGCGTCGTCGACGCGTTTAAGAGTGCGCACACCATGTCCCGTGATTCCTCCCACACTCGCTTAAAATCACGCAGACCTCATCAGACATGGAAAGAATCATCACGCCGCCCGTCAGCAGGACGATTCCTCTCATGCCCAGTACCAACCACAGCAGCAAGCAGCACAACCTCAACTTCAGCCCACAGCTCAGCAGCGACAGCGCGAAGCAAAATCGCAGCAACAGCCCCAGCCTGCACAGCCTCAAGAGCCCGCTCAAAAGAATTCGAGCAAATTCAAGGAGCACGTCGAGAGCATCGTCCAGGAGGAGCGCGAGGCGAAGGGCAAGATGCCCATTTACAAGGGTCTCGAGAATTACAAGCTGCTCGATAAGATGGGAGAGTGAGTCCTCATCTCTTTCTCGTGATACGCGTCGCTCGGGCCTGGTCATCGTGCTGGTTCGCTTCACTGCCGTCAGCAATGATGCCTTTGCTGTATTGCGACCGTTTTCGCGTGCGGATGCCCGCGATCGGTAGCTCGAGGCCATGATGAGACGCCCGCGGGCAGACAGGGGTAGCCGCCCGCGCCGATGGCCGCTATCGGTCACCTCATCACATCCACCCATTGCTACCGCATGCTGACCTGCGTCGCTCTTCAGCGGCGCTTTTTCAAACGTGTACAAGGCCATCGACATCCGGACTGGACAGAAGGTTGCCGTTAAGGTTGTGCGCAAGTATGAGCTGAGTGCATCACAGGTCAGTGTTCCTTTCTCCCCGCCCCGCTCTCTATTCAACATCCCCCTCCTCTGCGCCGCCTGTGTAGGCTGGCGACAAGCACCTCAACCGCGAGTTCAAAAAGAAGCCGCGGGTGACAGAGGTGCTCCTAATTTACGTGTTCTCCTTACCATGCTGACGCCGTTTGCTTGTCTGCCAGCGTGCAAATATCCTCAAAGGTACGCGGATATCGTTCAAGGGAAATGATTTGCGCTGATATTTTACATATCGACAGAGGTACAAATTATGCGTGGGACCAGTCACCCGTCAATAGTGAAGCTGTATGCATTCTTTGAGTCGCCGGAGCACTATTTCCTCGTCCTTGAGTGTGCGTGGATGTTCAATTCATATATCTGCTGACGATAAACGTCCAACAGTACTAGAGGGCGGAGAGCTCTTCCACCAGATCGTCAAGCTAACGTACTTCAGCGAGAACTTGGCACGACACGTCATTCTGCAAGTAGCGCAGGGTATTCGGTATCTACATGAAGAGCGAGGAGTTGTACACCGTGACATCAAGCCAGAGAACCTGCTATTTGAGCCAATCTCGATTGTGCCCAGTGCAAATCTGCCGCCGAAGCATTTCGAAGAGGATAAAGAGGACGAGGGCGAGTTTATACCCGGTGTTGGCGGAGGCGGAATTGGTCGCGTCAAGATCGCCGATTTTGGCCTGAGCAAGGTCGTGTGGGATGAACAGACGATGACGCCATGCGGAACGGTTGGATATACTGCACCGGAGATCGTCAAGGATGAGCGATACAGCAAGAGTGTGGACATGTGGGCGCTCGGATGCGTGCTGTACACGCTATTATGTGGCTTCCCCCCGTTCTACGACGAGAGCATAAATGTGCTCACGGAAAAGGTGGCGAGAGGCTACTACACGTTCCTAAGCCCATGGTGGGATGCCATCAGCGATTCAGGTGACTATCTTCTCTGTGGTGATCGTGATGGGCAGATTCTGACAACACGCTGTGATTTGCAGCGAAGGATTTAATCACACACCTACTATGTGTCGATCCTGCACAACGGTATACAATTGATGAGTTCCTGGCCCACCCATGGTGTAATGCGGCGCCCGCCCCGCCTCCGCCGCCAACCCCCCTGGCTGTTCCTCTCGACTCGCCATTACTCGCAAGCGTCCGCGGCGGCGTTCCTGCGACTGCCCGTTCACCTGGACTCGCATCCCTCAAAGAGGCGTTCGACATTACATACGCGGTCCACCGGATGGAGGAGGAAGGCGCACGACGGCGCGCTGCAAAAGGAGGCGCAAACCGCGGCTTCCTTGGTCACCTCAACGAGAGCGACGAGGAGGAGGACGACGAGCCGCCGACAGTGATGGCGCGTGGACGGCAGTTGTACCCCGGGAACGCACCACAAGCAGCCACTGCCGCTTCAGGCGCGGGTGCGAAGGCCGCGGCGCGGCGCGCGATACAGGACAACTATGACGGGCGGGCCGGACAGAGAGACCGGGGGAAAAGAGGACACCATGCATTCGAGCTTGACCTGGAAAATGCGACATTGCTGGGAAGGAGGCACAGGCGGGGCGTGAATGCGGGCGCGGACGTGAGCAGTCCACTGTCGAGGGTCGTGCAGCAGCCGAAGGAGATTGTTGACGTCCCCGGGAGCCCGATGAGGCTCGACTAGAGGCTTGTGTTCCATCCCGATGTGTGGAGTTCCTCGCCTGTTCGGCACCCTGCCGTTAGGATGCTGTTCATGTCTGTCCTCGTCCGCCCGTCTTCCCTGTCCGCACCGCATACGTGCAGGATCATCCTTCATCGTTGACCATCGCATCCTCATGGATCATTTTCGACGAATCACGTATCGTATTCACCAGCATCTTATTCGTCGCCATGCTGTCCTCTCAGTCACACACGCCCGAGGCGAAACCCCCGCTGTAATCCTTGCCATTCCATGCACATATTCATCTGTCGCCATGATAGATCATCGTTGTTCCTGTACGACGCCGTTATTTCTTTCCTTCTGTGATCCATAGTATCACTGTTGTATCATATCTTCATTGCGCTCTTTCGTCCACTCGCTTCCCTCCCTGTACGACTCGGCCCCCTTACCCTACATCGTTGCGACCATTCCCTTTAACACTACACTTCCATCCCCATCATGCTGCAAACCGGATTGTGAGGCGTTGGCCTTGTGGAGGGTAAGCCTAGGAACCTTGACCACGCGTGGTGGACATGAACTCGGACCCAGGAGGGCGGGCTAGGTGCACTGTGCCGGGTACAGTGTACAATGTATCGTTAGTACGTGGTACTGTACTGGAATGAGTATACATGTCATTTAATGCTCGAGTGTGTGAGTTTTTGGGTGAATTGATCCTGCGCGGCAGTGCCTTTATAGGCAAATGTGACTTGAGCGATAGACAAAGAAGATAACTGATGATGTGGTTCCGTGTGAAATTATACACCGCCGTTGATCGCGTGATCCGCCCCCCCTCTCCGGGTGAGTTTGGAGGCTCCGACGTATATGTTCTCTGGTCCCATTTCCACTTCAGATTGGAATCCCCCCGGGGCTCATTCGCGGCGGCTGTGGCCACACCTGTGCCGACACGTACGAAGCGCTGAACGCCACCGACGCGTCGAGGGACCGCGATCACCTGATCCAATTTGAACGCGAAGTTGCGTCTTGCGATCTCCGCTGCCATCTCCCAGCCCGACTTTCCTCCGTATCCAGATCCAGGCTGTCTCTGTGCCGGTGCTGTAACCGCTTGCGAGAGAAACGGATCGGGTCTTCTGTAGCAAACTGTTGCGAGGGATCGCCAAGGTTCGAGTCATGCGTGCAACTTGATCTTCGAGCACTTTTCGACAGCGTGCCGCTGGATTCAGGCTCTTGTGCAGCCGTGCTGTCACTGGCACCTCGAGGGAGGTGGACGGATTAGGCCGGGCTGTTGCACCGATTCGGGCACATATAATTCAACATGCAACAGTGGAAGGGATAGAATATCTGTTCACTACTCCTGAGTCGATAGCGCAACACGTCCTCGAAGTCAAGTACTGCAAATGAGGAAAGCTCCTGCTCTTGGGTCTATCCCTCCTCCTCCTCCTAATATATACAGTTTGGAAAAAGGCATGAAAGTCGACCATGATACCTTCAAGCGTGCTACTGTGAGCGGTTACTACCTATGAGCAATCCGACTGAGACCATGTGCGCATGACATTACCTTGCTAGACATTTCTCCGAGGACTTGCAGAGGCTTATCTGGATACGTCCAAGTCATATAAGCAGCAAAGACAGGGAGCTCTTGACAAGTTCTATCGCGAGGTATGCTGTTATCCCATTGATAACTCCTTCATTTTAACTAATAGCCGTCTTCAGGCCAACAAGTATGAACTATTCAGCTATTACGAGGATAGCTGGCCAATCAAAAAATGGTTGAAGAGCACACTTCGGAACAGAATGAGGATTAGAGACCGTCGTAGTACAGCCCGGAACGACCATTTATCGACTGTCAACGAAGTGAATGACAATGTGGAAGGGAACACAGATGAGCCCGATGTTACTAATTTATTTGCTTGCAATAATCCTGTTGCTTAACTTGAATTATTTGCAGATGTTATCCCAGGCAACACGAAGGTCGACACGCCTGGCCAGCCTAAAGACCTCTAGGACAAGTGAGGTGAGTACATTGTTTACACTTCCTGTTCATTCATGCGGGGCTCAGGATGCATTCTTGCTCAGGTATTGCCTTTGGCAGGGTCATTGAACAACAGCCAGTTAATCTCGAGGCAGTCACCATTTGAAGCCACGTTCAAGTCCTTCCTCAGCTCGTGCGAGCCAAGCTTGAGCCATCTTCTCGATGCCTTCACAGTGGCTGGGATCGACAATGAGGCTTCCTTCCGCAGTTTATGCAAGTGGAAGAAAGATTATCTCAATTCTCTACTCAGTGATCATATGCGCTTGACACATTTCCAACAACTTCAGGTACAAATTGTTCTTGACCATTTGGAGGACTAGACGAGGCAGTCCTAATGAATCTAGCGGCACACAAGTTTGCATGATGTCGGTACAATGTTTCCATGTAGTCTAACAGTTCAAGCAACATTGGTCTATAGTCCGCACTCGAATGCTCGATATGTTTGGCTGCCGACAAACATTACGAAAACACCTTTCAGATCTACCTTCTCCATCTTAGATACTATGCTTTCTGCAGCTAGCCCATTCACTACACATAACGAGAAACAGCCTGAGACGCGCTGATGTGGCTGAGGATTCGTTGCCAAACTGGGCGTCACTGCCGCCTGCTCCAGTTCATCCTCGAGGGTCGCCCACAGCCTTGCGTATCTCCTCCTTTGCTAATCTCTCTCCGGAGCCAGACACCCCATAGAGTGCGCTTTGGTAGCCTGAGGTGATGGCTGAGCATGGTGACGGGAACATCAAGGTTGTTGTACGATGTCGGCCACTCAATTCGCGGGGTATGTCTTCGCTGATGCACTACCATGCAGTCCTCATTCACGCGTGCTTGATGTCTTTACTACTTTGAACAGAAGTTGCGCGTGGCGCGAGATGTCTCGTTCGCATGGAGGGAAATCAGACCATCCTCGACCCACCGGAGCCGGGATCACAAGCAGCTCAAGCCGCGTCTGGCCGTGCTACCGAGCGCAAGGTCATGAACTTCGCATTTGACAAGAGTTATTGGTCTGCCGGATCCAGGGACGAACCAAACTACTGCTCTCAGCAGACGTTGTACGATGATCTCGGGAAGGAGTTATTAGATCACGGATTCGCCGGATTCAATGCGTGTATCTTGGCTTGTGAGTCTTCATTTCTTTGGCCACTCAGTGATGCTGACTGCTATTGAAGATGGACAGACAGGTATGTCTTGTGCAGTTGTTTCGTTGCTGTTTGACAAGGAAGGCTCGTAGGTTCTGGGAAGTCATACAGGTGAGCGACGCATGCTCTCGCCTCTCGTCTCACCGCTTAACATTCATGTGTGCAGTATGATGGGATGTGAGTAACGAAAAGCCACAGTGAATAAGACTAGCCTCATTCGTATGCATCCACGCGTAGATGGTGCCGACAAGGGCATTATTCCTTTGACATGTTCCGAGTTATTTGCCCGCGTTGCCGACAAGAAAGCCGCAGATTTGCATGTGAACTTCACCGTTGAAGTCTCCTATATCGAGGTAAGCACTATCTTGGTTATACTCCTTGAAGCTACTGACCTCCGCGCAGATATACAACGAGAAAGTGCGAGATCTGTTGAACCCGAAGAATACCGGAAACCTGAGGGTACGAGAGCACCCAAGCTTGGGTCCGTACGTCGAAGACTTGTCCAAACTTGTAGTGAGCAGCTACGAGGAGATGATGACACTCATGGATGAGGGCAACAAAGCGAGGACGGTTGCTGCGACCAACATGAATGAAACGTACGCTCAGTATATAGGCTCGAACAATGGCGGTGCCGCTGACGCTCAATCGCAGCTCTTCCCGTTCGCATGCCGTCTTCACTCTTATCCTCACTATGAAGCGGCACGATGTTGACACCAACCTTGATACAGAGAAAGTGTCTCGCATCAGGTAATCCGTAAAGTCTCCTTTGAAGGACGTGAATTTATATCTAATATTCGATAGCCTTGTCGATTTGGCCGGCTCGGAGCGCGCCAACTCTACGGGAGCCACAGGACAGAGATTGAAGGAAGGCGCTAACATCAACAAATCTTTGACGACTCTCGGTAAAGTCATCTCCGCCCTTGCTGCCGCAAGTTCAAACGAAGGAAAGAAGGGCAGGAAGGGCAAGGCTGATGACTTCGTTCCATATCGAGACTCGGTGTGTTGAATGGGTATCAACTGATGACATACGCTCACAAGCATCCTCGCAGGTGTTGACGTGGTTGCTCAAGGACAGTCTGGGAGGTAACTCCAAAACAGCGATGATCGCTGCCATCTCTCCCGCAGATGTCCAATATGAGGAGACTCTGAGTACGCTGCGATATGCTGATCAGGCCAAGAAGATCAAGAACAAGGCCATTGTCAATGAGGATCCTAATGCCAAGCTCGTGCGTGAACTGAAGGAGGAGTTGGAGACGCTTCGAGGTGAGTTGAACCTAATATGTGGTGGTCGTAGCCTTCCAACACAGATTTCTAGCTCGTGTGGCTGGTACTTCTATTGAAGCCGTGTATGACCCCAACATCCCAGCATCCCAGCAGAAAGTCACTTACCAGGCGAAGGATGGTACGATCAAGACTGTCACTAAGGCTGAGCTGCAGGAGCAGCTGGAGACCAGCGAGAAGCTCATGCAGAGCCTGAATGAAACTTGGGAACAGAAGATGCAGCGCACGCAGGACGTACAGAAAGAGCGTGAGAAGGCACTAGAGGAACTCGGGATCACGATTGATAAGAACAACGTTGGGGTCCATACTCCCAAGAGCGTACGTCTGGACTGTTCTCAATTATCCAGATCACTTTTCTGACTGCACAGTGTCCTTAGATGCCCCACTTAGTCAATCTAGTACGTCAGGAAACTATCTATACGATTGTGGCTAACGGACTGAACGCTATGATTTGTAGAACGAAGGTTTGCATTAGTCTACACGTATTGCGGACATCAACCTAACCTCGCGGCTTATAGATCCCTTGATGAGTGAATGCCTGATCTATCAGCTGAAGCCCGGCCGGACAATGGTATCTACGACCTTTTCCCCAATGTTGCTGTTTTTGACTTCGTCTCATAGATTGGCAGGCTTGACAGCGAGAAACCAGCTGCAATACGTCTCAGTGGAGAGAGCATCGCGGAGGAACACTGTTACTTCGAGAACACGGATGGCAAAGTGATGCTTTACGCCATGCCAGACGGAGTCACCGTGAGTATCGTATATGGTTCCCTTTACGAGGCTGAAATCGGCCGTGTAGTTCCTGAATGGACGACAGATCACGGCTGGACAGGCAAGTGTAGCCTTCCGATTTTGTCTTTTACTTGAACTGATGGCCTTCCCAGCCATTCAAATTGAAATCAGGATACCGTGTTATCCTTGGTATGTGAAGCGACCTCGCAGGTAAACGTTTACTTACGAACTGCCCATCCAGGTGAACATCACGTCTTCCGATTCAACAATCCTGACGAAGTGCGGAAGCAACGAGACCGCGCAGCTGCTAAATCATCAAGTCTGCAGCAGAGCATCTCCGCTGCAGAGTTACAAGCTCTTAGGGGTGAAGAGCAACCGCGGCCGGACTCGCCCACCTCGTCAGAGGATATGCCCGATGTGGACTGGACATTCGCGAAGCGAGAGGCTGCTCTCGCTAGGCTAGGTCTTGATCCGGCATTGGACAACATGCCTGACGAAGACTTGAACAAGCTGTATGAGAAGATCACCAAGGTCAAGACTCTCCGCGACCACAACGCAAAACCTCGTCCGGAGAGTAGTCTGAGCCAGGTCGATGATATCTGGAGCGAATCCGGACGTCCGATATCCAGTGATGCCTTTACTGACGATACGAGCGTCGACGCAACTATGAGCCATGATAGTCCGGATGTTGGTGGCCCGCTGAAGGATGTCCAAAACCAGTTGGAGACACAACGCATCGAGTTCGAATCCAGGCTGCAGGCTATCGCAGAGGCAAACGAAGCGGAAGATCTTAAAGCGGAGAAGGAACAGATGGAGCATCAGCTGAAGCTCGTGCAGACCCGCATGAAACGGCTTCTTGACGCTCGAGCTCGTGGGGAGAGTGATGCTGAGCTGGAAGCATTCGAGCCGGTAATTTACAGTGCAAAACAATTGAGACTGATCCGTAAGACGCTGGAGAAGTGGAGGACACATCGCTCATTCTCCATGGCGCAAGAGATCTTATCCAATGCTGTCCATGTCAAAGAAGCCAACGTTATCAGGTGCGGATACGCTTGTAGTCCCCAGCAGGAGCCAACAAGCACTAACAACACAATTTATTACAGCAAGGAGCTCGGTAAAGATGTCTCATATAACTTTACCATTGCATCTGGTGGGTCGCTTGCAGCTCCAGCTTCAGCTATCGAGACAATCGCAGGTTTGGACCAATTCGGTGATGTGGTGGATCCAGTCCTCGCCTCTGCCACACAGCCTTCAGTGGCTGTGAAAGTCATAGACAAGCGTAACAACGCAATATACCTTTGGTCGCTGGATCGTCTGCAACATCAACTACAGCGCATGCGCAATCTGACAACATTCATTGATCGCCCTTCTTATTCCCAGCACTTCTCTTCCGAGGAGCCTTTCTACGACTCGCCATCTCCAGAGTACTCCTTCATCGGTGATGCGATGCTGTCACTAGCCCCACTGACTCGGCGGCTACCGTCCACGTCTGTCGTCCCGATATTTTGTCGGTATACTGCAGAAGCTATTGGCACATGTCGAATCGATCTCAAGATAGCTGATTTTGAGCTCGCCCCAAAATACGCTAATCATTCGGCGTCATCTACTCGGGCATCTTCCCCTGCGCTACATGCAGTCCCTCCAGGGAGCAAGTTGAGCTTTGTTTTGACAGTTGATTCGGTGAAGGGATTATCCCACCATGACTTCGCCTCCTTGCACATGCAAGTACGCTTATCTTCCTTCATGGGCCCCTCTCTATCCGCGGAAGAGGTATATCCTTCAGCAGCATTAGATATGGATACCGGTTCGCTGTCAGACCTCAAATTCCGTCGCAGCTTTACCATCGTTGCCTCTTCCAAGGTGCTCTCTTATCTTCGACAAGGATACGCGCCGGTAGAGTTTTTCGCGCGACTGAAGCCTACATATCTTGAGCGCATTGAGCGCTGGGATGACCTCCGAGAGCAGCGCCTTCCCATGCACAACCAGCCGACCAGCCCAGAGAGCAAGCCTGCCACCTTGCCCCTTATGCGCAGGTCCGAGACTGATTTTGTGGTGGAGCAGACACATGATGTGGTTGCTTGGCTGCAGATCAGCGAACTGACTCCAGATGGCACGTATGGCCCTGTGCCAGTGATATCCCATGGGGGCGTAGACCCCGGTGCGTTCATGCTGCATCAGGGCCTGCAGCGCCGCATCGTGTTGTCCTTGTTCTCCAACTCTGGTAAACAGCTGCCATGGACGGATGTGGTTCGAATACGGCTAGGCAATGTGCGGGTGCTGGATGCTAAGGGGCGTTTGCACGATGCGACGTCAAAATCGCTCGTGACCCTGCCTCTCCTACAACAACAGACTGTAGAGTTCAGGGCAAATGGCACGGCTACACTCTCCGCCGAGGCACTCTGGGACTCCAGTGTCCATGACTCAGATCTGCTCAATCGCGTCACAGGGCCTGGTCGGCGAATAATGCTTCAACTTAGTTTCTTCGTCAGCGTCGACATCTGCGCCGAGCCGGTGCAGTTCACCATGGACACCGCAGTGTGCATACAAAGTCGCGACGCTCGCCCGCCTTCCCGCTTGCTAAGTCTGATCGGGTCCACGAAGATCATTCCCAAGACAAGCACCGTATTTACTGTCCGGCTGTCTCCACCCTTGACGCGATCGGCGAAGGATCTCTGGCGGCTGGATACCGCTGAAAAGTATGTTCGAGGGGAGGAGGCACTGGGCGCTTGGAGACCGCGTGGAGTATCCGCTGTGGATGACTACAACAAGCTGGTGTCCATGGAGCGGCGCGCGGCGGACGTGCAGGCCATACGGATGATCTTGGATGCGTCACCACATCGTGTCACCCAGTCGGACGCTGTTGTTTGGGCGTCCGAGGATCTATTGCGGAAGGCGTTGGCTCTTTGGCAGAAGAAGTTTGGGCATCCCGGCGAAGTGAGTTGGTGTTTGATCGTGTTCGAATGGATCGCTCATGGTCCATCTCAGATAGTGATTAGTCAAGAACCTGTTGAACCTGACGAATCCAGCATGGAATCTGGCCAGTCATCTGCATCCCAATCAGTTGAGACGATCAAGCTCAACTCGTCGACAAAGGTCGTCCCTCGCAGGTAAAACCTCCCGGCTCATCTTGGGAGCTGGCTTTCTCTAATGCTTGAATACTTAGCGATACACCGACCAAAAAGGGCCATTTGATGGTGATGGTTGACGCCAATGAGAATGTCTGGGAGAAACGGTGGTTCGTCCTGAGAAGGTCAGTATGTCAGTTGTGACATGGCTAGTAGAATGCTCATTTTCCCTGTTCCGCTGTAGACCGTATATGCACGTCTATACACATTCTAGCGAGATAGAAGAGACCAGCATCATCAATCTCAATGGTGTCAACATAGAGCGTAATACAGAAATGGAAGCTCTTCTCGGGGTGCGTCGTTCGCCCTCTCGTTCTTTCAATGACTAACTGACCTCTGTTACAGAAGCAGTTCACCTTCACGCTCTTCACTGCGTCCAATTCGTACGCACTCGCTGCACCGAACCTGAAGGAGCTCCAATCATGGACGTTGAAATTAGACCCTACGCGGCTCTCGTCATAGCTGCAACTCACGATCGTAACGCTCGCTGTCTTTTCCCTTCTCTATGTCGCTCTTTTACTATGCTCGTGTACATGGATCTCGGAATTCGTTTTCTGCGCATATATTACTAAGTATACCATACCATACACACAAGTTTCGCGTTAGTCGTCGTTCCCTGTCCGATCCCTATCATCCCATATAGTTGTACCATCTGATGTCCCTATTACATATACATACCACCGGCGTGTCTTATGTTTACCCATCGTACTAGTAGTGTCCCTCTGCGGATTCTTCTGCGCGCTATCCGAGGAACGGATGTCTCTGTTGGTCTGCTAGCGCGTGCGGAGCGCGTGAGGGAAAGCCGAGGCTGACTATTTAGGCGGCACACGCATTATGACACGTCGTCGAGGACGATGGCATCAAGATACGTGCGCAGATGACGTCGTAGGGTATCGAACCAGCTTGTAAAGCATAATATCGGTATCGTGTCATTGGGCGGAGCTTAGAGCAGGTCGAAATCATCCAGCTGAGGAATTGACGTGAGTCGAGTGCCGGAAGAAATCATCAGATCTCTAGACGTACCTCGTCGTTGTACTTCATGATTGTTCTCTTCAGTTTAGACTGGTCGACCCATGTCACGAAGTCCTCCATATGACTGCATACAACCGTCAGATTCAGCTTACAAGCAAGGTGGAGAGGCTGGTGCTCACCGTGTGACGAGATACGCAGGGTCAGTAATCGTGTCCGGTCCAACCCTGACATGCCCTTGCTCGATGAATTTGACGGCCTACCACGTCCCTAATCAGGACCCCGCCCTTCTCTTCTACGGCATTGCAACAAGCGGAATGACTCACCGCACTGACGGCCTCCGCCATCTTCGACGTGCACATGATGACCGCAAGCCGGCGCCGGCAGAACGCTGCGACGGTAAGCTTGTTCTCGACGTCGCTGAGCTTCGCAGTCGAGTTGAGGACGCCCATATCGTACAGCTTGGAGAGCATCTGGCCTTCCATGCGCGCGCGAAAGGGGTCCTGCACGGGCAGGAGCGAGAGCCGGTGTGCGAAGGAGCGGAGGGAACCACACAGCTTGTTGTACCTGAGCCGGAGAGAAGAGACGGATATGAGATCGGGAAGAAGAAAATTTTGTGAAGGGACGCACTTGTGGTAGTCCTCTCGGTCCTGGATGTGGTATCTTCGCATCACCTTAATCTCCCGGAGGTTTGCATCTTGCTTCCACTGTTCATGTCAGAGTCAACGAATTTGTCGTCTCCGTTGGGGAGAGGGTCACGTACGTTGAGGAAGTCGACCTTCTTGAGGAGCTTTTGTTCGTGGTACTTGAACTGTCGGACCATGATGGAGATGGGGAGCCTCGACAAACGAGCAACGAAGCAAATGCAAAGACCGGCCGCAAGCGAGAGGATGGAAGAGAGATTTAGTGAGATTTACTTTCAGATACGCGTATCTAGAGAATTGTTGCTGCTAACGGATAACGGAGCACGTCCACGTGACTCCGCTGCTTGAACGACTCGCGGGAGGGGATCCCTGAGAAACGCAATCTTCCTCGCTCTCACAGTGATTGCATTGCATCGTGATATGCAGGCACGAGGTGTCTGATAGAAGGGGCACCCCGTGCATTCGTGCGATGTATAAATGTCTAACGGTAATCTCATATAAATAATCGTGGACGACCCTCGTCTTCGGACGTGATGCAGAGGGAACCAACTTGCTTATTGAAGTCAAATATCGTCCATCCAGGTGACCTCACGATGCGGTGCGGGGAACGGGGAAAACATGCGATCATCGACCGTATCATCGTCGGAAGGATCCTGCAGGCCAGACGACCTGCGTTGAATCAGGGCACGCGAAGGCCACGACGCGAAATCCACTTCTTTGCGCGCATGCATACCGACCGAGCGCCAAGATTACATTCCTCGTGGATGACCGGTCCATGGGAAAGGAGACAGCGAGGACGTTGGGTGACAGCATCTGCGTCCTCGTCGGTGCGAGTGGCCTGCTGGCTACCTCCCGGCGGGACTGCCTCGGCAGCGAGCTGAGGGCAGCCGCTGTGCAGAGTCATCATCTCATCAGTGACACAGTGGAGGAATCATGATCGGCCATGGCTGTGTGCACGCCGTCGGCAGGCAAGACGCACAACTGGCGCTCGGATTGACGAGTTTGCATACCCAACACTGGAGGTCAGGCCTTCAAACATCGGCAGAGATGAGATCAGAATTCAGACGAGGCCCTTCCAGTCAAGACGCCGCTGGATCGGGCGAAATGAATGAACGGACCTCCGTCTTCTCGCCCGGAGCTTGATTCTGCCCAGTACCCTGATTGTCATGATGACTTTGCCCGAAACGCTGACATTTGCGCGCTCGCAAAACAACCTGCAGCGCCCTCGGCGCGGAGCTGCTGGACATGTGTGAGGCTCTGAGCGTATGTCGACGCACTGACGCGTACTGTGGGATAGCAGGAAGTATGATGTTGACGAGGAGCAGCACGCAGAGGCTGGCGGGAGTGACATCGGGGTGGCCATGGGCGGTAGCCTGAGAGCAGGACTCGATGCGTGAGAAGACAGGGCGCTATGCCCAGCCCTTCCTCGACTAGGACACGACGTGTTTGCGTGCGATCCACGAGTGAACATGGATATGGGTCGTTGCGGGGCGCGAGCGAGTCACGGCGGGATACAGCCTCGTCGTCAAAACAATGGACGGCATGGATGCATATCTGGATATGGACATAAGATCACGCGCGCCCGCCGCCGCCGCCGCTGGCCACCGCGCCTGCCTGCAGCGTTGGCGAGAAAAGGTCGCTCGACGCTGCGTACGGCGGCGAGCGCGGGATGGCGGGCGAATTTCTGACAAGATTTACGTACATGAATTGAATCGGAATCTTGTCGTGGACTCGTGGCGTGGAAGAAGCAGTGCCGTCGCGAGCGTGTGAGTGCGTCCGCGAGCCTTAACGCTCGTCAACATCCGGCCCCGTCCTCCTGCCCTTCCCCACCGTCTTCTGCGTACCGTCTCCTGCGCGTACTCGACATTCTCTTCCTCCCACACGGACGCGTATCTTTTGCTCGGCAGAGCGACCCGCTCTATCTTCCTCGCTTGCTTCGCGCGCCGCGACTCGTTTATCTCACCCTCGCACGCTCTTCTGTCGCACGAAGCCCGCTAATTTGGTTGTTCGGACCTTGCTTCTGCATGCGACACCGCGTCGGCGCATTCAAGCGGACGATACGTATCCTTCATTCCTGATCTACCCTGCTACCGTTCCACATGAACGCACCCCCCGACATGCTTCGTCAGGGCGTCCCTCACCTCCCAAATGGTATACAGAATGGAATGCTTAACATGAATCCCCAATATCTGCCGCAGCAGCCCCCTCATGGACAACCCGCCCAAAACCAGCCACCACAGATGACCCTGCTGCAGAACAGTCCTACTCCAAATCCGTCTATGGGCATGCTCGGTGGCGGCCAATCCGGCTTTCCTGGTGGTCTCCATCAGCTACAGCTCGCGCAGTCCAATAACTACAACCGCCAGCAGGTTCTCATGCAACAGAATGGCTCTGGCCTCACCATGCCCCCGAGGAATCCGGGACCACCCCATGTGAACGGGATAGCCCATAATCAGCCTCAAGGTATGGGATTTCCGAATGGCGTCATGCAGCAGCAAGGGATACGACGCGTAGCCTCGCATCCAGCGAGCCTCAATCAGACAGCTGGGCAGATGGGAGGTATGCCGCAGGGCATGCCAAACCTAGGAGCGATGGGTATGAATCCAGCGCAGAACATGCCGGCACACATGCGGCCGATGCCGCAACAACAGCACCCAATGAACTCCATGCGACTGCAGCAGCAGCCGCAACAGCATTCCATGCAAAGCCAGATGTCTCCTGACATGTCGATGCTGAATCGTCAAGCGCATTTGCCCATGAATGGAGGTTTGCAGCCTCCACCAATCAATCGGACGGCATCCGCACAGGCACAACTCATGAACAACCTTGCCCAGCCGCCAAACCTCAACCCATCGCATCCAAACGGGATGCAGCCCCCCATGCACCAAAATGCCTTCCAGAATCCCATGCCATTGCCGCACCACCCACAGCCTCCGCAGATGGGGTCGTCGTCGCATGTGGGGAGCCACTCACAGACACATACCCCTAGTTTACCGCCTAACATGTCGATGGGGAACGTTCCGCACCCGCAAGCCCCTCCAAACCGGACTCAGCGTACTCCAGATGGTGCTGTTTTCATGAATTTCCCGAACGGTCCCATGCAACCTAATCTGCCCCAAGTACCGCGATTGCCTCCCCACACTCCGCAGTTCTCATTTGCGACCCCATCAACATCGCCCGTACAGACAGGCGACGTGCCTCAAAATGTTGGAGGGGCGCACATGAATCGCCACCTGGTGACGACGCCCGCGCAGGTGGTCGAGATGACGCAAGGGCACGAAAACCTCAGCACGTCGTTCAGCATGCATCCATCACAGCCCGGCATGCCCCCGCGCCCGCCCTCGCAACACGCGTCGCACCCGAACTTTCAGATGCAGCCTCAGCAGCAAGGGCTGCAGCATCACCAGTCGCCGCGAGTCAACGCGCAGATGGTGCAGATGCAGCGGCCTCAGTCGCAGCAGGGCCAGCGGAGACAGGCCACCCCACAGGCGGGCCCGTCGCGCACGCCACGCGTCGCAACGCAAGCTCTGCCTAACATTACGACCCCGAGGATGCACATGGCCGCGCCGGGTCAGCCGGGTTCACAACAACATCCGTCAGGGCAGTCGCCGCCCCAAGCCCAGCCTCCACATCCGGTCCCTAATGTGCAGCAGAGACAACTCCCTGTTCCTCCTGTAATGGCTACAATGGCAAATGGGCCGCCACCGGCGATGAACCAGCCTGATGGCGTTCCTCCACCTCCGCCCCCTATGCAAGCTCAGCCCGCTCTTTCAATGAGGCAGTGAGTTGCCATTGTGGTACTCTATATATTGCGTGTCGTTGATCTCACTGCACAGAGGTCCAGCGGCGTCGATGGCTTTTCACGCTGAAGGTCGGGCGACGCAGAGGCTTCTGCAATTCAGCGCCAAACTCGCACAAACGGATATGAAAGAGGTGAGACTAACTGACCATCGTTGTGGTCGCTTCTCTGATATCTATGATCACGAAACTTGCAGAGAACGCACACATTTTGGACCAATCTAGTGAAAGATTTCTTCACACCGACCGCTATGATGAAGTTCACCCTGTGGAAAGATGGGTTACGTCAAGAAGCGAAACCGTTTGGTAGGTCGTTCCCAGTGGAATATGCCGGATGTTGACTGACAATCACGTACAGAAATTGGAACGCCGATTCTTCCTCGATTTTTTCTTGTGACTACCCACTCGGGAGTGAAGTCGATGTCGTTGGTTCTGGACAACGCGCGCGAGATGGCACAATATTCTAATGTGATTCAATATACCGTGGAACTCACCGACGCATATTGGATATTCCGATATGTCAATGGCTACACCGTCATCATGAGGGGTCCCCTAACCGCACATTTAACGTCGAATCCCGTCAATCCAAACCAACCGATAACGATGAGCTCAGGGCCAGTGCCCAAAATCGACAGCTTGTCGTTCGACGCGCTTTCTTTTGAGAAACTGATCAACGTCGATACTCTCCTAGAGCCTCGGGTCGATGCATCACCGGGTGTTACGTCTATCAACCTTGGTGGGACTCTTTCGGGAAGGCATGACGATGTTGATAGGAGGTATGACGAACGAGGAGGCCGTGCAATTCTGCCCGCAGAGCCGATCAATGCATTCGGAATCCCTCAAGCCACGATGCGATGTCTGGAGGTATGTTCGCTACTTCTCATGATCATCATTCGTGATGAGTCTGACCGACGGTCGCAGTTGGCAGAAAGTGTCACGCAGATGTCCGATCTCATACAATTCTGCTTTACCAGCAAGCTAGGGCCAAGGGGTGAGTGTCCTAATTTTCCGACATCTAGCCTTTCTTAATGGACGTCTTGGGTTCAGATGGGCTGACCCAATGGGCGAAAGTCGCCCGGACGCAGATGATAGCTGAGGGTAGGTCGAGCCACCCGAATGGTGGTAATGCCTCTGGCGGCGGCGGACTTGGCGGAGGCGGCGCAGGAAATGCTGGAGGAGGCAGCATGTTCGACGCCGTGAACGGTGCGGGTCCTGTGCCACCATATCCCAACGCCCCCAGCGGCTCTACGCAACCACCAGGACCTCCCCCATTTCCGCAACTACCAGGGCCTCCTCCGTCTACACCTCAAAATGCACCCTCACAAGCTGTCGACTCGTCTGCCAAGCAGAACAAGGCACCAGCACCGTCATCTCAGGCTTCGGGTTCGACGCCATCTGCGTCGGCCTCAACGCCAGCGGCGGCACCAACACCTGGGGGCCCAAACACGACACCATCTATGGCGCATGCATCGGTCAAGCGGAAGGGACCCCCACGGACTGAACCCGAGTCGCCGGCGCTCGCCAACAGTACTACCGACCAGGCGCAGTCATTGAAACGACCAACTCGAAAACGCACGCGGACACAAGGCGGTTAGATATTATTGTACTGCGACTCGCTGTGTGATCTCTCTTTTATGTTGTCGCTTTGCATCAGTGGTCATGATACTCTAGTCATCATAGCATAGATATCCTGTATTCTAGTAGTCCCTGAAAAGTCTCTCTACTCGGTGAAGGGCTGCACCATTAGCACTCTGTTTATTTATCACGTCCATGTTGTACTGTAATATCTACTGCTCACTTATCACTCGTCTTTGATCTCATCTGGTGATCACGATACCTGCATGAAAGCCGGCGGCTGGAACGGTAAGGCCAAGTCCGGATATGTGTGGGTGGGCAATTGTCGGTGGCGCATCGGATCTTCGTCAGCTCCGCTCCGGACTCATGGCTGGCATGGGTCCTGGATTGAAAACGCATATCGTCAACCTATTATCTCCCTATCAAAGAACAAGAAAACATGTGTAGGCATCGCATGGTACATAGAGAATCAGTATATGGGCTCATGGCTGAAATCGCATTGGTCCCCGTATCGGCATCTAAGGATATCAAGACATGATGTGAGCATTCACGCGCTTGTAGTACGCTAAACATTGGTGCTCGCCTTCCTGCTGCAAAGAAACTGCACGGCTTTCGTTTATTATTTCTAAAGCCATCGCCTCGACCACGGCCACGGCCACGATGTCGACCACGACCTCCGCCACGTTCACTCCAGCCGTCTTCAGGCCACCGGCGGTCCCGTCCACCTTCTTCGTGATCTAAGTACTCCCGATCATCATAGTCCGGATATTGGTCTGAATTCCAATCCCCGCTCTGCGAAGGCTGTCCGGGGGCCTGTGACTGGAACATTCCGCCTTGTGTCTGAGCCAAAGCTTGCATAAGCTGTTGCACTTGTTCCGCATTAAAATTCGCGAATCCTGGCAATGCCTGCATAACATTGGTATCGAGGCCAAACGCCTTGGGATCCAACTGCTGCCCATTCGCCATTGGCAAATCAGTAGCGCCTGCTGCAAGCTGCCCCACCAACTCGGCTACAGAGTGTTTCTGAGACTCCAGCACAGCTGGATCGCCTCCACTCCAGAAAATAGCATCGACGTCGGGACCCGTCAACATGACTCTGACTCCCTCATCAACCTGTTCTTCTGATATCTGGGTCGGTGGTTCTGCCGGACTGTCCGGTATCTGCGCCGGTGAGACGTAAATGGCGACTAGCGCGCTTTGTTCTCGTTCCTCTTGCGCAGCCTTCTCTTGACTTTCCTCTCCTCGTGGGCGGAGTTCGATGTCCGATGGAATTTCAATGACTACAAACGAACACGATCAACTGCCTGCAAAGATTCATCCTACGAATTTGCTTACGGATTGGTTCAAACCATTCAATCTGCTCTTCAAACATATGGGCATGCAATGCCGCGCCTTCGTCTCGGTCGAGATCACGTACGTTGTGCGTCGGCAACATACCCTGTGTATCGGCGCAAAGTAGCGCGTAATTAATGTACAGTACATACGGCGATACGGAAGGGAACTGGCTGACATCCGTGTGATCATCCTCGTAGACCGCACGCTCAATGAGTTTGACCATTTCCAGCTTGCCCTCAGGTGCCCACGTGACCGTCTTCTTCCGTTTCCCAGAAGCAGTAGCGCTGATCGAAGGAGTACTGGTGACCGGTGCAGGTGGCGGTGTTGCCGTTGCGGGAGAATCCTTGCGGGCCCTGGCCATCAATTTCAGAGCCTCTTCAAACGGGTTGATCGACGAAGGTTGCGCGATATTCAAGTCCGGTTCCTTCTTCACTGGTGCCGGCGGGGCTTTCTTGAAACTGGGCAGCTTTGGCTTCGGCCTGGGGGCTGAAAAGAACGACGAATCCGACTTCGCATCCTTCACTTCTTTGACGACCGTCTTCACCTCTTTCTTGACTGCTACAGCCTTCGCCGACGTGCCCGATGTAGATACAGCGGCCTTTTTGGTTGGAGGAGCCGACTTCGACGAGGGGGCGTCCGCCTTGCGCTTTTTGCCCTTCGAGTCTGTCGGGCATTATTAGCTGCAGTCCTCTTAGATAGGACAGGTCTCACACACCATCAGAATCGACATCCATTCGTTTGGACTCCTCATGACTAGTGACAAGTAGCTGTCGCCATTTACGTTCTAAATTCGATGCCATATCCTTGATTGCTGTATTTTCAAGCGAGGCAGGAATTCGTAGACGTTAGATACATGCATTCAATTCATGATCATTGAAGACGACGGTAATTCTCAATGTACGAGATTAAAGAAAGCACGCATCCGCCCTGAGCAGCCGCGTGATTGGATGATTCTGCTACTCAAACCTGGACGGGCAGTCCGGTGGAGGGACGTCGCTCGACTTAAAATGGGAATCGCAACTCACCAGGTGCAGGAGGTTCCTTGACTAGTCGCACAATGATCTTGCCCAGCTTCGATGACTTCAAGCTGTCGAGCGTCAGTGGCAATCGATCAATGACCTGGCGTTACAATACCGCAAGAGAAGTTACGTTCATATAAGCCACCCGTATGCCCTCAACGAGACGACCACTCACATGCAACAAAGGCATTATGGTCTCCACCATCTGGCCATCACTCTTCCCTGCATATGCGGACTTAAGCCATTCTCGAGTGATATCCATTGCATCCTCGTTCTCGACCCAGGCACGGAAATAGTGATTGGGAGCATTGTCACGCATTTTCGTCAGAATTTCCAACCGTGTTTGCGGCTCAACATCCAATGGACCATAATCATCGATGTGATCCACCAATTGTACAACGGCACCTGCACCTGTGAACGAGGTCGACGACAACAAAGGCCTGATCGAGGTGAGAAAAGAGATCCTGCGCTGTTCAGGAGTCGGCCCTGGTGGTTTCGACGGAACAGGCACGTTCGACTGATAGAATGACGACGGCGGTAGAGCGCCCGTCAGCGTGCTACTGCTGCTGGGAGTGAATAGAACATGCGGAGACAGAGTGGCCTGCTGAAGTTGCTGAGAATGCTGATGCTGCTGTGGCGGTGGTTGTTGCTGTTGTTGCTGCGGTGTCTGCTGCTGTTGAGATGCCGGACGCTGAATGGGAGATTGCTGATAATGAGGTGCTGAAGAATGAACATAAGAAGGATTAATGGACAAGGTAGGTTGGTGCTGATACTGCTGATACTGAGGTCGCGATTGAGGTTGCGAAGGAAGGAACGAAGAGGAATGCTGATATTGCAGATGAGGTGAGCCCAAGCCATTCACGGTCGTCAACGCCGGGCTACGATAACGGATGTGAGATGATTCGCGAGCCATACAACACGTCCCCACGCACTCGATGATCATATTGGACGACGTTGGGCCCATACCTTGCTGAGTCGATGACGGCGTTACACTTGTCGCACCGTTGAGTGAGGAATAGCTCGAGAGTGGCAACTGAGCGGGGCTAGACCACTGAGTGCCGTATGGAACCGCATTGTAGGGGCCGGGTGCACTAGGCAGGTAGTAGCTGCTGTGCTGTGCAAACGGGTAGAATGCGTTGGACGAATTCGAAACCGAGCTAGACGATGTCGATGGCCCTGGAGAACGAGGATGAGGATGAGTTCCGGGGTTGGGAGAGCGGCTGCGCGACAGGTGTACGGCGCCTATTTCAGGGGCGTGGAGAACGTGCTCACCCGACAGATCCCCCAGCCCAAACTCGTTCAGGTCGATGGCAGGAGCAACAGCCGCAGCACCCGATGCCGTCTGCGCGCTGGAGGACGAGTTCTTCCAATCGTCGCTGACAACATGCTGCCCGTCTGGAGGGACAGACTGCAAATCGGGGATCTGGTGCTGCTGCAGCCACGCCGCATTCGGGTATTCCATCCGTAGCGACACTTTTTGCACTCGCGCTCTCAAGCGGTTACAGCAAACTAATGGGCTTATTTCTGTGTAAACGAGATGAAAAGAAACAGAATAGCCGCGTCGTCGACCGTCCCGTCAGTTATCACCTTGCCAGTTCGTCGCGTTCACCGTTGGTGATGGTGGTCAGAGGTTAGGCTCGATGCCGCCCTTTCAGTCTCCGCTTCCAGCTCCTACATGAGCGTTTCCATTTCTGGATGCCGTTCCCACGCTTAGCACAGTCACACAGTAGACATCCTTCCTGTGAAGAAAGCGTAATGATGATCAATTATACTTCTCGTTTGCGATTCTAAAGCGTTCTGTCGAGAGCATGTGTGTTCGCGGCATCAGAATGCTCAGTGCAACGAACAATAGCACCAAGTGAGCTGAGTTGTAATAAAGTGGCTTAGGCCGGATTTGTAATCCCCATGGCTGTTATCAATTGAACCAAACACATACAACGCCTAGAAAAGGACTACTGCCAGCATCAGCGACGCTTCAACTTTTTCTTACCCCCCTACATTCTCCTTACACGACACGTCGCGACGCGTCCAACGCGTCTCAACAAAATCAGTCCCTCCTTCCTCTACGCGACCATGGCAAATCTTCCTGAGGGTCCTGCTCAGTTCGAGTTCCAGAAAATGCAGGTACGTCGCTTCTACGCTGTCTGGGGCTTGTCGTTTGGCCGCTCACCGTGGACGCGTTTGATGGCAGTTCGTTAGCAGCTTGACGAGCATAGCCGAGCAGATGCGCGCCGCTGCCAGTCTCGCTGAAGGATTTGCGAACACCATCGCGCATATCCCTTACGCAACTGGGATTCCCGCAGGGCAGTTCGGTCCCGCTGTCGTGCCGAACGGGAGAAAACGCAAATCGCGCGACGGGGAAGATGGCGATGGGAGGAGGAAGCGAGGATTAAAGAAGATCAAAGACCCCAATGCTCCCAAGCGTCCTCCCTCGTCGTACCTCCTATTCCAGAACGAGGTCCGCTCGGAGCTGAAGGCGAAGAACCCGGATATCCCGAATAATGAGCTGCTCACGATGATCGCGAAGAAGTGGGCCTCAATGTCGAAGGAGGAAAAGGAGGTGCGTAAAGTCCTATTCATCTGTTGTCTTGCTTGTCTGAATAATATATCCGATTCATTCTAGCAATATGAGCAGCGCCAAAAGGCTGCCAAGGACCAGTATCTCGCCGAAAAGTCCGTATATGATAACCGTAGCTCCCCTGTCAATGGCGCTACTGCGGCAGCAGTATGTTCCATTCCTCTATAGTTGTGAAAATTTGTGTGACACACATGAAGGCCCAGCCCGCAGCTACCCCTGAGGCGAAGTCTGTAGCTACCGCTGCGCCGACTGCTACTTCGGAGGAAGAGACATCGGAGGAGGAAGAACAAGAAGAGCGGGAGCCGAATGAGGAGGGTTCGTCGTCTGAGCAAAGCAGCGAGGAGGATGTCAAGCCTGCGCCCAAGAAGTCCAAGCCCTTGAGACATGATGAGGTCAAGGAGAAGAAGCACAAGAAGTCGAAGGCGTAACCGCAGACCCACTCCATGTTCTCGCGTATCTTAATTCGTCGTCCGGTAATTGGCTTCTCAGGGTTCCTGGTTCACGTTCCCTAGCCTTGATCTAACAGCGATAAACACGTATATAGTTGTATTCGTTTTTCAACTAGCTTTTAATTGTCGATGTTGTAGTGCTTGACGGTCCAAACCAAAGATGTTTGGTAGTTCTTTGGTTGGAATGCCGGTACAGCATGTCTAACGAACGATCTCAGGGATCGAGAAGACTCGGAGGTGTTCGCGTATGCTTCTACAAAGCAATTCGAGAGCATTCCATGGCAATTAATCCGGAGGATCACGGATTCAGGAATACTGTGGTCTTAGCTAGCACTTTATGGCCGTTATTCCTGTCACGCTCCATAATCGCTGTCGTCCCAATTCATCAAAATTAGCCTGAATTGTGGAGCTGCATGATGAGATATGGGCAGTGTACATCCTGTATGAAAAATAGTACATGGAATGTCATGCCGCTCAAAGTAGATGGATAGATTTGTTACAGATCGCCACGAATAACGTCACGGCTATGAGTATAGTACCTGGATCGTAGAAACGACACCAGGGAGAAGAACTGGCACTTGGTTGGATTTAAGTATACCAGGCTATCTGGTCATTGTGACCGACGACAATGGGTGTCGTAATACTAATGTCAGATGGTCAGTGATGGCGGTGAAATGCTGATAGGCGACCAATTCATAAAGCACGATGATGCAACTCCTCGGAAGGTAGCGGCAACGGTCACGATATCTCGACCGCGGGAGGTTTATAACGCCTCACTGCTGTCAGCACTTTCTCCCAAACACTCACCAGTCTGAAATCGCTTCCTGATGTCTCAGTACAACCCCGGCTACAGCGCAAATTACGGCTCTTTAAGAGATGCGCCGAATTCTCCAGTCAATCCTGACGCACGACCATTGCCTCCAGGCTGGGTGTCTCAATATGATCGCAAGTACGTTCATCTCGCAGTCATGACGCCCATGACGCTAACGAACGGTTCCTTCAGCTATAATGCATGGTAGGCTAATCCCAGGAGTGCGAATACAACAAGAGCTTCATGCAGTCTTCCCAGGTTCTACGTAAACACGAACGAGAATCCGCCACGGTCATCCTGGGTGCACCCGCTTGGACCACCGCCTCCACCATCACCCCGCCCTGGCTATGCTCCGCCCGCAGGCCCACCATCATCGGATAACCGCGGGTACAGCCCCTCCCCATACTCCGGCGGATACGACCAGAAACCCGGATATGCTCAGGCGCCTCCGCCGCAGCGATATGACAACTATGCATCGCCTCCTCCCAGCGGGTATGGGCCTTCTAGAGAAGGCCGAGGTGAGCTGTCTGCCTTAGATATCTGGATGTCAACACTGAGATGGTCCGGCGCCAGGCTGGTTCGGCGGCGGTCAGCAGCCCGTGCAGCAGCAGCAGCCCGTCATCGTCGAGAGCGCACCGCCTCAGAGGAAGAAGCACGGCATTGGGATGGGCACCGCGGTCGCGGCCGGTAAGTGGGGTCTCCGCTGCTGGTGTTGTCGATGTGACGATCGCGCAATTGATGATGGCGAGCAGGAGGTGCGGGTCTCCTGGGCGGCATGCTGATCGAGGATCTCGTGGAGCGGCACGATGAGCACGAGCGTGAGGAGGGCTTCGATCAAGGTGAGTGTCCTGGGAATTGTGCGAGGGATGCGTGGCGGCTGAACGTGGCTTGACTAGGGTTGTCGACGGGAGACCCGTACATGGGCGGTCCTGACCCCGGATTTGATGGTGGATATGATGATGACTCGGGTTTCTTCTGAGGTGGGACCATGTTGACGCTCCAAACGAGCCTATAATCACCTTATTCTATGTTCAACAAACAGTTTAAATCCGTTGAGTTTGTAATGTATCTTCTTGTGGAATGAGACCCGTACCGTGCGAACGCCGGATACATTGCGGAGATGACAGGATAGCACGATGCCGTCCCCTTAAAGATGACTTGAGAACGAGGTCGACTGTATTCCATGGCGGCCATCCGGCAAGTGCTGAATTGACTCAGTGTCGAACATTGCATTGAACGTTAACCGTTGGGCAGGGGGCAGAACGAGCGAGCGACTGCAACGCGACCAGATGAAGCCCCAATCCCCGCAGACCAATTATGAATTCGAAGACCACGCCGCTTATAATAAGAAGACCAGTCGCTCATCTACCACAAGTTATTATCTGCAGGCATGCTAGATACTTGAAAATGAGCTTCTTCTAGCGGCAGTGAGTTAATGCGACACGCGAGAGCGCTGGACATATCTTTCTTTGATTGTTCGTGAGGTCGATGTGACCATGCGCGGCGACTTCGCGCGGTCCACTGATACCTGCCAGATGGGACTAGATTCTTGCCCAATTCGCCACTCATGTACAAGCCCCATGGCCGGGCTGACCGCACAGATGCAGCCCGAGCTCGGCGCTTTCACGATGGGGGGCATCGTTAAGTTCAGCGAGCATATGACCCTTTGCAGATGCGGTAGCAAGTCCTGTCGCTTTTCCTTGTCGAAGATAGCTACGTCGTTACTCAAAACCACTACGATACATGCAGTTATGCTAATTTCTAGGTCACAGGTCAGGAGTAGGCCGCAACGTGAATGCTGATATTCTCATCGAACGTGGCATTTTGACGTCAGTAGACAAATGAATAATATGACTGCCTCGCGTGTCTTCGAGCTGATATGGACCATTACACTTACCGTCCAAACCCAAGCCGGCTTTGGACGACAATGATCAGAGAGCCATTCCTTCATAGCTAAGTCGTTTGAGGTGGAAGATTCCGTCAACAACGTAATGCAAAATGCGTAAGCTAATGAATGACTACGGCCTCTCCGACCCTCTGTCTGAAACGATCGCAAGCAGCACGCATTGCATTATCCCTCTCCTGCACACAAGAGGCGCAATATTCATCGGACTGTCTCCAACCTTTCCAAGCAGTACCCTCTAGCATCTTCCACCATTCCTCCTGGTACGGGTGTCCCGGCGCGCCCGCATATCCCCATGGTTTTGCCGTGTACGGCTGCACGTACGGGTTCAGGACTTTCTCCATCTCTGGACTGACAGGACCAGTGAAATGGACGATGCGTGGATCGTGCATCTCTGCGAGGCTGATGGTCGTTCGATCTGCGGAAGGTAACTCGGCATATGTTCCCAAGCCCTGCGCATTCCACTTCAACGACAGCGGAACCCAGTCATCGTCGAAATGGACGTTCAATGCATCCTGATCACGGAATCGGCTAGTCGTCATCCCGTCCATTGTCGTGCGTAGCGCGTCCATGTTTCCTCTGATCTTCGCCAGATCCATAAGCAGCACACCTGCATTGAAGTACGGGCGCTTTGGTCCCTTATGACCACGCGGGTAGCCAACATCCGTGACGGCAGCCAGGGACCTGCCCTGGAGATCAGTGTCCCAAAGCTCTCGCAGATCTCCTCGCACGAGGAGATCTGCGTCAAGATAGAGCACTCGTTCAACAGGCAGTGCGGGGATCATATCGATCTTCGCCCAGATCATGCTTTCTGCTCTCGCGAAACTATCTTTGGGGAGGCTGAGGAACACGATGGTGGCTTCCCGTTGCACTGGGGCTGACGCGCGAATGCGATCTTTGTCTTCTTCGGTGAGGCCGGCATTGATCACGTAGATCGTCAAGCGTCCGCTTGTGTGTGCAATGGCGCTGCGGATGGTAACCGCCGCTGCCATCGCGTATGGAGAGTCAATGGTGAGGACGACATGCACACCGTACCCGAGCGCCGAGTCCAGTCCGTGGTCTGCGTTTCCCTTCACGAGGAAGCCGATGCGCATGTCGCATGATTTTCGCAGGACCACCTGGTACTGGGTGTGGCTCGTCAACAGCTCAAATTCCCCAGCGTGCAGCGTCATGAAAGCGTCGATGCCGCGCTTGGGGTGGTGAATGCTGTCCTCAGGCTCTTTGTCCCAGTGGTAGTCGTCAAAGATCATGATCGCGCCCTGCCTCGCCAACCTCCACGCCAGCTCTCCATCAAGGAACGTGTCATCAGCCTCGTGCGATCCATCTATGTAGATCCAGTCGAAGCCTGGGTGAGCGGATGACATTTCCTCTTGCAAGAGCATCATTAGCGCGGGGACGCTGAAGTCATCCAGGATGCGAAACGGTTTCCCAGTCAGGGACAGGTTATGAGTGATCTTCGCGTAACGCTCGCGCCCTGCGTCGGTCTCCATGAGGTCGAAATGGTCGATGCAGACGACCTCGCCGCCAGTGGCGCACAGCTCGGTCAACATAAACACGGCAGAGCGGCCTTCCCAGGACCCGATTTCCAGCACACGAGGGCGTGGAGATTGGACCAAGGGAAACAACGACCTCCATGTGTCTATGTGGAAGGAGAACCAATCTTGCGTTGGCGTGAACTTGTACAGCGAGTTGGTATCTTCGTTCGACATCATTTACTGACGGCTGTACTAGCGTCCTAGGCATTGAACAATACGTGAGAAATGATCAACAGTGAGGATAATTGCTTACTCGATGCAACAGAGCAGTCAATAGATGTTGACAAGGGCAGTAGGGGAGCTTCGTGTGCAATGCAAGGGATAACTTGTCTTTCGAACGGTATAAATGCAGAAAGGTCTTCTCTATCGTACGGTCTTCCTCTCTTGCTTGACTGAGCCTGGACACCTCACGGCTGTCGGATGACGTCCTCGTGGTCGCGCTCATGCAGCCAAATGCAGCGTTACCCAGACCTCACAATTAATATTGGGCGAGAACTCACCGAATTGTCTGGGACCCTACCCCATATATCCCTTGCACCAACCCGCGGACTAGCGCGGACTCCTCGGCAAATGACGCCCGCCCTCGGGATGACGAGATAATTAGGGTTCCGATGCGGTTTAGCACGTTCGAAACACCGCATTGAGAGCTGCCTCAAGTCAGGTGGCGTTAAAGTGGTGCGTTCGTCTCGTAACAGAGCCAAAGGGCTTAGCGTCAGTCACTCACAACGCCATCCAGACTGGTAGGATATTTACTGGCTTAAAAGCAGCCTGGCTTCGAAGGCACACATGCTGCCCACTATTATGCACAGTGACTCGGCAGCTGTATCGTTCATGGGTAATATCAAGCTTCCCCTCATAATTCGCTTCCGGACGTGACGTTAACCCTGTGGCCACGTCTGCCTCGAACGAGGTATCCGCTTCCCAGTGTTTGAGCCCATATCAATTTAGTGTCTAGGAGGGGCTCCCTAATTCACCATTTGCAACCGATGCATTTGAGGGACTCCTCGCGCCGCAGCGGTTTGACAACTCTCAGCCGTGATGATCTGGCCATATTGGTTTTTGATCATTTGGGACGAACGGATGGCTTATTCAAGGACGCATGTACCGAGCTTATGAGTGAATCCGCAATGTATGGATAGAATATACTCTTTCTCGGACAACGCTCAGGTACACATCATCATCATGAATCAGTGAACCTTTTACATGCCCCAGACCCAGACCTTCATCGTCACTCGGAGTTCTTCCAAGACCCAACACTCCTTGGCATTACGTCAACTCTGCCCCTATGGGGCTGAGCATTGTTCCAATATGCTGATGCTTGAGTGGAGGAGCGTATCGGTCGACGTTATGACCTGTAGATTGGTCGTTCTATAGTGGAAGTAAGAATCCAGTTACCAATTTCATCTACTACGAGGGAGCCGCCTGGACTCTTATAAGAGCTCTGTCCGATGTCCCCATATTTAAGCGGACCGCCTTGGATTATCTCGGACGACAGTGTTCTCAGATTGCTGCCTTAAGTCTAATAGGTATGCCCTCCCGGAAGAACGATCTTATCTTGGTGACCGGAGGAAATGGCTTCATCGTACGGAGTCCCTGTTAGTGCGAGCCATGGAGCCATTATATTGATTAAAGTTCTCGTAGGGAGCCCATGTTGCGAACCGCCTCGCTGGCGGTGGGCATCGAGTGCGAGTGGTGGACATCAACCCTCGCAGGTACATTGAAGCTTCGTCCGGGATAGATATCATGATCGGCAACCTCTGCGATCCGACATTCTGTTCACGCGCCATAAATGGTGTCAAGATCGTTCTTCACTTTGCCGCTACCATGGGCGGTATGGGAGTGATCCACTCCGCGAATGATTCCACTATCTACAACGAGAATCACACTATGCTTATCAATGTACTCTCCGCATCCCTCTCAGCTGGGGTTGCCCGCTTTCTCTATGCATCCTCAGCATGTGTGTATCCAGACACGCTGCAGGAGGTAGGGAACGTGGACGTCTCCTTGCGGGAGTCGGATGTCTACGCAAATATGCCCCCCAAGCCGCAAGGCCTTTACGGTTTGGAAAAGCTACACGCTGAACACGTCCTACAGCAGTATACGTCACGCATGGAGGTTCGTATTGCTAGGTTTCACAACATTTTCGGTCCTGGTGGTTGCTGGAGAGGGGGACATGAGAAGGTACCCGCAGCTCTCCTGCGGAAGGCCTTAGCTGCACAGCGCATCGACGACTTCCCCGCAGACATCGAGCTTTGGGGCGATGGGTCTCAGCGGCGGAGCTTTTGCTTCATCGACGATGCCGTGGAAGCGATCGTCCGCCTCCTGTGGTCCGAGTGTCGGGAGCCCGTCAACGTCGGCTGTGACCATGCTGTCACTATCCAAGAGCTTGCTGAAATGGCCATCCGATGCGCAGGCTTGAAGCCGGAGCAGGTTCGGTACTCCTACGTCCTCGACAGGCCCGTGGGCGTAGGCTCCCGCAATTCGAATAACGAGCTCATCCAAGAGCGACTGCGTTGGACTCCGACTACGTCTCTTGAAGAAGGAATGACACGAACATGGCGGTGGATTGCGGATGAAGCGGATCAGATGCTGGCGACTCTGGAGGGCTCCGAGCTTTCTTTGACGCTGGAACGCTTGCGAAGAAGCGAGAAGGTCGATTTGCAGACAGAAGCGCACACTTTCGCCATCCTTCTTCCAATCACCTCGCGCGGATCGTCCCATCGAGAAGACTGTTTAGATAACCTGCGAAATTTCGCCCGCTCGTTGCTGTCTACGACTGCGTACGACATCGGACGCCTCGGTATGCGCTACCATCTGCGCATCTACCTTGCCATCGACCACGACGATGTATTCCTTCTCGGAGACCGACCAGGCGGAGTCAATCGAGCAGAGAGCATGCTGCGTACCGAGGGTATATCGCAGATTGATACCCTCATCTGCGATCATCCTCGAGGTCATGTATGCGCGCTCTGGCGCGATTGTGCTCAGAGGGCATGGGAGGACGGTTGCGAATACTTCACGTTAATGGGAGACGATGTGACCGTGCAGGATCCCAATTGGATGTCAGCGATCGTCGACGTATTCGCAGACATTGCTGCACAGGAACATGTGCCCGATGGCTTCGGATGTGTCGCCTTCACGGACACCTCCTTCCCTGGTATGCCAACGTTCCCGGTTCTGAATAGGATTCACATGGACATCTTCGGAGGCCAAGTCATCCCGGCGGTCTTCATCAACCAAGACGGCGACCCCTTCCTATATCAACTCTATCGCCGTTGGGGGTGCTCCCGGATGATCCCGTCCAGGATCAACAATAAGGTCGGCGGTAGCGAAGACGCCCGCTACGAGAAGGCGTCCGCCGCTGACTGGACTTTCGGTCCATTGGACGAGGCGACGTCTACTGTCGAGGCTTGGCTTCGATCTCGCAATCCCAACGTCGAGAGAAAACTCGCTCTTGACGTGATCATTCCTTGTTACCGGGTTACTTTGACGTTCATGGACAGATTCCTTGCTCTGCAACCTTCCTCGACGTGCGTAGTGATGTTCATAGTCATTATCGACGACCCCCTGTCTCCCAATATCTCCGAGTTAGTGCGCAGATACGGAAGTCGTCCAGACGTCCGTATCCGTGTCAACGCGGCGAACCTCGGTGCATCCGCATCGCGCAACAGAGGCTTGCGGGAGTCCGCTGCCGAGTTTGTGCTCTTCTTGGATGACGATGTCACTCCGAAGGAGAACATTCTCATCGAGGCAGAGAAGGTGATACGCGCTCATCCAGAAGCAGCGGGCTTCGTCGGAAACGCGTTGTTCCCGGTCGCAGACACGATTGCCACAGCTGCTATCCACCTTGCGGGAGTGACGTACTTTTGGGATATCGCCAGCAAGAGAGCTGACGATACAGACCTACCGTGGGGCGTCACTGCGAACCTCATCGCACGTAGGAACGTGGCAGATGGAATTGAGTACGATATAGGCTTTCCTAAGACTGGCGGCGGTGAGGATATAGACTACTGCCGGAGGAAGCGCGACTATTCCATTTCCCATGGCGGTGACGGGTTTCACGCTGCTCCATCTGTCATAGTCACCCATCCATGGTGGAACCTCGGCCGCAGGTCTTACTGGAGGTTTTACCTGTGGAGTAAAGGTGACGGCGGTCTGATTGCCAGGTATCCTGAATTCTCTTACAGGGAGACGGTTCCAAACAGCGCCGAGCTCTTGGCGTGCTGCGTAGCTTTGGCGATGGGCGGGTTAGCGTCCTCGCTGTTCCCTGCGACCGCCAACTATTCCATCGGTGTCGCGTACTTCGGAGTGCGGATGATCCTCGCACTTTTTATGGCCAACATACTCCATGACCTGTATCGCCACATCTGGAGGAACGCTGATAGGGTTGCTCAGATTGACACGACTGTCACCGGAATGCGCAAGATTGCAGCCATAGTCGAAAGCAGCATCATCCGGATTTTCAGTGAGTTCGGTCGTTTGATAGGCATGATAGAGAGGCGGGAATTCAGGAACATTGGTATGAGCTTTGATTGGTTTACGAATAGAGCTGGAGACGGCCCCAGGAAGGAGGAGACTCTGAACAGATTGCAGAGAGTTGGACTTTGGTTATTCCTTGTGACGCTTGCAATTTCCTTCGAGTAGTTGTACTGGCCAAACACATGTCTCCCTTTAAGTTGTACGTTCTATGATGGTCGAAGTGCGATGCAATCGAAGCTCGGGTTGGAATTGAAAGGTTCGCGTTAGTGACAGTTCCCGCCGGTGGCAGGCGGCTGAGCGCTACTGCGGGCGCGTATCAAACGCGTGCATGAATAAGGTTTGAACGCGTCGCGTCTCCGAGTCTCTCGTCTCGACGGTCTTGTTTCATCGACGGTCACAGAGTCCCTCTTGTCCATTCTGCACGATGCCTCGCACTCGGATGAGCACCCGCAGTGAGATGTCGACATCTGTCTCAATTACTTCAAGCGTATCGTCGCCTTTGTTAAGTACAGCAAATTCCAAGCAATCGACTCCTGCTACCTCTGTCAATGGCGACACGGACGATAAATCTCAACTGAAAAGGTCAAGGAAGTCGGATATAGCCTCCAAAACCATGAAAAGAGCACTAGAAAGCGATGAAGACATTGAAGATATTACTCCAACGAATACTCAACAGGCGAGCAAGCGTAGGAGGACAGCTCCCAAGAACAAGGCATATGTCGAGATTACTGTATCTCAGGCAAAGGTTGATCCTCTTATGACATACTGTCAGTACACAGAGACTGAAATGTTTCTCCTTCAGCTTGGTGGGCTTTCTAGGACTAGCAGCGTGGTGGAGACGACTAGACCGAGTCCACCAGACGCCTCAGCCAGAGCAGAGGATCCACCGGACTCTGAAGAAGACAGCGAAGATGACATCGCATTCATCGACGAGTCGGACGATAGTGGGTCAGAATACGAAGCATCTGACCTTGATTCTACCTCGGGAAATGAGAGCGGCGATGGTACTTATGAGGGCAACATCTCTGATACCGCATCTGTTGCTGGTATCGACGATGAAGGAATCATGATGGATGCTGCGATCCAGCAGTCACTGGAAGACGCTCGCCTGGAACACAGTTACACGATGGGCACGTCTAGCGCTGGTGCGGGCTCTTCCAAGTCGCGTGCCCCCGTTCATAGTGAAGCTGCTAAGAGAGCGGCGGCTGCCGAGCGTAGATTGGCCAAGACACAGCGACACCGGGATGAAGATGATGACTATGTCTCGCAGGAGGATCCCTCAGAATCCGATTCCGAAAATGACATACCATTGGCTAAAAGCAATGGCAAAAGCAAGCAGCGATCCGCCAGGAGCAAACCCAGAGCGATGACGCTCATGGATTTGAGACGTGGCAGACAGAATGCCAAACAGGAAAGGGAGCAGTTGTTGAGCGACGAGGCGAGGTTGCGCGCAAAGCTTGGTCGCAAGCTTACTCACGTACGATTGGACCATTGTGCTTAAAATTGTCGCCTGACGATCTTACCTTAGGCAGAGAAGTCTACATTAGCCCTCAATAGGCACCATGCCGAGTTGAGAGATGTTTGGGGTGATCTTGAAAGGAAGATAGCCGTTGTAGTCCCGCAGAAGGCCGAACAGCCAGCTAATCTGAAACTCGCACTCCTTCCGTTTCAATCAGAGGGCTTGTATTGGATGAGGAACCAGGAAAAGGGCGTATGGAGAGGAGGTATGCTGGCTGTAAGTCTGCACCATCAGCTGCATTGTTCTGCAATCATTCTTACAATCCATCTGGAACAGGACGAGATGGGGTTGGTAGCCCATTTAATTGTTGGTTTGGTCATGCAACTGATATTGTCACAACAGAATGGGTAAGACGATACAAATGATAGCGTTATGGGTTTCCGATGTCGGTGTCAAGCCCAATCTGGTAGTGGCGTACGTAACATGGCACCCCACACTATCCACCTTGCTCTGACATTTCCTGGACATACAGCCCTACTGTCGCTATCATGCAATGGCGGAACGAAATTGAAGCCCATACAGATGGTCTCAAGGTACTCATCTGGCATGGGCACTCCAGAGAGTCGGATGTCAAAGCACTCAGGAGATTCGATGTTGTCAGTGCTTTTCTTTCATCCTTGATCCGAATTTTCCGACTGACAAAAATGTGATAGGTTTTAACGACGTACGCCGTGCTTGAGAGCTCCTTCCGCAAACAGGAGGCCGGGTTCAAGAGGAAGGGCATGATTGTCAAGGAGAAATCACCCGTCCACCAGATTCACTGGAATCGCATCATCGTGAGCAATTTGCCGACTTACCATTTATTGCGATCTCAGTGGTCGGCACACAGCTCGATGAAGCGCATAACATCAAGGAGAGATCGACCAACACTGCCAAGGCTGCGTTCGAGTTGCAGGGTAACTACAAATGGTGCTTGTCCGGCACTCCGCTGCAGAATCGCGTAGGTGAACTATACAGTTTGGTTCGGTTTTTGGGCGGCGATCCCTTCTCGTACTACTTCTGTGAGTATTCCGGTACGTCTGGTGCTAACGCTGTTTGACGGTGCCAATCGCTCGGTTCAGGCAAGCAATGTGACTGCAAATCCCTTCATTGGAGATTTAGCGACAAGAGGAGCTGCGACGGTACGTAAAGACAAGCTTCAATCAGTTCTCGTGATTTTGAGTGAAAATCCACAGATTGTGGCCATAGCCCCATGAAACATGTAAGTTGTCTGATTCCAGTGATGGTTGCCAGAAATAAATATTCTCCATTACAGACGTGCTTGTGGAACAACGAGATTTTGACTCCTATCCAGAAGCATGGCATGATAGGCCCCGGAAAGATTGCGTTCAGGAAGCTGAAGATCCTGCTAGACAGGATGATGCTGCGTAGAACCAAGGTTTGGCCTCAATAATCGAGTCATCTTATCAGCGACTGATGTTCTGTAAACCAGCTTGAACGGGCTGATGACCTCGGGTTACCGCCTCGGACCGTAGTAGTCAGAAGGGACCACTTCAGTCCCGAAGAGAAAGAGCTCTATTTGTCTTTGTTCTCGGATGCGAAGCGGCAGTTCAATACGTATGTTGACGCTGGTACAGTTCTCAACAGTAAGTTATCGCATCTCTCCAAGGGGCTGACGCCGCTGAACATATCATGCTAGATTATTCCAATATCTTCAGTTTGTGAGTCTACATCAGCGTCGCTTTGCCGTTGCCACTCACTAGCATCACAGACTTACTCGTATGCGGCAAATGGCCTGTCATCCCGACCTCGTTCTGCGGAGCAAGAGCAACGCGGGAACGTTCCTGCAAGACGACGTAGGCGAGGCCACTGTTTGCCGAATTTGCAATGAGATTGCAGAAGATGCGATCCAAGCTAAATGCAGGCACATCTTTGATCGCGAGTGCATCAAGCAATATCTGAATACTGCCATTGAGATCAACGTGCGCGTGATGCTACCCTGGTTGAACGTAGCTGACACTTTCTTGGTATAGCCGGCATGCCCGGTATGCCACTTACCACTCACCATTGACTTGGAAGCTTCTGCTCTGGAGTTGGAAGAAAACGCCAAGCCGCGACAGGGGATACTTGGACGTCTTGACCTAAATCAGTGGCGGTCCTCGTCTAAGATTGAGGCACTCGTTGAAGAGCTCAGCAATCTTCGCAAGCAGGATGCGACTACGAAGAGCATCGTCTTCAGTCAATTTGTCAATTTCCTCGACTTGGTTGCGTACAGGTTACAGAAGGCTGGCTTCAATGTGAGGTGTTCTCTCGCGTTTGGTTGATGCGCTCTAACTGTTCCGTCCCAGATTTGTCGTCTCGAGGGTACCATGAGCCCTCAGGCTCGTGATGCTACGATACAATACTTCAGTACGTACTCTGTCAATCCTAGCTCGGGGCTGGTCTGACTGGTTGGTAGTGAACAATGTGCATGTTACGGTTTTTCTCGTTAGTTTGAAGGCTGGCGGTGTTGCACTGAATCTGACAGAGGCATCGCGTGTCTTCCTGATGGACAGCTGGTGGAACCCCGCGGTATGTCTAATCAGCCAATCTTTCACGCTGATCGTGCTCAACGTTGTATTCTTCCAGGTTGAGTATCGTGAGTCTCGCCGGCTATAGGGTAATCTTTCGGGCATTGAAGCTTTTCGCAGAGGCAATGGACCGTATTCATAGGCTGGGCCAGCATAGGCCTGTGCAAGTAGTCAAGCTTGTTGTGGAAGACAGCATTGAAAGTCGTATCGTTCAGGTTAGTGTCTCTTAGTATTGATGACCGATTTCAAACAGCAAATATGCACGTCACTATAGCTGCAGGAAAAGAAATCAGCCATGATCGATGCAACGTTGTCGACGGATGATTCGGTACGTAAAGCCGGTGTTATTTACAACCGCAGTATGATGACTAAAACATTCCAGGCTATGGGAAGATTGACACCTGAGGATGTGAGCGTTATAAGTCGACTTGATATTATCTTGCATGTGCTGATGCCCACTTGTGGGATTTCAGCTTGGTTTCTTGTTCAGAGTAAGCGCTCCTGTCATCTGGATGAGTTGATGCATTCTAATTCGGATCTAGTTGTAATCCCTTTCTGCGGGTAATTCGATGTCCGCATAGTTGTCTAGTGTCAGTCTCTATCCGAGGCGCATATCACTGGAACGCGGTGATGAGACGCTAGTGTACATTATGCTGCGTGTTGATTTACAGGTACACTGATTTAGGGATATCCTGTTAAATATAGACAAATGCTCTCAGAAAATGCCTGGGAGCAGCCTGTAGCGCGTTCGCGCTGCCCAATCAGACCATTGCCTGCCAAACTCGTTTCTTAGGACATGATCCTCAATCTTTGTTCTGGACACAATCCCGAACGGAATGATCATCAGAATCCCGAGCCAAAAGAAGCTCAGCAATGTCCCTCCCGGCGTCGTCCACAGCTTAAAGCCCTCCGCCCACATGGAGCCGGGGCCGAGTTGCATGAGAGCGATTCCGGCGAGCGCCATGATGCTGCCCGTATAGGCAGGGTGTCGCACGATGGAGTAGGGTCCGGTAGTGACGAGCTTGTGGTTCTGGCGCACCGCGAGCTCGAACGTGAAATAAGTGCCAAGATGGCGATAGCAAGTCGAACGGATAAGGGCGCCCGCGGCAAGGAGAGCCCAGCCCAGGATGAATGACGTTGTGAGCCGGAGATTGGGGAGGGCCACCGTGCCCATGAGCGTATGCACCGATGGTCGGTCATTGGGCAAGAATATAGTAAGCAATATGAGAGTGCTCTCGCAAATGAAGGTGAGCCATACGGATGGCTGTACTTTTGTTAAGCACGATACAGTTGTTCGGGCTACCAGCCTTACCATCACGAGGAGCGGAGGTAGCCACCGAATGACGGCTCGAAGGGCTTTAGATTCTAAGCATTGGAACTTGGCTTCCTCATCCGCTTTCGGCGTGGATTGAGGTGGTGTACCGCACTAACGAGACGCTTTGAGCCGATTGTGTCGCATCAAGGAAATAGGTAATCGAATCTTACCAGAGCGGAGAATCGTGCGGCAGACAGAAGCAGTGGTATTTTGAAAAGCAGGATGACAGGGAACATGTCTTTAATGAATGACTAACCCGCACCGGCCATTGTCCATTATTTATACTGTGGAATTGGCGAGTTTGCAGCAGCTGCGGTGCTTAATCGACAGTTGAGCGGGAATCTGATGTGGCTGTATCGCTTTACGCGATGATGCAACGTGTCCGATCCCGAGGCGGAGGTGCGCTAAAGCCTCTGCATTTGCAATGCAGGATTGATACATTGGCAGTATGAATTTCCCATGACAGCCTCCATAATCATTGCGTGGCCCGCCTCGGACATAAGGACAGACGCCCGGTGTCTTGGGCGCGCTATACCATGCCGACGTCAGTTCGCGGAGCTAGTAAGCCGCTTAGAATGATTTTCAACACGATAAGGTGGCATACGGTGGACGGTGGTCAGGACGCACAAAATGCCTGAGATTTCCATGCGTTGCGGATGCATGTATTACGTTCGCAAAGACCTCGCTCTGTGGCCAATCAGCTAATAGTCTCCGATCTGTGCAGAGATGCCTTGATGCGAAGAGCTTAGAACGTAGCCACCGTCCGGCCGCCTTTCTGCAGTACCAACAGATTCAAGTGTCCAAGCCAGCACCGTCTGTCCGATCAGACTCACTTGAATTCATGTTTCAATTTGCCGCTCACTTTGTCATGCGCGCGCAAATCAGCCTGAAAGTGGCGGCAATGACTGAGATCCACTAGAGTAGTACTGGCATACTAATAAAAAACGAAAGAGAGTGCGTAACAGCCACTGGTGATCCGAGATCGTGCACGGATGTGTCCGACTACAGCAGTTGCCTGAAAAGGGTAAGCTCCGCCACCCCGCAATCACATGAACGCCGTGTCCGTTCGGTGCTTCCCCGGACACCGGCTTTCCGTCTGCAGTCTGGGGTAAAGTCAAAGAGTGATTTCTAGACACCTGCTCCTCCACTGAATTCCCCGGGCCCAAACCTCCAGGACTTGTTTGCTGCGATCTGTGATGGCTGCGCAAAGCTCGCGAACGTTCACCATCGAGGAGGTGTCCAAGGTAGGCGGGCAGCTCGCGCGAGGTGGACTTCATGCTTATGAATTTGGCGCTTTCCATTGGCTACTTGTAGCACAACAAGGAGGGAGACCTGGTGAGCTGCCCTCGGTACTTTGACGAAAATGAGAGACTGAACAAGTTTCTTGTCAGTGGATCGTCATCGATTCAAAGGTGTACGACATCTCCAAGTTCGCGAACCTACATCCAGGAGGAACTGGTATTCTTCTGGCCGAAGCTATAGGCAAGTTGTCGCAAGATGCGCCGTCTTCTGTAAATGACTTTGTCCCATTTAGCGGGTAAGGATGCTACGCAAGCGTTCTTCGGTCTGCACCGGCAGGAGGTGCTCCTGAAACCCCAATACGCTCGCTTGCAAATTGGCTTGATTGCTGGCGAAGAACCTGTTGTCAAGCCTCTGGCCGTGGACGAGCCTTCCCGTGTCCCATATGCTGAACCGTCGTGGCTGTCAGCCGGTTACCATTCCCCATATTACAATGACAATCACAGGAGGTTCCAGAGAGCGATGCGCAAGTTCGCGATGGAAGTCGTTTATCCCGATGCAGTCAGGTGTGAAGAAAATGGCAAGCGCATCTCCCAGGACGTCGTGCAAAAGCTCTGGTATGTATGAGTGATGTCCATCTCTTTTACCAACTAAAGGTCGAACGATCAAGTGAGATGAACATCCCGGCCATGCGTCTTGGTCCCGGTAAGCACCTCAAGGGGCGTACGCTGCTCGGAGGCGTCACTACCCCGGAGGAGTTCGATCACTTTCATGAGGTACGCCACCTCTCTTGCCTGTCATGACGGAACATCCGCTGAGCGACAGCCTATAGCTGATTGTCAACTTTGAGCTTTCGCGTTTCGGGACACGAGGTTACATTGATGGCCTTCTTGCAGGCGAGGTCATCGGCCTCCCTCCTGTACTCAACTTCGGCTCGCCTGCGCTGCAGGCTAAGGTTGTGCCTGAAGTGCTCGACGGGAAGAAGTTCATCTGCCTCGCAATCAGTGAGGCGTTCGCCGGCAGTGATGTTGCCGGTTTGCAGACGACAGCTGAAAGAGAGGGCGATGAGTGGATCATCACCGGAACGAAGAAGTAAGCAACGCATCGGAGGGACAATCGCACTTGATTGATACGATTGCTTCTGTTTGTAGATGGATCACAAACGGCATGTTTGCCGACTACTTCACTGTTGGTTGCAGGAGCAAGGTATCTTGCCACGTCGCCGAACATTACAATCCACTCACTTATGCCTGGATCACAGGATGGATACGTCGTGGTTCTTGTCCCGCGATCGGATGACGTTTTCACAAAGGCCATTAAGACTGCCTACTCATCCACGGCCGGCACAGCATACGTGACATTTGAAAAGGCGCGCGTTCCGGTTGCATACACGCTCGGCAAGGTCGGCGAGGGTTTGCAAGTAATTTTGAGCAACTTCAACCACGAGCGATGGATGATCGTCTGTACGAGTCTCAGCGCACAGAGGATGGTCGTCGAGGAGTGCCTGAAGTGTGTCTTGTTCTCGTTGGCCCTTTTAGACCGACGTTGCTCACGTCTTATAGATGGGTCAACCAACGTATGGTTTTCGGCAAGCCCCTCAGCTCCCAACCGGTAGTACGGGCAAAACTCGCCAGCATGATTGCTCGCGTCGAATCGGGGCAGAGCTGGCTAGAGTCAATCACCTATCAGATGAATAACGTATGTGGCGTTCTTGACAGTTAGGTACCGGCGCGGCTCATCCTGGCCATCGTTTTGCCACCCAGATGTCGTACGCCGAACAGTCGGACAAGCTGGCTGGACAGATCGGTCTGTTGAAACAGTGCGTAGTGACAGAATACCCGCAAGTTTCATCTAGTACGTACTGAGCATTGTGATCCGCAGATACATTACACGCACAGGGCGCGAGACAGCCGAGGACGCGACGCAGATTTTTGGCGGACGTTCCATCACTGCGAGTGGGATGGGTAAGCTGATTGAGAATGTACGTCGTCATGCGACCCGTTGGTATTTGTCAGCTGCTCACATCACATCCCCGTGTTTTCGCCAGTACCACCGCACGTCGCCTTACGATGCGATCCTCGGAGGCCAGGAAGACGTATTAGGTGATCTAGGCGTGCGGCAGGCCATCAAGAAGATGCCCAAGGGAGCCAGATTGTAGTTTTAAGAAGCACGAGTCTCTCAGCTCATGTTACACCGTTTCTGCACACGAATCATCTATTTCGATGTATTACTAGCTCGATGCAACGATTTGGTATTGCAGGCTGCCGAATAAAACTTTGCTTAGTCATCATTTCAATCGCGCTCTATGTACTTGGGGGCGGAGTTTTTAGAACGCCGATCGCATACGTTCGCACAGCTTAAACGCTGCAAGTCCCTTACAGTGTCCATGTATCTCGTAAGTTGGGGCCTCTGACGGGCAATTGGAATGATGGTGGGCGATGGAACACTTCTTGACCCGACTACAACGGCGGAGCGCGAGCATCTGCGATGGATGCGGGAGGCAATGCTCATGGTAATCGTTACCATTGTCCTTCCATACTCAGTCGAGCTAATTTCTCAGCTAGGCCGAAGAAGCCTTAGCCGCCAGTGAAGTACCCGTCGGATGTGTCTTCGTCCGGGATGGAAAGATCATCGCTCGGGCGCGCAATAGGACCAACGAGCTTCATAATGTCCGCTCATTAGCACTCGTCGTACGCACAGGCTCACGCAGCATTCCTTCCGTAGGCGACGCGCCACGCGGAGCTCGAAGCAATAGATGAAATCCTTGCCAACAAGGAACTGACGCCCGCCACCAGGGAATATCCGCTGTCGGAGACAACGCTCTACGTGACTGTTGAGCCGTGCATAATGTGCGCGTCCGCACTGCGCCAGATGGGCATCAAGGAGGTCTTCTACGGTTGCGATAATGACCGCTTCGGCGGCTGCGGCAGCGTTTTGGGGGTGAACAGCCAGTGGGTCTTCTTATGACTGTCTGGGCTCGGCTATCGAGCCAGCTGACTGCTGCCCAGGCTGCCCCATCCGAAACATCCTTCATACAAGGCTACCAGTGGTTATCTACGCGAAGAAGCCATCATGGTGCTCCGCCGATTTTATATCACCGAAAACGTGAATGGTATGCGAGAGTATGCGAGGGCCCCTGCAACTGCTGATAAGTGCTCTTCCGTAGCCCCGGTACCGAAGTCGAAGGCAAATCGCATTCTCAAGACCGAAATCCCCTCTCGATCGTCCTCGCGCCAGGGCAGCTGATTGGCCTGATCGTGCGACACACGTACAGACACCAGAATCCACGTTGCGCACTCGGTCTTCCCGGATCGATCTGGCGGTGACATTGCGCGTGCTGTTACAGCGCTTTTTGGACGCCAGATGCTGCGATATTCCCTAGGGCCTCGACTTCATCGGACTCGCGTTTGGCAGCATCCTTAAACAAGTGGTTCCGACTCGTCAATCAAAGGCTATCGAGTCCTCCATTAGATAGCACGATAATTGAAGCCGGGCTCCACGGAGGTCCGTGGACTTGGCTTTAAACGCTATAGGCAGGCCAAGACGTGTTGAATGGAGCTGTTGGTCGTTATTGAAGAAGGCGCAATAATCGAGTGGGAGAAAGAGGGCATTATTTGACGGAACACTAGTACTTTACATAGTGTCCGAGTATGGATACCTCTTAGTTCTAGCGTGCCGATATACTCATACAATCGTACTTTTACGTTGCTCAAGGTCATGTCAGCTGATGGATGTTGTCGTGAGGGCTCGATTTGTTTGCTCTCTCCGTACTGCAGATGTTCGGAGAAGCCATGCAAGGTTTTCGTAGACGACGAAGGTAACACAAGTGCCTGGAAGAACGCGGACCAGGTTTGTGCCGAGACCTCGGTAGAAGCCCCGGAAGCCCTCTTCGGAGAATGTGCGCTTTACGCAGACTCTTATTGTAGGGTATAAATGGGCGGTGGCATTGTTCTGTGCAGGCATGAGCCAACAATAAACGCTACAAACCATTGTGCGGGAAATTAACGTACTTGGATCCGTGATCTTACCACCTGATATGGATAGGTTAATGTAAGGGCCGTGAGTTTGCTAGCGCCTGACATTACTGTGTATGCCGTATTCGACTGAAATGGAATGTCAACCCGTGAAGAATCGGAAGCAGGAGGTTCGCCGTACCAGTTTATCGTCTGCTGGAGTGTATGCTCTGCCTGCCTGGGCAAACTGCTGGCGTTTCCGCTCGAAGCCCCATCGTTTCATTTCCTCGTATGTCATGAACTGGATCGCGCCATTACTGACACCGAAGAGTGCGAGGGATGTTCCACGATAAAGGCCTCGAATGCCCTCCATGCGGTATATCGAGGTAAGACCATCTAATATGTCATACACGACGTAATTTTCGTCAACATGTACGAAACCTTTCAGACTTGGGGTAAACGAGCTCACGCCATAGGCCACGATACGATTCGGGACTGCCTGCTCGTGTCGTGAACATCCGGACCTTCACAACCCATATTGGGTTTGTCATGATAGCCGTGACGGCACCTGCATGAGAATGAGACGATTAGCAACACATGAAGAGCAGAATCTCGGCGAGGTGCGAACTCGCTTCCGCGGAGCATAAAAGATAAGAGCCAGCAGACAGCTTGTAGTTCGGATCACCGCCTGATGCACGGTTCTTGAGCATATTGTAACTGTACGTATATGAGATACCTACAAAACCTTCATACATAATGAATATAACTCACAAAAGGAAGTAGAATCCCCAGCTAGTCGCATTTCCTACAACGTTAGGGCCAAGACCTCTGTACAGTCCCCGCCAGCCTTGCTGCTCTTTGATATCTTTCAAGGACAGCCATATCTGCTTGCCCACTCCTCCCCGCGGCTTTTCTGTGGCCACCTGAAATTTGACCTTGAGCAAGTCCAACGGGTGCATGCAGAGCACCGCGACGATGCCCGCCCCCAGACCGGCAAACGCATGGTCCTGCGCACAGGCGTGAATGACGTGAGATGCTCGGAGAATGCCTGTGGGAAGGAACACTCACGATTGCAGTTGTCGGAAAAAAGCTGGGAGGCTGCTGGGACATTCAGCCTCTGCGAATGGAGTAGGCTGCAGCCGTCGAGGGTAGCTGCACGCGATCTGTGTTCAAGTGGTGACTGTAGCCCGAGTCGAAGCCGAATGACGGAATTTTCGATCGCGCCAGCGGCACGGCGTCTGATTAGATTATACCATTTTTAGTATGAGATTAGATTAGATCTCGCTACTCTTGCGACGCCGACTACGCTCGTGTCCGAGTCCTCAAACTTTCCTTGTCTTGCTCCGCGTCGGACACAAATTTGAGGCCACAGCCTCCGCCGGATCCCGCTTCATTCCAGGTGGATTGCGCACTCCAGGCCCAGCTCCCGGCTGTGCATCTCAAACGGATCTCCCGTCAGTGGGTATATGATCCCTGGGGTCACGCCGAATCTGCCAAGTTGGGTTCAGGGACGTAATTTTTCCAAGGGTTTCTCTCTCCAGAATCGATAGAGATTCACGCCCAGATAGCCAACCGCATGCTATGCGTGGCGTTATTTTACGTGCTCCGAAGACATTCTGCTATATAAGACGCGTTCCAGCCCCTCGTGCCTCATTCCACACAATATCTGTCCGAGCCATGCCTCCCCAAACTCAATGGATACCCAGCCGTTATCCTCCTGCTCGTCGCTCTGACCACGTGGATGTATACAAGAGTGAGGCCAAGGGCGAAGTCCGCGTCCACGATCCGTACCAGTGGCTTGAGCAGAATTCAGAAGAGACAGAACAGTGGGTGAACGCGCAGGAAGCTTTCACCTGGGCATACTTGGACCAGAACCCAGAAAGGCAGACCCTTGAAGATGCCATCAGGAAGAACGAGAAGTTTGCGAAGGTTTGGAATCGCTCATGAAGGGCTTTCCTCGATGACTCTTATCCCTCCCTCATCTTCTCTTTTCATAGTTTTCTGCACCGAGCTTCAAGTACGACAAAAGATGGTATTGGACATACAATTCCGGCCTTCAGGGACATGCTGGTCTGTTTTTCTTCTTGTAGCCAGCCATAGCAGCGTGTTAGATGAGTCGTTGCTCACTGGGCACCTCTTGAAGTTATCTATCGTTCAAAGGACTCAAACCTCCCTGATGTGACGACCGAGCAAGGTCCCGGGGGACATGTATTTTTTGACGTACGTATATGCGCATTGTATATGGGTCTAGAACCTCTGCTCATAGTTTCCACTCGTATGGCTCAGCCGAACCTGCTTTCGGCAGACGGGACCACTGCTCTCTCCGCTAGCTCGTTTTCCCGGTCCGGGGAATTGTGGGCATATGGAATCTCGCGTTCAGTACGTGCAATCTTGATGGTCGGTTGTTTTCCCCGGTCTAAATCGATCGACCGGTCCCTAGGGAAGCGATTTCTTTACAGTCTATATCCGGCCTACCTCCGCTCCTTTTGCTTCGCGTGATAATACGGACACGCGCCCATCGCATGATGATGGACGCCTTCCAGAAGAAATCCGCTTCGTGAAGTTCTCTGCTATCACGTGGACTGCAGACTCGAAAGGTTTCTTTTATCAGGTGAGCGTTCGTGCAAGTGCCGAATAGCCGTTCACAAGAAGGGTTTTTTCCTTACGAGGCTGATACGATCGTCGACTGTAGCGCTTCCCTGCGCGTGAGTCGCATGGCTCTGCAGAGAGTGACCTTGCGGGCACGGAGACCGATTCCGATAAGAACGCCATGCTCTACTATCACCGCATCGGCACTCCGCAGTGTAAGCGTGGTGCAGTGCACCCGGGTATGCTATTCACGTCTGACTGTCTCTAGCCGAGGATGTCCTTATCCAGAAGGATGCTTCCAATCCGGAGTGGATGTGGCATGCTGAGGTCACTGAACTGGATGGTCGATATATGATATTGACAATATCGCAAGACACGTCTCGGGTATGTTGTGCGATCAAGATAGTTTCTCACATGTACCTCACTCGCTATGGTTTGACAGAAAAACCTGCTGTGGATCGCTGATTTGGAGAAAGATGCGATTGACCAGAACATGCGATGGGATAAGCTGGTCAACGAGTACGAGGCTGACTATCAATAGTAAGCATACATGAATTCTCTCGGGTCCCTTTGAATCGGCCTTCGTCATTGTCTCTGAAGCTGATACAGATCTATTAGCATCGCGAATGATGGCTCGAAGTTCTACTTGATGACGAACAAGGGCGCACCTCAATATAAGCTTGTGTCCATCGATCTAGCTGACCCTCCGGAGAAGCGTGTCTTTAAAGACGTGATACCCGAGGACAAAGACGCACATCTAGAGGGTGTCCATGCCATCAACGAAAATAGTCTAATCGTTACGTACAAACGCAATGTCAGTTATCGTCTCCCATCTTGCGACGTGCTGTGGTAACCATTGTACGATTCAGGTCAAAGACGAAATCTATGTGTACGACATGTCCGGAAAGAGACTTACTCGCGTCGCAGCCGACTTTGTTGGATCAGCCCGCGTCACTGGCCGTCGGGATCAGTCCTGGTTCTTCGCCTCTCTGACAGGGTTCACGACCCCTGGTATTGTCGCACGGTATAATTTCTCCGAGAAGGAGGAGGCGAAACGATGGAGCATCTATAGGACGACCCAGGTTACCGGCTTGAACTCGGACGATTTCATCGCGGATCAAGTAGGTGACCTCAAGGATATATTGATCCATCCATTGAATACCGCGGTGCAGGTCTGGTACGAGAGCAAGGACGGCACGAAGGTGCCCATGTTCATTGTCCGACACAAGGACACAAAGCTGGATGGTACGGCTCCTGCTCTTCAATATGGTAAGTACATCGATATAATTTAGAGACCGCCACTAACGCTTTTCGATATTCAGGCTATGGTGGTTTCTCTATACCTGTGTCGCCATTTTGGAGCTCATCTATTCTCACCTACTTACAAATGTATGGATCTATTCTGGCTGTGCCTAACATTAGAGGTGGTTCCGAGTTCGGCGAGGAGTGGCATCTGGCTGGTACCAGAGAGCGCAAGGTACGTCTTCTATCGTACGTGTAACGTGCGTGCCGACTGATTCCTGATGTTTTAGGCGAACTGCTTTGATGACTTCATTGCTGCATCGTAAGTAACAGCTCTAATGGTTCATTCGCTTTAGGCTCAATATGTTCAGCGAATACTTGGTGGAAAAGAAGTTTGCTACTCGTGGCAAGATCGCTCTTAGTGGCGCGTCCAATGGAGGTACGCCACTTAAGAATATGGGTTCTTTTCGGATAAAGGTGGAGTCATTGTCCCATGTGCAGGCTTGCTTGTGGCGGCCTGCGTAAACCGGGCACCAGAAGGGCTTCTTGGTGCTGGCATAGCCGAAGTCGGCGTCCTTGATCTGCTGAAGGTCAGCCTCCATCATCCTTGCAATGCTTCAACTGACCATTTTGCGCGACTTGTCCATCCTAGTTCGCCGATTTCACTATCGGTATGACTTGGCTAGTTGCATATTCCAAATCTTCGCTGACGACAGTTGTATTTCAGGGAGGGCGTGGACGTCAGACTACGGCGATCCGCACAACCCTCATGACTTCGACTTCATCTATCCGATTTCGCCTCTGCACAATGTTCCTACCGACAAAGTTCTTCCCGCCACAATCCTCCTAACTGCGGACCGTTCGTCGCTTTGTTTTTCAAGCTCACACGTTCATTGAGAGCTTCCTGTGTAGATGACGACCGGGTGGTCCCGCTCCACTCCTTCAAACACGCGGCGACATTGCAGCATCTGCTGCCTAACAATCCTAATCCTTTACTTGTCAGGATAGATAAGAAGTCGGGGCATGGAGCGGGCAAGTCGACAGATAAGAGGTACATGCGATTGTTGTGAATGTTCACCGTTGATGTCTGACCGTTGTTATCAGAATCATCGAAGCCGCAGACAAGCTGGGCTTCGTTGCACAGTCGATGGGTCTGGAGGCAAGACACGTTTTATAGGATCGGGGTGAGGGGTGAATGTGTGATGCAGTGTTGGGAGGTTTCCGGAAGACAGTCGGCAGCATAGGCTAAGAACTAGAACTTATGAGCTAATAACGGAATGAGGAAAAACAAGAGTGAACGTGTGAGGCCCATAGTTTCTGAGTGTGTACAACGCATTCGTGTCATTGTAGCCATCGCGCAGTACTTGACAATAGTGCCAGTTGATTGTGAGCTTTCTACTTGCGTTGCGATTGAGCGCACAGCGCCTCCACTCGCGAGTCGTTATTCCACCACCGCGAACGAGCGCTTAATGGCAGGCGTTGAGTTCCTGATTAGGAAGGCAGTTGAGGGACACCGCACGTAGAATCTCTCGTAAGGCCGGTTCTCGCGAATCCGTTCAATTTGTACGTGTCCTGACTTCACCTTCGATAAAACATCTCATTACATCAAATCACAGTTGTCTGCTGATCCACATGGCGTTCCCAACAGCATTTCGAATAGCACGAGTGTCCAATGCTTGCCACATCCTGGAATCGTGTCATGCCGGGCCCTCTCAATCAGCATACGCTGCTTTCCACAGTACGGCCCGTAGGTTCGCCAAAGAGACAGAGGTGAAAACAGAAGGACGGTTGCGCAATGAGAACATTCCATACCAGATCGTTCGGCTCGTGAATCCTGAGACCTCTCGTTTGGACGAACCGGTCAGACTCTCTGAGATCCTGAAGACAATCGATCGCAGAAGAGAGTGGGTTGAACTCGTCTCCGACACTCCCGAAAACCCCGTCGTCAAGATCATCAAAGGCAGCGCTGTGTACAGCAAAATGCTCGAGCGGAAGGAGAAGAGTAGGGAGAACAGGCCTAGGGAGGAGAAGGAATTCCAGATGACATGGGGCATTGCATCTGCCGATCTTGGGCATAAGCTGAAGAAGGTTCGGGAGCATCTGGAGAAGGGCGGGAGGGCGAACGTGGTGTACACGTCGAAGAAGGGCCAGGCTCAGCCCACGCCGCAGGAGATGGAAGCACGCTTGAACGAGACGGTTACTTTATTAGAGGGTGTGGGTAAAGAGTGGAAAACCAGGGACACGACGAGAACTACTGCTGTCATGTATCTTCAAGGCGATAACGCTCCGCCACCACTCCCCAAACGCTCCGAGAAAAAAACACAACATAACTTGCTTAGACAGCAGGAATGATGATAGTTGTCTGCAGACCCACGCGATACAATTAGGCTAATGTACAACGAGTATAACACATAGCTTTTACACTTATGCGTCTCTTTTGCGTCGGTGGTAGCGTCGGCGAAGTGGCAAACCTCGAACTTTGGTAGTCGCCAGCGTGAATGAATAAAACCGCTTGGGCGGCCGCGGGAAAGCGTACGGTCTGCCTGATCGCTGCGCAGGGGATGGACCAAAGTCCAGGGTGCCCGGGACCCAGCGACCAACAAATAGGGGACGGAATGCGGGAGGGACGGCGTATCCAGTTGCTATCATATCCTGAGCAAGGTTTTGAAGCCTCGACGTCCAGAGCGGCGGCTTCCAGTTATTGTTTTCATATCGTATAATAGCAACCCGTAGCCGCCGTTTCCAATGTGACCGATTTCTGTGCGAACGGCGAAGTCGCATTTGCGGGTGTCGACCGAACAGATCCAGAGCAGTGTTGAAGAAAAGCTCATCTGGAGAAGGTCGCTTCGCCTGATTCGCCGTCGCCTTATCCTGCAGGTGCAAGTCCATCAATGATCTGTACACAGCCCAGCCGCCAGATGACATGTAGCGATACGGAAGCATGTGCAAACCCCTCGAGCCCTTCCGCCTCCGACCGTGAATGTTACGCGAGAGCAGCTTTTGCGTGGCAACAACAAAGGCAGCCCAACCCTTGGTGTTGTCCACTGTAGGCCGCCAGCTGCGATCGCCATCACCGGCCAGAGCGTGCGCCATCTCGCGCTCCTGACGTATGTGCGATAGCGCCTTACGAGAATAATTCGCGTAACATCGTAGCATCGACGTGTAGGCGTGCACAGGGAGATACCAACCCGTCGCATGTAGAGAGGAATGCGATATCCAGCTGGCAGCTTCGGCTTGCTTCGCGAGAAGCCAGACCCTCTCCGCCAGACCCATTTTGCCCGATTTCTCGAGCGCGTTCAGTATAGCAGAGAAGGCGTAGGGTCCAAGTTCGACCGCTCGTTGCATAGATGCTTCGCGAGACTCCCGCAGCAGCATCCGCCGCTCCTTTCTCGTCAGAGCACCCCATGCAGGGTGATCCACGATGCGCAGCTCTGGCATGATGAAGAAAAGGACATCAGCGACAGCTTGAGGCTTTCCTGTGGCTGTCAGATGAGCAATGTAGCTGGTAAGGGTAGATGTATTTGCGCGGATTTCTCTCGTCGAATTCTTCATTGCTCGAGGCACATTGAATTTCTCGGCATACAGTCGGCGCAGGGCTTTCCGCGACGGTGGTGGTAGCGACGGTGATGGCCTTGAATGCTCGTTCCCATCACAGTCGCCCATATCGACCTTCTTAGGCATATTATCGCTCTCTGTTCTCGACTCCTTGTCATCCGTAACACTGACGGGAGGCTCGACCATAATCCCGTGATCAGCATTCACCTTGCTGCGCCGCAAAGCACACAACGCCATATCACTCATATCCATCTTCTTCAGCAAGGCACCAGAGCGAAGCAGGATATTATATGTGGTAATGTTGGGCTCGAGAGGCGGCTTTCTGTGTACACACATATGCTCCAAGATTTTCGAGGCCATTGCGGGCGATAAGCGGTGACGGAGGGCATAGGAGAGCAGGGTGTTATATGCGTTTAACCTTAGACGAGGAGGCGGATCTGGCGGATGACGATCGGCTAACGAGAAAATTTGCCGCTTAAGAACGTCATGGAAATATCTGTATGCCTCAACCTGCACGCGAGCTTTGCCCGATTGTTGCACCCAAACCTTCTCCTTGGTCTTTGGACAGGAGTACATTAAGCGAAACAGCATGGCTCTTCCGTCTCCTAATTGCCCGGAGTCCAAGAGCATTGCCAGATCAGCCAGCGACTGCAATGACTGCAGATAATCATCCCGGCCATCGTTTTCTCGCGTCTTCGAGGAGAATGACTCGCTGATGTGGTGAAGAATTGATATCATGAGGGTGGGATGAGGGTACGGAGGCATTGTTTCGAATCGCGGGAATCTAGGCAGACGGGATGATGACACAGGGTGCTCTTCAGCAACCTCTGTTTGCAGAGGCTGCTCGGAAGGAGCCTTTCGGGCTTGCCAATCTTTCACGAGAAGGACAAACAACAGCGACGCCACAATGATCTCCCCTTGCATCAGACAGCCGCTGATGAGATTGTCGTACATGCGTTCCGTACGCTGCTGTCCCCACTGTCGTGCCCGTTCAAGCAGCTTAATCGCTGTTTGTGTACAAGAGTCAGCGACTAGGAAGCTTCTTTCAGGTGCGCCCATAGTCTCGACCGGCCGGCGGCGGATACTATTGACCAGCATGCTGCCGTTCAAGGAGTTGGTGAGACTTGGAGTGAGGGACGAGACGATGCTACTGAGGGTGTGTGTTCGGATGCGTATTCCCTGTTCAAACATCAGCTCCGCATATGCCGCTGCCTTTTTGTTGTAGCCGGCGCGGATTAGACTATGGAGGAAAGAATGCGCAGATAGACGAGGTGAGATGGCTTGGCCAAAGTTTATGGGCTCCAGGTGCATGCGAGGTGGGGCGAGGTGATTCTCTTTTTCTGGAAGAGGCTGGCGTTCCCGATGAGTGGACGAGTGAACGGAGTTGATGAGATATAATGCATCTCCGAACTTTCCGTCCCGCGCGCACAGACGGACTGCCTGCGCTGTCGCACGCGACATTTGGGCCGCTGTCAGCGAAACCGAAGATAAATCCCATGTTGAGGCTTGTGATGCCTCGCTGGGCGGAGGGTCGACGTGATGCGGGCTGGGAGTGCTCGTGGCGGATTTCGCGAGAGCTGTTGTAGACAGGAACGCTGAAGTCTGATAAGACGCTGTGAATGGATTGGGGACTTCACGGACGCGAAGGGAACGCAGAATAGATGCTGTTGAGATCGCTTTTGACGCATGCCATGGTGTAGTGAGTCCTGGACTGCCGCGGGCAACACCACGCAGGAGAGTATTGGCCGACGTCGACCAATTGCATAGCATGTGTTTGCATTACTGCCATTCCACGGTCGTGAGTTTCCACGTGTGTAAATCGAAGCGAAAGCCTACCAAGGCGACCCGGAGGCTCCGACGAGGAGCGCGTCCCTCAAGATGGACGTTGCAGCGATGGCAGCGTATAGTTGTCTCCCGGTATTTCCCAGGCCGAGTCCTCAAGCCCAGTACGCAATTCTCGAACCCTCATGTGCGCATATCACGCAGGTTCAATGTTCAGTGCCTCGTCAATAATAACAATGCATCTGCCGTTTCGAGTTTCTGTGCAATATTTCGTTAGGCACCGACATCTTTAAGTGTGCCACTGCCACGAGAGCCTGGTTAAGAGTGTGGGAATACCGCAAAAACGGTCGACCTGCGACTGCCGCGGTCTCTCAACGATTGCTTCGTTTTTCTACCATCAATTGAACGGTTTTGATCATTGACTCGAAAAGATGAGCTACCACGGAGGAGGCCGTAGGAAGCACTACAAAGGTGAGGAGGGCTGGACCGCTTCAGCGAACAACAATCCTTCAACGCCTCGTTACGTTCAGATGATTATGACAATGACCGCCGCCGGGAAGTTTACGATACCCCAGAGCAGCTGCTCAGGAAAAGCATCATAAACTTAGGGGAGGTGGTGAGTGTACCTCGTGGAAATGTAGAAGTTGTCTTTCTCCAACAAGTTCTGTAGGATCCGATCCAGGAGCTACCTCGCCTTGCCAGCCAGATCCGAGAACAGGTGCCATTGACCGTGCCCACCGTCTCCGAGGGTTTCCGGATAGGGTACGTTTCACTCGGTTCACCATCACCCTCTTCCTTATAGACTGTGCCAGTGTCACCGAGCAACCGTTCAAAATTCCGTACTATGCTGCACTTCTCCGTCTCTTACATGACCCTTCCCCGAGCGACGGAGAAGAAATCTCGAGTGAACCTGGGTTGGTGCTCGGCAAGCAGATCTTGGAGGATTACTGGAAGGGCTTTCAAGCGTTCCTTGATCAGCTTGCGTGGAGAGAGATTCGACTATGCGTGAGCTACTGTGTTCTTCTGAATTCATGCATCATTTACAAACCGCCAACGTAGATACACTTCTTCGCACATTTGACTGTCGCAAAGCTGATCTCTCCGCAGTCTATGTTTGAGCTCCTGAAGTCGTTTACTGCCGTGCTAGAGGAATTTGGTGTATCTCATGGCAGAGCGATGAAGGCTGCGTTGTGTGCTGCAGAAGGTCTGATGATGGTCAGTGGTAGAACTATGGGCTGATTCATTGTACTCACTGATGCTATGTTTCAGGCTGGTCCTGCCATAAAAGATAACATCGCACTAGACACTGCCGAGATCGTCAACGCCATTAGCGCATATACCGAATCTGTTTCGGCTACGAAAACGCTCGTGCAACCTATCGTCCGTCTGTACTCTGACGCGGCCTTCATCGAGAATGCGGACGAGGTAAGTCCTGCCTACTGACATAGTCCCGCTGTGGCTCATCTACACCCCACCCCGTAGCTGCTCGACTCTGCTCTCGCGGCGCTGAGAACTCTTAGGGACAGTGATTTTGCACAGACACCAGATAGCTTTCCCCAGCCTTACTTGGACTCTTCCGAATATAACGGAGTGCCGTTCGACCTTCCCTCTTTACTCGTACCTCCAGAGGTCATAGAGCTCGACGGTCTCACAACCGACACGGGCGAGGATGCACAGATCAAGAAGGAAGAATGGCCGCAATATTATATTCGCATCTTCGACAACGACGTCAGTGGTGCCGGTATTGGCTCATGACACTCCCTGACCAATGCTTGATATTTACAGGTGACGCCCGACCCAGCTACGCCCATAGGCTACGCTATACGCTCTGGCATCCTGGATATCATCGATATCTTCGAGGTGAATCGGAAGGAATGCGCGCGACTCCTTCTGGAATTCCCTAAATGGATGCTACCGGGAACTTTCAAGTCGAGACCTGGTGCGCCGCCTCAAGAGCCGGTACTGGGAAAAGACTGGCAGCTTGAAAGCACCATTCTTGAGGCGAGCACTGCACAAGCTGCCCGCATATTCATTCTGGCTAATGTCCCCACAGGTTACACTCGGCTCCATCTTCATTCTCCCGGAGTCCCACCATAAGCCAGTTTACTATATCGCCCTAATTACCGAACTATGCAAGCTGTCTCCGCAGACCGTTGGTCCCGTCGTCGGCAAGTCGATCCGCAAGCTATACTCTCTACTGGCAGACGGCCTAGACGTCGAAGCCGCGCATCGGTTCGCAGAGTGGTTCGCCGTCCATATGAGCAACTTTGGCTTCCAGTGGGTATGGAGAGAATGGTGAAGTTTTTGCTAACAGATTTCAACTGTGCTTTGGCTGACCTGGCGTGCAGGATACCTGACATGTCCTTATCGTCCCGGCATCCGAAGCGTAAGTTCATGCGACGTGCTGTTGAGTTTGAGATCCGGTTGTCCTACTACGACCGTATCTTGAAGACGTTGCCCGAGCCAATGCAAGCCCCTGATGCTCAGGTGATGCCAGATGAGGGTCCAGGACCTGACTTTGACTACGATGACCCAGGTATGTATGTCGGCAAGGTCCTGACAACTCGTACTCATGCAGTAACTCTCTGTAGCGAGACCCTATCACGAGGCTGCACAATCAGTATTGAATCTCTTGCGCGGCCGAGCTAAAGCAGAAGATGTCATTGGGCACCTGGATTCGCTCAGAAATACGATAAGCGAGACAGCGGAAGGAGATGTCGTCGTGGAATCCGTCGTACGCAAGATCGCTGTGGAATGTCTCTTGCACATCGGCTCGCGGTCATTCTCACACTTCTTGAACGCCATCGAGCGCTATCTCCCTCTTTTGCGCAATCTCGCACCAGGAGGTGCGAATACCGAGGCACGCATGGACATCCTCAACGCTGTCTACTCCTTCTGGAACCGCAGCAGGAACATGGTGGTCATAGTGTTCGACAAGCTAATGCAGTACCAGATCGTGGACCCGACAGACGTCGTGTCGTGGGCGTTTATCCACAGCGGGTCTGGGACGGAGGGAAATCCCAGCTTCGACGCGTTCCAATGGGACGTGTTGAAGGGCGCACTTGACAAGGCTAACGGCAGAGTGACGATTGCACGGCGAAAGGTGACGGCACTCAGGAAGGAGGAAGATGACAACGCGGCAAGAGCTAAAGCCAGCGACAGCGCCACGATGGAGGCGGATGCTGAGGGAAAGCAAGGTATACTTTAGGTATACGCTTCGTTGGTGCTCGCGCTTACGCTCCCATAGCGAATGTGATCCCTGCTGCGGAGTCCCCGGCTCTCACTACTGCCCTGAAGGCGTTCACAACCCTCACGCGCGAGCAAAAGGCCGCCCTCGCCCGCACTCTCGATGGGTTCGTTGGCTATCTCGCAGCTGAGGACAAGCCGAACCCCCGTGCGCAAGAAGTGATCACCGAAAAGGCATGGCACAACCGCGCCAACTGGGATGAGACTGATTGGGAGACATGGGAGACCTGGTGCTGGTTCCGCCATTTCTGCAGAACGGTAAGAATAACTACTTTTGATTGATCCTCTATACTCAGTATAATATGCACCATAGTATTCCCCCTACCTCCGAAACTACACGAACACGTTGGCTGCAGTCTCGTTGGACAAGCTCAGATCGTCTCCTGATCCTGCCGTGGATCTGTTCAAGAAGACGTGGAACATTGCCACGGGCCAGGAAGCGTGAACGGAATCAGCGTAACATACCAATCCAACCTTTTGTGCGTATCAATAATTGTGCATAATTTGTAGCTTCAAGAGGTTCTCTATCGCGACCGTGATGACCTTACGTCAGCTTTTCGAACGCTGGCCTGCCTATAATAATGACAGTGATGCTATTTGCTGAAGCCGACATTATTAGGGAATCTGCCCACGACGCACAAGCTCTGTCATTATCATGCCATTGCGTCAAAAACTCGGAGACATTATATTGCTGTCAAATGTATGAGTCCTTCCAGGCCACGAATGTGCTCTAGTTGTCTTCCGTCATCTCATTCCTGAACATATTCGCTGGTTTGCCATGCTATGTGCAATAATCTCGTCCTGCACCAACTTGTCATGCAGGGATACTCTTGTACACGCATTCACACGAATGTAGTGTAATTCTATACAATACATGGAATCGTGTCTGATATCCGATCTGATGAGTTGCTCCTACTAGATACCGTCCCAGATATAAACATTATATGCGTTCACTACCGCGGACCAAGACGCATGAAAGGGAACAACAGTCCGAGAATACGCACGATCACTCCTGCTTCGCCTTCTCTTTAGCCTTCGGGCGTTGTTTTCCTCCAAGCGAATACCCGACTGTGCCTCCAAACACCAGCAAAGCGCCCGCCCAGAGCTCAATCAGTTTCATGCCCGTCGGTACACGTCCCGTGCCGCTAAACAGTACGACGCTGATGATGAGTGAAACCGCTTTGCGAACAACAAGCATGAGGGTGACCGTGAGCGATGAAACGCGTGCGGAGAGCTGGTGGACACCAGAGACGCAGAACAGCTGTGTGATGGTGTTGAGGAAAAGAGGAATATATGCGGTGGGTATCGTCAATGTGCCAGAAGACACGCTCGCATCCCCGAAGTCGAAGGTCGAAATGAGAGGTGGGGTTAGATTTGTATTCAGGAGGAAGGCTGGGAGGGAAAGCTCGAGCTTCGGCCCAGTGGATATCGCTCTAAATTGTGAGGCTATATCCTTCCTTATGAGATAGAACATGGGCATGGAGAGGAAATGGAGATAGAACATCGCTTCCTGCCATGGCGGGCCGCTGCTCTTCTGCGCGAGAGATTCGCTTTTGGACCCTGGACTTTCGCGATGACCGTACCACGCATACGTCCTGTCCTGGACGATCCCAAGGAAACCTCCGAGAACGAGGGCAGCAGTCATGAGCGAGATGCCCTTCGCGTACGCGAGTGGGTCGATCGCGCCAGACGTCGACTGTTTCTTGGGACCGGACGCGGACATAGTCGTCAGAACGACCCCCAGCGTCACAACGAGTACGGAAAAGACCTGCAGGATGGTGTATCTGTACGGCAAAGAACATCGATAAGAATGACTGTACATGCACAAATGCACAACTTCAGCTCACCGGCGTCTCAGCAGCATCCAGTTCAGCAACATGCTGACCACCAGTCCTCCGCTCCTGAATATGATATGCACCGTCATCGGAATGGAGTATCCAAACGCAGCATTGTTCAGCAATGAGATGAGGTAAAACAGCAGTACTTGGACGAGATAGGGCCAGATGGGTATTTGGCGCGGTTTGAGGTGAGGATATGGCTTCCACACCACGAATTTCGGCAATCCATAGAGAGACACCACAAGAAACTGGCAGAATGTGATGAGGCTGCCAGAATATGGGTACTCAGTTGTAATCTGCTCAAGCGTCAGAGCATTGCTGTACAGGACGTTCAGCTGCTGCGCCTAAATGGAGGAGGAAACTGGTACAGCACCTGCAGCATCCTCCGAAGATCAACGAAAGGATTGTGGTCCAGTCAGACAGCAGAGTGAATGACAGCCCTCGAACGACATCGAGCGACGTTGAGCTCATCGTTGTTGGCGGCATGCTATACACGAGCGAAGGAGCATGGCTTTCATTGAGACGCTAATGGACATAAGCGGCTCAAGTGGCATGGACTCTAGAGCATGAGACTAGTACGGCGCCCATCAAGTGGAACGAAGTTGCGGACAGTATCTACTACGATGACGTTCCTACAATCGAGGCTGAGATCATTGTGCACTCAAGGCAAATGGTTTTCCAAATCCCTGAAACGTACACAATGAGGACATACCTTGGAGTTTGAGCAGACTGAGCAGTAAGAATGCTATGCACTATACGATACGTGGTCGACAACTGGCCAAAGGGAGCGATATGACATTTTGGATTTGTTACCCATAAATATGTAAACATGACTGCAGCTTCCCAGATAGAATCATCGAACGATCTCACTATACATACTATCATCAACCTCACCCCCTTCCTCAAACCTATCAGCCAATCTCTTTGATGCTAGAATGTGTCGGATATAGGCTCGTCCGCCCACAGCACATCCAGCGTCAAAAGCCCACATAGTCATCGAGGTCGATTGGAGGTGATTCCATATGCTCCTCCAGACTGGTGCAGCTCCTATGGTGGCATCCGGCTGATCTTGAGTCAGGAGAGTACGAATTTGATCAGCATACTCAAATGCCAGTGGGACAAGCATGGTCCGGATGGGATGATGCAGTGGCTGAATGTCCAACAACTCAACAATCTTCCTGAGCTCTTGAATACACTCCTCTCGCGCAGGCTCTTGGAGGGGGGTGGTGAAATTCTGAACGAAGTCAATTGGATGCGATAGCGGCCAGGGATTTGATACGTACCTCATATGTTTGCACCTTGGCAATCTGTGCCTTAATTTTTTGGACTGCTTCGGCAATACGATCGAGTCGTTTCATCCCATACTTTAGAATGGACGTAGCCTCTAGACGAAGATGCTCGACATCTCGACGATTCCCATATATTGTACGGCTCGAAAGTAGTGCTTCAACGCGGACGTGACCCCAGGCCCAATCCGGACCCTGCCAGATACACATCAACGAAATGTCGCGCGCACACGCCTCAGCGAGGTCTGAAAGACTAAGACATAAAGCTGGACACATCGGCTGGCTGGACTCACTTTCACGAAGATCTATAGGTTCACCAGAGTGTTCGTGCTCCTTCAATACGATGAGAACATCGACATCAGATTCCTTGTGGGCACGATTACGCGCCACGGAGCCAAAGATCCCCGCCCAGAGTATGTCCCGTTTGTAGTTCTCGTCCTTCCAGACGGGAGCCATACGTTCTCGCATATCATCAAATGTCGGAATGGACATAGTGGAGTATTGACGGTGTCCGTTTGAATAGCAGTGACAATATTCAGCACTTGAATGTATGCTCAAACGTCGGAGAGGGAAGCATGGATTAAAGCAGGTACGGACTTGCATGCAACCTGCGAATGGGCGAGCGACTTTCAATCTCCGCCGCGCCGGAGCTGGGGGG